CGTGGGGGGGGTTTAAGCATAATTGGTATAGAAACCATATGTTCGACAAACATTCACGATTGATTTCTGCAAAGATTTCATCAGGCTAAAATAGACAGACATAAACAATATTACATTCATAAATTTTATCCATAACGAATGCAAATGTGCCGTCAATTTATTAAAGAAAAGGGAAATTATACATGATTTCCAAAAATATTTCTCGTAAAATTGCTTTAACGTTATAATTTAAAGCTGTATGGTGGTTTAGTAGCAATCTTAAATATTTAAAATAAATAGACTTCTTCGCAACAAAGAAAAACTTTGCATTTTGTGTTCTTAGTTGAGAATGATTCAAGGAATATAAAAGTCTCTTTATTTGCTTGACATCCGATTACTTCAAAACATCTGAAAGTAATCTTCCATTGTTATTTTTTCTTTGGAAAATACCGAACGATATATGCATATAAACAGTCATGTTTCAGGCTAATGGCATATGAAATAAAATAAATAATATCCCACTAAGTAGCTTAAATCGTGGTATCATAACTGCTTGATGTTGAGAGCAAACACGAGATTTTTTACATAGCTTGGCTACATAGAAGCATACCTTTTTGTTTATCTAAAGATAGAACTAGCAACGACTATAATTTTAAACAAGCAATCGGATGTCATGGATACATTTAAGTGATTGCAAAATGTGTTCTATAAAATATCTGTCAGCATTTCGACTTATGTGGTTTGATTCTTTCGCAAAATTAATACTGCTTAAAGAATATTATGTTCATTATTACTGTTGTTTATTCTATTGAAGCATTCATATTTGGTATCTACATCAGTAAAATATTAATCTTCGTGCATTAAAAATGAGAAATAAAACAGAATTAATGAATTGAATGGTGAACCTGAACTTGATCGAAAGTAAAAATGTCGAAAGCAATAATGAGGGTGTACATAAGGGTGTAAGTGCGAGTGTGAAAATGGTGGAGATCTCTACAATGATTGGCTGTATTTTTGGTGCTAGTTAATTGTGGAAATTTGTAGCATTTGGAGTTTTCGACAGTTTTACTTTCGGTATTTTTCAGGAGAATCGATTTAACAATTGTTTCAGAAATGGCTTCTTAGTAGAGCCCAGCGGTTCTACCCGATACCCGGAACCGGAACCGGAACCGCGGTTCCGGCTCCGGTCCCAGTTCCTAAGAATTAAAAAAACGGTTCTGGTTTCGGTTCTTGAAAAATCTTTGGAACCGTTGTTTAATAATAATGTATGAAATCAATGATTTTTTTACATATAATTTCATCTTTCATATTCCAAAAGTGTAAATGCAGTTTGTTTTCTTGAAAAATCAGTTGTTTTTTTCAAAAAACAAAGCAAATAAGAAAATCACTATAGAACAATATGTTCACATAAAAATATTTATCAGTAAATTAATTAACACTAAAACTTGCCGTTCTCTTTATCGTCCTGATCGTCATCGCAAATAAAAATATCTTCTTCGTCTTTTTTCAATAAACCATTGAACATTTTCACAACAGTACGTCTTTCTCGTCAATACTATAGCATACTAAAATGTAAAAAAATTAAGTGTAAAAAGATAAAGCATTATTCACATCTATGTTTATCATAGAAAATTATTCTTTGTTTTTCTTTTTGTGGTGCGATGAGAATTCAAAGTAATACGTGGATGGAAAACTTACGAGATTAATTGAAGTAACGAAATTTATAAATCATGCTTGACTCTTCCCTAGACTGAAAGGATAGGGTCTAGAAACCGTAATTCACCTGTGTCTGTCTGTCTGTCTGTCTGTCTGTCTGTAACAATGACACAAATGACCATTCCTGTGGCACAAAGGACCATTTCTATAGCACAAATGGCCAATTCTTATGGTATAATTGACCATTCCTGCGGCAGAATTGACCATTTCTATGGCACAAATGACCATTCAAACAGTACAAAATGGCCATTTCTGTGGTACAAATGACCAATTTTAGGGCACAAATGGCCAATTCTCATGATACAAATGGCCATTGGAACGGTACAAAATGGCCATTTCTATGGTTCAAATGACCATTTTGATGGCCCCTAGGACATTGATACGGCAGAAACCATTGGCGGCTGCATGGCATGGTCACGGAAAACAGTCCGCTCTGGATGTCTTGAGTGGAGGGGTGAGCTGATCCCCCCACGGAACTTTGAGCTTACCATCACGAAATTTCCAGACTGTGTATTTTTGGCTAGGTAAAACTCAAACTCTCCGCCGATTTATGCGCTTTTGAGTGCCATTCTGTCCGTTTTCGTCTTCCCTTTTAGTGCTTTTACTTGAAACCTTCAATTTTCGTCTAATTTTTACCTCAGTTTCACTTATTCTCACCCCGTTTACAGATCTGTTTAAAAAATCGCCAACAGCTACTGGCACAAACAACGGATTTTCTCTCCTGTCCATGTATTTCTTTTCCTCAGCACTGTCAGTCTAGGGCTCAGTGAACCGACTTTCGATGTCGATGAACGTTACTTGTTGTTATCAGTAAAAAAATCACGGTTCCAACGGTTCCGGTTCCGGCTACGGGTAACAGAATCTTGAAAAATCGGTTCTTGGTTAGGTTCTCGGTTCCTTTTTTTGGGAACCGCTGGGCTCTACTTCTTAGAGCCCAAATATTCATTTCTACGTAGAATAAAATATATACAGAAAACTAAAATAGTTTTATTCAGTCATTATTATCAACAAAATACTCAACATTGCAGTTCTAGAAAGGTAAGTATTCAAAAATAATGTCTACTCTTGACGTACTACGCTTGTGGCAGAAATTGTCTATTTACAGAATGTTTGAGTTTTTCATCACTTCGTGAAGTATTCTAGTTAATAGATGATGGATCGATACAATATTTTTGCTTCATTTACTCTAATTCTTCTGTCATAAAGTATATTGATACCCTGTTAAGCTTTGGTTAATGTTTGACCTTCATTGATGACATCAACAGTGGAACAACCTATTTTACTAATGAAACAGTAACAGAATTGCTGATGTTAACTTAGGATGTTTCATTTTTAATGAAGAAACAAGTTGTATCGAAAGCCATACTCATTAATAATTCTGACTGAAACTGATAAATAGCCAAAGCAGAACAAATATTCTACTCAAATTTGATATTATTCATCTAACGCTGATCAATAATGAAAATGATCAAAATAGTGATTATAATCTTCAGCTTAATGTATTCCTAGCTACGTTAGTATGTTGTCTGAATAATAAATTGCCATAAACTTCACATATCGCAAGAGTTTCTGATATTCTATGTTTACTTACCAATTCTTTATCTGGAGATAGAAGACGATTTTTCTGATTTTTTTCATGGTTCGTTAAAAATAAAATTTTCTTCTCTTGTGAATATGAGTCAGCCTCTTCAACTATACCGAAATGCAGTCTCACATACACAGCCCCTTTTACTACTTCCGATTTTCTCAGAAGGTTGGAGATCGCTCATGTAGTAGAGCTAAGTCGTTCGATGACTTTGCCAGCTATATTTTCAGTCTTCAATGCTGTATGCAATTCGTATCAATGCGTTTTCATTGTTCATGGATGTCCCAGAGTCAATAGCAAATCAGTCATATAGAGAAAGTTAAACTTGTGCTAAAGAATTGGAGCGGTCTATCGGTGTGCTTGCCTAGTTTTTCTCGCGATTTGATACATGTGTTGATTCGTTTTATAGCTTAGTTTTTGATTCACCTGACAGCAAACCGCAATGTGTCTTTTCTGTGTCGGTTGTTGTTTTTGCTTTAGATTTCTGACAAGTGAGGTGTAAGTCGCTGCGCATGATCGTCGCTGAGAGAGTACTTGTGAAAGCAGCATTTTCAACAATCAATACTGCATGTCACCACGGAGAACTTTTTATTCAGGTGAGATTATTCATGGGTTGTAGTATGGTAGGTCCTTTTGATAGATACAGTTTTGACTTTTGGTGGTACCTTGAAAAGGCCTTCCAAGAGTATTTTCATGGCTTGCGCTAATTCTTCATACGATTCGGCAGTGATATGATTTTCTGCAATGACGAAAATTTATCGCCAACCTCTAGTATGGTGGTGCGCCATTCCGCTTTGACTTCTGTTAGTGCTGTATGTTGATGTGTTTAATGCGGGGAGTGCACTGCTACGCCGGATCCAACGTCAGAGTACACTGTAAAAAAAGGTTTACCCTACTTTGGTCGAAAGGTAAAAATGTCGAAAGTAGATATATCGAAAGGTAAAAATGTCGAAAGTAGATATATCGAAAGGTAAAAATGTCGAAAGTAGATATACCGAAAGGTAAAAATGTCGAAAGTAGATATATCGAAAGGTAAAAGTGTCGAAGGTAGATATATCGAACGAGAAAAATGTCGACAGGAAAAATTTTCTAAGGATAAAAACAACGAAAATAGTTGTATCAAACGATTGGTAGATACATTTATATAATGATTATAGTTATTGGTTGATTACGTTACCCATTCATTTCTTCACTTGAATTCCTGTCTTTGTCGGCTAAAATTTAACAAAGACGCCTTTGTCGTAAGGATTATAGAAAAAATATTCAATAGTAAAACTTTGCTAAACAGTATGTCGATTTCTCCGGATTCAAGTTTTGATGCAAATGAAAATTTATCCTTCATTACATCAAACAAAGGTCACCCATTATTAGTTATGAATGAACAATTATACAAATGTAATAAGAAGACGGCCCGTAAAAAATATTGGATTTGTATTGTTAGTGGATGCTCAATGGTAGTTCACACGGATGAAAATGATGTTTATTTATACGGAGGTAAATGTGATCATCATCATGAATCGAATTCAGATGTAATTCAGACGACACACCTTCGTCAACAAATGAAGGAACGGGTTTTAAATGAGTTAACACCTATCGGCCTTATATATGAAGAAGAGATGGCTAAAGCGCCACTCAGTACTGCCAGTGTTGCTACATTTCCAGCAAATCAAGAAATACGTAAGTGACTATTACAAAAGTTACAATTGATTTTTTTCCATTTTACCTCTAGATCAAACCTTCGTCAAAGCTCGCCGAAAAATTCTTCCAATTCTTCCTCAATCATGTTTATTTACTATTCCGGACCCCTTTAAATTGACAATTGATGGCAAACGATTTCTATTACTAGATGAATCACGCGTGCGACGTGAACGTCTGCTCCTATATGCGAGTGATCTTCAACTAGACATATTATTTGATTCAGAAACTATATATATGGATGGTACATTTTCGAAAGCTCCTTCTCATTTTCTCCAAATTTATATTATTCACGGAATCAAGCAAGGTGCACGTAAGAAACAAGATATGATACTTTTCAATTATTTATTCTATCTCTTTCTAGGTGTTCCATGTTTATTTGCATTGATGGTAAATAAAAAGGGAGCTACTTATCGTCAACTATTTTCAGAGTTAAAGAATTTGACTTCGGATCGTGATAAAATTTTTTTACCAAAATTAATTGTTACTGACTTCGAATCAGGCGTAATCCCGGTATTGAAGACAGAAGTGAGTATCGATTACTTTTGCATGAAATTATTTCTGATTTGATTATTACTCTTTCTAGTTTCCATCGGCAAAACACTACGGCTGTTATTTTCATTATACACAGTGCGTTTTCAGGAATTTAAAAAAGCTGGGAATGCAGTCAAAATATGCCAGTGATGAAAGTGTACGTAGCCTTTGCAAGAAGTTGATGGTACTTGCAATGATGCCAGAAAACAAGGTATCGTCTGCATATGATGAAATTAGCCACGATGCTCAAATGTTGCCTGGCTCACCAATGGAACCCCTATTGAATTACTTTGAAAAAAATTGGTTATCGAATATCGATATATGGAATGTGTATGGAGCTGAGTCAAGAACGAATAACATCTGTGAAGGTAATATTGAAAAAGACTTTGCTTCAATAAATATTTGTTTTTCAAGCCTATCACAGCAGAATTAACTGCCGCATTCTTCGTAATCATCCAAATATTTGGAAGTTTATAAAGTTCTTGCAAGCTGAAGAAAAAAGAGTTCAATTAGTTATTATTCAATGGTCTGCTGGAGCGTCAAAAAAACACAACCACGTACAGCTTTCATACACAGTCGCATCAATACTCTTTATGCTAGATATAATGATGGTGTCATCAACTCATCAGAATTACTTACTGGTTTATCATTAGTTGTTGGAGCAAAAAAGAAACAAATAGAAACCCAATCTACGGCTGAAGAATAGTTATCATCGAGCATCATTCCCCATTTTTAAAGAAAAATTTTGCTCCGAACGTTTTTTCGATAAATAAAACTTTTTAAACAAAAAAAATCTTTTAATCTTTTTACACGCACAGAACTAAAATAAGAAATTTTTTAACATTATCAGTCGAAATTTTTACCTCTCGACACTTTTATTTTTCGACATTTTTAACTTTCGATATATCTACTTTCGACATTTTTACCTTTCGACATTTTTACTTTCGACCAAAGTAGGGTTTACCAACAAAATATTTGTCTCTTTCTTTCTATTGTCCATTTATTAGCCTTTCGTTTTCTACTGTATCTTCTCTCTCTCTCTTTCTCTCTCTCCTTTGAGTATAAAAGTGTGTCCTATGCATGTAAACAATGTGACGAGTTTTCATAAAATAAATGCGTGTAATGATGTAACTACGATTTATTCAGCCTCTTTATATCATAAATCGCATCATTTACACATAGAAAACAGGTTAATATAAACAATGAAGATGAAGAGAGAGAGAGAGAGAGAGAGGGAGGGAGATAAAAAAAAAAGAAAAAGAAAAGGAACGGCCAATAAATGCACAACAAGAAGAAAAAAAGGAAGCAAATAAATGAGTAACACAGAGAAAAAACGATGACGATTTATTGGTTATTTAAAATAATATCTCTATAGATGAAAACGTAGGATTATTCTAATGTAAATAAACTATAAATGACTGAAAAAATTGTTTTTTTAATATAAAATACACATGACTTGTGGTTCGACGCCTGTTATTTAACTAAGAATACAAAACACCATTTAAAAGAAATTTTTGATATTTACATTTTCCTATCTTTGAATAAAACCGATGTGAAAAAATTTGATATTTAAACATTGTTCTCCTATTTTAAAGAAGTACTACTTCCATTGATGTCTTTTTATTTCTTATTTCATGTACTGAAACTATTGAAAATTTTTTTTATCAGAAACAGAATTCTGACAAAATTCTACTGGGAAATGTTGAATTCTGCATAGAATTCTGCTTTCGACCGAAGTTAGTGTGTCTATACACTAAGACAGAATTCTGACTGAATTCTGCTGGGAAATGTTGAATTCTGCTTAGAATTCTGCTTTCGACCGAAGGTAGTGTGTGTATACAGTAAGACAGAATTCTGTAGGGGAAACAGAATTCTCTGTTGGTGGTGTGCAATGTGCCTTTAAGTCATATAGGTATTATTCTTACAGAATTCTGCTGGTTGTTCTTGGGAGAATTCTGCCCCCCCTCTTTACATCTGTTTTCGAATCTTTAAACTGAAATTCCGTTCACTCACAAATGTGGTTCTAAAATGACGAAAATGAAAGAAATTTGTTGGGAGATAATTAAAGTGATGTCATCAACATATGTTAGCCACTACAGTCTATTCATTGACAGCTGATCTAAGATAATGAATCATGCATATAATTAATCGATCAATCGAAATCGATCCTTAAGAATGTATCTCTAAGTAAGAATGGAGTTTTCTCAGTGATGAATTTCATCATGTCGACATAAAAAGTATTCAAGATTTCTCTGAATTGAAGATTTTGCGTTAAGATTCGATTCGAGCTTCGCATCGCATTTCGTATTCGAGTGAAACTTGAATACCATCTAGTTAATGCGGTGCGAAGCACAGCATTCATGTAGTCCGTCGCGAGTCTTTTTTTTGTTTCTTTCTAACTTGAGTACGTATTAGAAATCAGGTTAAGTAGCGCGATGATCTAGAGAACCGTAAATGATAGAAAATCCATTCGAACTAGATATGAGAGTGTAAAGATCGAACTTGTTACATCTTTTTTCCAATTTTCAATACTAAGTTTCGTTCGGCTAAAAATCATTTTTCTTTTTAACCTAGCGCATATGCATTAAAATAGTCATTTTGTTGCGCGATGATCTGGAGAACCAAAAATCATCCCATGTCGCCTCTTTTTTACCAACTGAGCCGCAGTTACGCGCAGAGCCAATTTTATGTCGCAGTTACGCGTAAATACGGCGCATTGATCGTAGTGAAGACTTTTCTTAAATACTACGCCTAATGCGACCCAGGCCAGCGTAACTGCGTTCTAGTGATCGCATCATACGATCCGTTGTAACTGTAACTGGCCAATTATAAATAATTCCTTATTTTTAATTGGCCACTCTCGAACACTAAAAATTAGTCATAGAAAGTTACTATAAAAAGCACTGTTCATCGAACGTTCGGTTCATAAACACATTCTACTATAAACAGTAGAATACTTGTTCCGAAAAATATTTAAATATTTTCCCCATTTAATTATTATTAATATTTTTTTTATTTTTTAATTTTTTAAATTTTTTAAAAATTTCTAGAGCTTTTCTTAGGCTTTTTATTTAAAAAATTTTTCTAATCTAAGTTTTTTTCTTTTGTTTATTAAATTGTAAATAATTTTTTAAATGTTAATTTTTTGATTTTTACAGATATCTATTTGTTATTTTCCTTAATTATTTTATATTTTAAAATACTTTTTAACTTTTAATTTTTTAGTAATTGTTTTATTTCTCAAACTTTTGTTTTTAATATTTTATAAAAGTTTTAATTTTATAGTTTTAAGTCTTTTCTTTTCTGTGCTTAAAAATTTTTCTTTTAACTCATAATAAAAATAAAAATAAAAATAAAACCTAATCTGTATCATCTCATGTAGCAATCGCGATTCATTTCTGCCGCAAAAATGATCACATTCTGGCCCGTAAGTGCAAAAAAATGCGACTCAATTACGCGTAATTATGCCGTAATTTTCCGTAATTACGGGTCACAGTGCGATCGCAGTTACGCCGTAACTACGCCGCAGTTTCATCGTAATGAAACATATGGGATAGAAACGTTATACAAACTAGAAGTGAAAATATGAATATTGAACTTGTGATATTTGTTTTCAAAATTTTAATACGATATTTTGTTTGCTCAGAAATATTCTCCCAAAATGACGGTTTTGAAAGATATTTATCGTTTCAGACTTTCGCGCTAATTAATATGACGTCATCAATAGTTGTTAACCAACAGTCTATTGCTTTACATCTGATTCAAGATAATGATTCATGAAAATAATTAATCGTTCAATGAAAAAAATTGTTAGACAACTGGTTGTTACATTTTCAGAGAGATTTCCTAGTGATGAAATTCAAAATGGTTGATTTAAGAATAATAATAATAATATCTCCCATAGGCTTATCGCCCGTTGGGGCCGGCGCTAAAGGGTCCACAAGCAGCCAGGTTCTATCGTTTTTTCTCTTTTACAGACGACGGTATCTGCACCCCATTCGTCCAACGCTTCCCCCGTTAATGATTATGGGTTGCCGATCATCATAGGATCACGTGGCCGTGACATCTATGTTGAAGTTATTGTTTTGACTCTGTATGCTGACTAATGATATAATCGATACGCTATCGGATGAGTCATCCGGAACAATTAGCCGTTAGTAACTTGTTCAGGGTTATTCCATGATTGGTGAAACTTTGGCTTGAACACAGTACCTTGTGAATATGTGTCGAATAACATATCCACTCAACCATGGCGGCTATGATTAAAGAATAGTGAATGCGAAATTTTTATTCAAAATTCGTATACGGAAATTAAAAACAAATAAACGTTTGTAATGAATATTAAAGTGAATCATTTATTTTTAAATCTTATTCTCGCTACTTTCGAAAATTCGGCTCGTGTGCTTCGCACCGCATTTCGTAGTCGAGTGATACTCGAATACCATCTAGTTTGCTCTTTGTCAGTGCCATTGCATTTCTATACTTTTACAGTATCAGCTAGACGGCTTAATTATCGAATAAATCTCGATATATTTGGTTATTAAATGGTGAAAGTGTATGTTTCACACATCGGCGGGCCACCATTGGGGCAAGGTGGGGCAGTTGTCCCACCCAGAATTTTTATTCTTATAGATGCGATTCGTTCATTTTTTTTTCCTAGAGCTGATATAGACATTTTAATAATTTTTGCCCCACCAAAAACAATTACTCTGGCCCGCCGATGGTTTCACAAGACAAGATCTATTTATATGATAGATAGAAATTTTCATGTTCTTTAAGTTTACTATCTTGTAAAGGGTATAACTCTTTAGTTGAAGATTTCCATGGCATTCTAGTCGTAAAGTACAATTTCAACATGAAACACGTTTAACTCTGTTGAAAAGATCGATTCACTCTTCAAAATGCTACTTATCAAAAAATTACTCTGATTTAGATGATCAATTTACAAATCTCTCGAAACTACTACAATGTTATCACTAAGAGAGCTCATGTTATCGTACTGGTTACTATAGACTAACACTTTAATCACCATCCGATATAAAATCAACCCAATTGTCATCAGACAGTCAGTATACATTTCGATGATCAAAGGTATTAGAGATATTTCGAGACAATATCTTAAGTATCCCTCTTTATAAAATAATTACATATAAAAGAACTGAACGAAAAAAAAACAGTCGTCGAAACAATGATCGCCGAAAGAATCTCGGCGATAAGATAAACACTTACTACTTCGATTGAAATGGACCATAAAGTGAACGAAAGAAGACACGATCTTACATAAGATGATTATCGTTTTAATTGCTTCATTCGTATTTTTTAATAAAAATATTCTATTTTTGCTAAAGTTGAGAAATAAATTTTATAGAATTTTATTTATATATTCAAAATTCTTCATGCGCATATACAATTGTTCGAATCTGATTTTCTCATGAATTTTAAAATAAAAAAATCCTTCTCCTGAATAATAATAATGACAATCAATTGTATATATCCACAGAAGAAAAAAAAAGAAAACTTCCATTGCATAAGATATAGAAGTACAAATAAACGAATTTCACATCCAAAAGAAAAAATTTAAAGCTGAGAAACACATAAATAACAAAACAAAAACAAGAAAAAAATTCGAATTCTCTGAGTTTTCTTCTTCTTAATATGTAATGCTGACACGAGTTGGCAACGAAAAATAATTTACGATAGAATTACCCTACTGATCAATATATGACTGTTAGTCAATAGGTGTAATGTGTGATGATATATCAATAGATATAATATTATTTATTGAGAAAATCAATTGTAGCTCGTACACATTTGCCAGTGGTCATATCAAGTGCGCTAACTTTTATTTCAGTATCACCAAAAACCATGCGTGTTTGAATTTCACGTCGACGATCTTTAAAACTTGAGGAAAAATTATTACGATTTATGGACATATACCCATCATTGAACATATCAAGAACAAGAGTACCTAATAGACGACAATGAATATAGTAGTTATTGGATAATTTATGCTTAAAAAATAATTTACCAATTTTTCTCACGCCTGAATCTGTGACATAGATGGGCTTATCTGATTCGGAACAATAAAACGAAATGACACATTGTGCTTGATTGAGTCTGGCTGGTGTATATTTTCTTACAACGGTATCACCAAGACCAATCGATTGATCGACAAGAACAAATTTATCGAATATATCTGCACACCATTCAATATTATCTTTAACGACTTTCTTTTCATTGAGATGATAATCGGGAACGAAACGATTCAATACGGAAACTCCATATGTTAAACGGGAACGACGAACATTAACAATAGTTGGATCAAGTCCAAATAGAACAGCGCCTTAAAAAGAATCATAGAAAAGTTTATTTCTATCATATTTTTTTTTTAAATTAAAATTAAACCTTTCAGTATGGACAGTGAAACATCTTGAGGAATAATCACTTTGAGAATCGATGAAAAAGCTCGACGAATTTCATGTTGAAGTATGGGTGACTCAGCAAAACCACCAACAAGAAAAAGATATTGAATTCCTAAACGAATTGAATCACAATTATTTCAAGACCATTTTTCTACTTCAATTTTTTTACCTTTAACATCAGGACTATTTAAGACATCACCAATAGTACCTTTTATTTTTTCTACTGTTGGATGAAACAGACGTTTCATAGCTTCGGGAGTTAATCTCATCATGCCTTGCGATGACCATTTTATATCGACATCATTATAACGACGAATAGCAGATTCGACTGTTGAGCCCTATGATAGAACAAAAAAAGAAATTTACTTACAAGATTGCGTTTTATTTTTTTACCTTTTTTTTCTTATAATAATCAATAAATGAAAATGGTAATGAAATATTTAATGAATTATGTTTAAATGGACTGGCTGTACGTTTTCTTGCTTCGAATGCAATCATTAAATCGACATAACCAGCTGGCCTTTTCATTTTAAAATCTTCCATGAGTTCTTTAGTAAATATTGTAGACATGAGTTTTTCAAATTCTTGGTCAACACCTAGACAAGATTTTCTTTTTATTCATAAAAAGAAAAGAAATTCTATCCAATAGACGTACCAACTGAGCCAAAGGGTCCACCAGTTGCTTTATATAATTCTTTTAAAGTTCCCAGTTTATTATCTAATTCATGAACCGTCATATCGACTGTACCACCCCCGCAATCAACCACAATATAACGTGTGCCACGATCAAGAACAACTTCAAATGCTTGTTTATTGGTACTATAATCGCTTTGATCAACTGATACTAATTCAAAAGAAAAACCATGGATATTTATATGTTACCAAATTATTTTAGAGAGAAGCCAACTTTATTTAATTCTTCGTAATAGCTGATTTCATTTCTTAGGCAATATAGACCTTTTCAGTGGAAACGTTTTTTTCTATTAATATTACACAACGTTCAGATCTTGTAGTTTTTCTTGCCTTACAGTAAAGTTTAGCAAAACGGATTTTCGAATTTCATTTTAAAACTTCAGATCAAGACAATTTTCGATGAGAATAGTTCATCATGGCCAACTTACGTATTTCCACTTTGTTTACTCTCAAAATACAAGCTAATCTTTGAATTTTTGCAACTCCAAAAAGAAATAGTACTTCTCATGGCTATTGAAATTCTCCTATTCTGTTATCATCATCATCATCATCATCTTCGCTATTCTTCTGTAAAATGAGCAGAAGATCTCATATTTCTTCTGTTAATTGCTTGTTTGTATATCGATATATATTGACAAGAACACACGATTCAATGTATATTTATTCTATGTCTTTAGTATTTCTTCAGCGAGCATGCATTTCAATAGAAAGATTAAATATCATCAACTATCTAATATTTTTTTCCTTCTCTCTTATCTTTAAATGCTTACATTTTTCAGAATCGAAAAGAGTTGGCGATGATTGATTGGAAAGCGAAGACGATAATGTGCCATGGTCACGTCGTACTGAATTACGAGAATATGTTGGAGTTTCATCAGGAACGAATTGATGCATTCGAAGTTTACGAATATATATCGATGCTGCTTCGGGCTCCAACGCTATAAGTAATTGATCAGGAAATTCTCTTGAAGCAATACCAGCCTAAGAAATAGAATTTTTAAACGCTTGCCTTAATTTTGTTTTTCTAATTAATTCAAAACAAACTTGATAGGCTGCTTCACGCATAAACTGTTTCGCTGCTTGTTTCCATATAGCAGGCACCGTGATAACCCATCGAACATCTTCATTAACAAATCTCGTACCTGATTGATCACTAAGTTCACGTAAAGCGTGCTCTTTAAAATATTGTAATGCATAAGTAAATATTGTTAATGCAGGAACTTTACGTCCATTACTAGCAGGAATTAATGTTTGAGTATTAAGATCCTAAATAAATTTACAGTTCTGTTGAAGAAAACAAAACGATCGGTTCTCAGTTTAATGAAAATCCTTCGAAGTGAAAAGAAAAAAACTTGACTATATAAATAAAGAGAAGAAGGATACGTCGATACAAATGTTTCGTTTAATTATATGCGCATCAATAAATATATCATTATCATCGAGACTTATCAATCGATGTCTATTGATTTGCAACGTTCAAGTATAGAAGAAAAGTAGCATATGCAGTTTTTTCCTTAAACAATCATAAGTCATGTCTTCTTTTTTTTTTGACAAGAGAAGAGAAGTCTAATTAAATGATCAAAGTCAAGAATAACAACAAATTATCAACGTCAAAAACAATAACTATAAGATTATGAAGCTTCCTATACATATTTAGTTTTCGCTCTATTAAACAATCGTCAATCACTATCACATTTTACACTGAATGATGTAATAGATCATCGATTGAGTGAATAGAACTATTTCCTTACATAATAATACCGCCAGACTCAATCTATCGCGAGAATCAATATTTCGTTGATGTTTTCAATTACAAATTCTTACTTGTGTATGATGAAGATGCATTTTAAATTTTTCAAAAAATAACCATCGTTTTGCTTCATCAAGATCAAGATCATGAAAATAATCTCTTGCAAAAAATCCAAATGAATGAAATTCTAAATTTGGTGTTAGCAGTATTGTCGTTGGCGTCTTTTGATTAATTACACCTATTAATCAAAAAGATCAAATTCATAGTTTATAGATTGATTTTTCAGTCAAAAAACAAAGCAAACAGTGAACGAACCGGGATCATTGCCATCAACTTTCCGCATCATTAAAATCGAATCAATATCTCGTGTAAATGCGAATGCATAACCGCTAAAGGTTGTACCGAAATCGATTGCTACAACGACAAAATGTGAATTGGCTTTTTTCTGATAGTTTATCGACGATTCATTTCCAGAATCGTCCGATGTGATGTGATTGAAAGAGTGACGATTATGATAAATGGCTGATGGTTGAGATTGAGATGGATAAGTCGCTTGAGCATAAGCAGCCGTTGAAGGAATATATTTTTGATCCGTGGAAATTTGTTCATAGGATGAATAGGGATAAGCTTCTGGCATGCTTCGTTCAATAGAAATGTTTATTGGACGAGATGAATCCATATTCATTGTTTCGGAAGTGTCTAGTAGAAAAAGCAAATAAGATTTTCTAATAAAAACAATTTCTTCTTACCCATGATAGTATTTTCTTAAGGAATTAACGAATAAAAATTACAATCAAACTAAGATTTGTTAAACTACGAGATCATAGTATTGTGTTTTTTTTAGTAATCGTACAATATATGAGCAAAATGATTTCTTCGTCTTCTTTTTTTTTCTTAGTGAGCTTTAACGTATAAAATAAACATTTATCTTCGGTTACATTACTCGAGAAGTATATCGAGAGAGAGAGAGAAAAAAAAAGATGTAAAAGATGCGCGAGACAAATGATCGTTAGTTCGCACGACGAAGAGAATAGAAGAAGAAGACGAAGAAAAAGTTTATTCCACTCAATAATGTACAATTCTATCTCATTCTTTTTCCTTTCACTTTGTTTCTCTCTGAGTAGTATCTCGACCGAACGTTAGAAAAAGTATATCGAAGACGATAATGAGGCAGCATCGCTCTACAGTTCTACTATTCTGATGATATTGACAAAGAACAGAATACAAGAGAGAAAATATGAACCTCTTATAAGTATCCAATATGCGTGTAGAGGCGGCAAGGTGATCTCGTCCGTTCATATCAGATGATATGTCTGATGGTAACCGCACAGCAGCGAATTCTTTCTGCGGCTATCAAAGATAATGATGATCAGATGACTAATAGAGAGAAAGAAGATAATTAAGATCGGGAAGCAAGGATTAGACGAAGAAAAAGAAAGACAACACAGTCAACCTTTTGAGACACTTGCGCACTTTTTTCTTCTTCTTCTTCTTCTTCTTTCTAACAATAATTGTTTAGGCATACATCTAATCATTATTGTCTCAAATGACATTGTCTATTGCATCGGATTAGAGAACGAGTGTAAACCACCTATATCGATTGCTCAATTCAAACAAAGAGAAAAGAGAAAAAAAAATCTTTCCGTTTTTTTTTTCGTTTTTTTTTGCCTACCTGTCTCAGATAACTCGTCAGTATTGTTATTGTCATCTCTGTCATATGTATAAATTGTCTCTTCACGTAAAACATAGTGTGTACTTGTTAACAGTATCGATGGTAATATCATAATATCATTCGGTTCCATTATTTAACAAATGTAAGATGAGAAAGAATAATAACAATGACTTGAAATCGATCACTTGATATCATTGTCTTATAAACTTGAAATCAGATAAGACGCTTTTGTCAATTTTTTTTCTACATTCAAGTCTTATGTATGTACATGAGAAATAAAGGCGACGAGAAGAGAGTATCGTTAGAGATTGTCATTCTTTTGCCTGTAGTCGATTTGTAGAAAAAAAGAATAATCATTAGATTGTTATATGCAGATAAATGATGAAGAAAAAATGTATATAGTTAACACCAAAAGAAAGCATATGAGCAGTAACGTTTGCTCCCTCTCTCTCTCTCTCTCTCTCTCGCCCTAAGCTTCACTCTATAGTGTTATCCATTGGTCTGTAAAATCTACATGATGTTCTTCTGTATGGAGTAAATATCTCGAATACATCAATAATCAATGACGCAATATCGAGTGATCGATTCTTCTAGCAAACCACGCACACGCATATACACAATAGATAACATAGAAAATTTATTTTCCTATTTAACCTAAACACAAGAACGATGTTCCATAAAACAAAACAAAAACTGCCAGAAGTATACTTTGACATTTGAACATTCTTACTGATCGTAATATAACTTTGCCGTAAAGGGGTTTATTAGTTTTTCTTTTTCTTCTTCTAATATACTAGTAATAATTATAATGTAATAAGAAAATTTAAGAAGTACATACAATGAAAGACATCATCAAACGAGTACGTGTATATTGGCATGAGGTTTTTAATAAATAAATTTTTGTTTATTCACAGCAACCATCGATCAGCAATATTGTTTGTCGATTATTTGTTGCCGCCTGCTGTCATCATCATCATCATCAAACTTGCTTACCTACTTCTAATCACTACCAATAGTCTTGGCATATGCATTTATTTGGACGTCATGTTAAAAAGCCAGATGTATCATTACAACGACTTACTAGTTTGATTGATTCTATTGATGAAGTGTGTCAAAAATAATTATCAAGCTACTTTAAATCAATAAGTTTACTTGAGCCATTTATCCAGAATATTCGACAAGAGAAATACAGAAATTATAATTGCCAAACTGATAGTGTAAGAGTAGACATTGACAAATCTGTTTTTTCTTCTGTATTCTTATCTGTGGGATCATAAATTATAAATTTCAAAAGACAATTATTGTTTTTTTACGATTCTATAGATGATGGTATTGCTAGTCATTCTCTTTTTTCTCAAGCTGCTCTAGTTCGATAGTCTAAAAACAAAGAGTTTGAATATCGATAAGAAGAAATCTAGTAAAATTTATCATGATGAGTCGATTAACTTTATCATTTTGACTTAATTAGCTCTAATCAGTATGGTGGAATGCTTAGACATAGTTTCATCCTTTAACCTACAATCTCCCATAGGGACCCCACAAGAGTCACTAATGAAGCAACTATTTGCATTGGCTATCGGTGCTGCAAATGTTGGTGGTGAACTTTTAGATACTGAAAAACTAAAGAATTCATTTTCGGGAAAATGGCTATGCTATGCTATGCTTTACCATCTTGCTTTTTCAGAGCAATTTTCAAATGCTATATTATTAGCAGAGATCTATTGATAGAAAAAACATCTTTTAACTTGAACAATTAATATTTATCTCAACGATTGAAATGCAGTTCTAATCGAAAATTTTATTCGACAGTAGTTGAATATATTTTATTCTGGATGTATTCAAGAAGTCTTATCGATTTTTCGTACCATCAGACATTGGAGCAGTCCTGATAGTAATTATCAATAGATGGTTCATGGTCAATCGACATGAACAACTGTTTCTTCAATTAAAGCTACAATGACAAACATCCCTGCTCGTATCGAGATATAATCCCACTTGGAATAGCATTATTATTCTTACAGAAATACTAGCATCGTGTGTCTTAGCACCTGACTTACGCTGTTCCGACGTATCCGATCGCTTTATATAACTCATTCAACAATTCGTTTTAGTCTCCTTTGGATGTAATGATGAGGCTTCATTTTAATGACTTTTATTAGTGATATTCTCGTTTATTTAATCTAATCAATGCAACTATACTTAAAACATAAGAAAACAAACAAACAAGTGTAACACTATGTGCAGTAAACAAGTGCATAACAAATGAAGAACAAAATAAATACAAAACATTTAAAATTCTTTCATATGCCGCACGCACACGCAAAAGCGAATAGAATACCATAGAAATATGACGCGATACGAATGATTCATCATGATGACCTTCAATTTATTCCTATGAAAAAGATCACCGAATTTCATTGAATCAAATACTAATAGTTAAGATTAATACTATGAAGCATATCTAAAAGTACTGTTTGTGCTGTTTTGAATAAAATTAAACTGTTAACCAATGTACAAATCATGTGTATCGATATGCTTGTCTGTTTAGTACACTAGAATAAATAATGTTGATAGACTAGATGGATAAAATGAAATAAGAAGGAAGGAAAGCAAAAACAAAAGAACAGAATAGGCAAAAAGAAAGGTTGTTCATGATTACGGTGTCACTTGTCGACAGAGACCATTAGCTGAATGCGATATGAATACTTCATCGTCGTTGTCAAATTGATTTGTAATCGATTGAGGTTTTCGCCAGCGTCGAAAAGTGTCCGATGGTTTAGATTTACATGAGGGGAGTTTAGTCATAGATTCAGGTGTTATTATTTCGTGGTCAGATTTTGAAAAATCTCCATAACGTGGCTTTTGATGTGGAACTGAAGATTTGTTAGGTACTGAATTCGAAAGTAGAGTATCGTCATCAAGTGTTTCAGCATAGAAACATTCTAATGATGTTGGTGAATTAGATTCGATTTGTTGAGAATTCTGTTGTTCGAGAAAATGTGCCCAATCATCGAAATTAATTGTGTTATTATTATTATTATTTATGTTATTATTTTCCAGTTGATGATAAAAATCTTCGCCTAAACATCGTTGCACATCGTCCGTTGAAAAGTTTATTTGTAAATTATTATCATTATTAGAATTCACTTTTCGTTTGTCTTTAGTTAATACGTGTCTATCAGCTTGATGAAAACGTTGTTTTTTGGGTCGATCATTCGTGGAATCCTCATCATTGTCTTCATCATATTTTCTCGAATCATCATCATCATCAGATTTTTTTTCATTTGATTGATTTTCTATGCATGAAGGTGTTGAAAGAGATTTAGGATGATTGATAAAATAGGCATTGTTGATATGAATTCTTTTTTCTGTACGTACATCAGCGGTAAAAATAGATTGCATAGTTTGAGATGTAGTGTAAGAATCTTTAACATCGTCATTGGTTGCTAAAGGTTGAACAATAATACTTTGCAGTGTGTGTGTTAGATTACGATTAGACTTCGATTTATCCTTTTGTTGTGATAATGCTTGACCCTCGTGCAGCCAGAGATTGAAACCACGTGAAAGAATATTATCGATATTTTGTTGAGAAGAAACATTGTTCGTTTGATCAGTTTGAATAATAAATTCATCGATGTCTGTAACGTTTTTAAAATCAGTTGATGCGATTTTTTCATTATTGCTTGTCGTATCGAATTCATTCGTTAATAAACTTTTAGCTTCATGATCTTTTGTAAGCATTTTAGCTCGTTGTTTTCTCTTTTGAATCATATCGGATGAAGTTATTGTTGTCGAGGACATATTTGAATTATCGACGAGCGACGAACTTGTTTGACGTGTATTGATTTGTTGACGAATATAGTCAGGCAAAAATAAATCTAGTTTACTGTTGGCTACTTCATAAGGTTTATTATCTTGCATAGGAGGAGTTGATTGGGATGGAGCAGTAGTCAATAATTCGTTTTTTTCAAAATTTTGATTGGAAATATGTTGTTTCTTTGTTGAGATTTGTTGAGATTTTTGTGGTTGAGCTGCTTTGGATTCGATTATTTTAGATTTTTGAACAGTTGATGAATTCAATTTTTGTTTATCATCATCAGGTTCTATGGTTGCGATAGTTGAAGAAAGTGATGCATTTGTATCATCAGCTTTTGTTACTGTGCGTGATTGTTTCTTTCGACGCTGAGAAGGCTTTTCATTTGATGAAGTTTTGATTTGTTCATGTTTGATGTCTGCTGTTGATGCACTTTTTTTGATTACGACTTCTTCAGGTTCATTTAATATCCGAAGAATATCAGGAGAGGACGTTTGAGATATGTGAATTGGTTCGGCTTCATCTGGAAGTTCATTTGATGATTTAGATACTTCTTGGCTTGAAATTGTTGAGGTCAAAAGATTTTGAATATTATCTGTAGGATGTACTTGTTCATTCGCTTGTGAAGTAATGATTTCGTTTGTAATAGGTTTTGATATTGTTTTATCTTCAGTAGAAAAAAGACGATTTGAGATTTTGATGGGCAGCTGAGGAATTTTTTGGACATTCCTATTTGCTGTTTGATCTTGACCGTCGTTTGTAATTGATATAGGGGAGCTATTTTGAGTTATTGGTGATGGTGGAGTAGGTTCTTTGTTCTTTTTTGATTTCTTCGATTTTTCCTGAGGAGTAATAGTTTGTTCTATGTCAACTGGTGGACTTGTTGTTATTGTAGATAACTCTTGTTTAACATAGGTCAATGTTGGCTTTTTATCAATGGGTGAGGTGAGTTTTGGTTGTTTTGCTGTTGTTGAGGTTTTATTTTTTTGATGGCGTACGAGTTGAAATCCATCGTTATCATCGTCTTGTATTAACTTTGGTCCGTGAGTTTTAGTAGAAGGGATGTTTAATACTGTTGATTTTTCAATTCCAGTCTTTTTTTCAGTATGTGTCGAAGCGTGATATTCTTGAACGATCGGTTTGCTTGATTGTTCTGTGGAAGATGATTGGTGTGGTTTAGGTGTTGTACTAATAATTGTTTGATTTTGCAAGTTTTTTACTGGTTTCAATTGTTCAGTTGTTTGTTTCATATCTTTAGGTTTGTTGAAACTATTAGGAACACTCGTTGATGTGATAATGCGATTGTCTGTTGACGCCGAACGAGGTGAGCCAGTAAAAGTTGATGTTTGATAGCTATCTTGTTTACTTTTGTTAGATAGAGTTTTTCGAAGGGGAATATTACGAGGTATGGGTCGAGATGCTGAATCATAGCGTTCAGCGGGGCCCAGATATTTACGATTAAAATATTGTTCATGTGAATTCTTTGTTTTTGGAGATGATTGTTGAACTTTTCGCGATTGAGATGCTGTATTCGAATGTTTACGATATTTTACAACTTGAAAACCTTCATTATCTTCTTCTTCTTCGTCGTCTTCCGAAGGTGAAGGCATTTTTTTAATGTTCACAATTGATGGTAATGTTGGTTTCGGTTGTACATCTGAATTTCTAATGATAGGTGAGAATAAGATTGGAGTAGTTTCTTCATGTGCCGTTTGTTCGTTCGATGCAGAAGCTACTTCTTGTTTACGCTTTTTTTGTTTAGTATTTTTTCTCTTTGGAGTTTTATTATCGGTGATAGTAGTTGATGGCATTGATAAATTTTGATTTTCATGAATAACTGATCTTGTCAAATCAAGATCAGCATTGTGAGTTTCTTTCGAAGCTACTGTTGATGCTGATGTGGTTTTCTCTGGTTTTGGTAACGCCAGTGTTCGTTTATGATAATGCACTGGGTGAAATCCTTCATTGTCTTCGTCTTCTTTTGGTGACTCTACAGTCGTTATTGTTTTTGTCTTTATTACAGACGATGGTGATGGCTGCACATTTGATCTATTATCTATTGATTGTTCTACTTTTGAACTAGAAATAAGTTTTACATTGTGTAAAACTGCTCTGACAGGAGTTGATATTGATTGACAAGCATTGTCAGAAGTCAATTCATTCTTTCCATCATCATCATCATCATCATCATTAGCAACATTCGACTTTGATAAAGCCTTTCCTTTTTGTTCGTCACCAGTTAGAGTTGAGAAGATTTCTGATGGCACAAATGCAGGTTTTATCGTCAGACTAGTTTGTGAAGAATCGGCATATGTAGATTGATTCTTTACGGATTGAGATTTTCTGGTATCGCTTTGCTGGCTTTTGTTAATATCTGATGGTAAGATTTCAGGTGCATCAAAGAATATTTCCTTGGTACTTTTCTTCTTTTTCTTATGCTTCTTTTTGCTAGTTGCGTTCACGGTTTGTGAATCAATAGGAGGAGTGACGATTGGTATATCTGGATGCCCATGAAGAACTACTGGTTCAAGATCAATATTTGAACTAAGAGCTGTGGTAGTTAGTATTTCACTTCGAGTCTGTGTTGTTGATGAAGGTATACATTTACGATGTTGTACTACATGAAATTCATCATTATCCTGCTCTCTTGTGATGTCTAATAAACGATTCTGTGTGGAGACAATCTCATTAAGTTCAGATTGAATAGTAACTGCTGCCGGAGGAAGTTGTTGATTACTAATGAAATCAGACATAGCTTGAACATTTTGATTTGAACTTTTAGTGTCTTGCTTTTCATTATCCACAGCTGATGTTGGCTGTGCCGAAGAAAGAAGATCATCTGAATGATTGACGTTTGCCAATTGATTTGAATAATTAGTAGAATCAGCAATTAGAGATTGTTGTGTCGGTCGAATTATTTGATCTTGCTGTTTGTCGAGAGTTTGCACAATATCATTCAAATGTTCGTGGGATTCATCTTGTTCTGAATTAATGGGTATCAACAAAACTTGCTCTGCAATCACCGATTCATCATCTATCACAGTTTCAGATTTAGGAACAGCATTCGAAGAATCTACTGTTTCAATATTTGTTGAACATTGTTGTCCCACGAACTGAGACTGCAATTTATCGGACGGAACGAATTCAGGAGCATCAAATATAATTGTTTCCTGCTTGTCTTTCTTCTTTTTCTTATGTTTCTTCTTGCTAACCGTATCTACAGTTGACGAAGTCATTCGAGGAGTGGCAATCGGTACACTTAGATGTCCATGTAGAATGACTGGTTCCAAATCAATATCTGAACTAAGAGTTGCGGTAGTTGGTACTTCGCCTTGAGTCCGTGCTGTTGATGATGGTATACGTTTCCGTCGTTGTACAACATGAAATTCATCATCGTTCTGTTCCGTTGAGTTCTGTAATGCACGATCCTGTGTTGAGACATTTTCATTAAGTTCAGATTGAATATTAACTTCAGTAGAAGTAAGCTGTTGTTTATTGATGAAATCAGGCATAACATCAACATTTAGACACGCGCTTTTCGCGACACATTCATCTTGTTTTTTATCGTCTACAGTTGGTATTAGATGTGTCGTAGAAAGAAAACCATTGTTATCATGAATAGTTGTCAAATCAGATTTTACAGGTTGCTGTGCAGTTACTTGCTCTTGCTTATTATCGAGAATTTGTACAGTTTCACTGAATTGCTCGGGTGATTCATCTTTATCTAAATTAATAGGCATTGAAGAAAGTTGCTCGGTAATCGTAGATTGTGTAAATACACTAGAAGAATGGATGGTTTCGACATTGTTTGAAGGAACTCTTTCTACTAATTGTGATTGTAATTTATCATTTTCTTGTTTGTTAACGTCGGATGGTATCAACTCAGGTGCATCAAATAAGATTGTTTCTTGTTTATCTTTCTTTTTTTTCTTCGTTTTCTTCTTGCTAACCGAGTCTTCAGGTTGTAAGAGAATCGGAGGAGTAGCAATCGGTAAAATTGGATGCCCATGAAGAACAACTGGTTCTAAATCAATATCTGGACTAAGCGTTGTGTTTGTTGTCGGTATGACTTGCGACTGTGTTGTTGATGATGGTACACGCTTGCGACGTTGAACAACATGAAATCCATCATTTTCCTGCTCATTTGCGTTGTCAAGTTCAAGCTGGTTACTAACTGCTGTCGTAGATAATTGCTGTGGTTCATTTATGCAATTTAATACTTTATATAATTGAGCAAACTTCACTTCAGCATCAGCCAACGAATAATAACTTGAATACCATGGATAGTCATCATATGTAACTCGAAATTTTTGATCTGAACTTTTCGCGACACATTCATCTTGTTTTTTGTCGTCTACAGTTGATATTAGATGTGTCGTAGAAAGAAAACCATTGTTATCATCAATAGTTGTCAAATCAGATTTTACAGGTTGCTGTGCAGTTACTTGCTCTTGCTTATTATCGAGAATTTGTACAGTTTCATTGAATTGCTCGAGTGACTCATCTTTATCTAAATTAATTGGTATTGACGAAAGTTGTTCGGTAATTGTAGATTGTATCAATACACTAGAAGAATCAATTGTTTCATCATTTTGTGAAGAAACTCTGTCAACTGATTGAGAGTGTAATTTATCATTTTCTTGTTTGCTAACATCGGATGATATCAATTCAGGTGCATCAAATAAGATCGTTTCTTGTTTATCTTTCTTTTTCTTCTTAGTTTTCTTCTTGTTAACCGAGTCTTCAGGTTGCGAGAAAATCAAAGGAGTAGCTGCAATCGGCACACTTGGATGCCCATGAAGAACGACCGGTTCTAAATCAATATCTGGACTAAGCGTTGTGTTTGTTGTCGGTATGACTTGCGACTGTGTTGTTGATGATGGTACACGCTTGCGACGTTGAACAACATGAAATCCACCATTGCCTAGTTGTCTTTCGTTGTCAAATTCTGGTTCATCGGTTGTAAGTTTATCGTTGAGTTCAGATTGAATATTAACTGTTGACGTCGAAAGTTGCTGCTGTTTATTTATGCCGTTTAATTCTTTATATAATCGAGCGAATTTTGTTTCGGCATCGACGATTGTATAATGACTTGGGTACCACGGATAATCATCATGCATAACTTGAACTTTGTGACATAAGGGTTTTTCGCGGGGTATACTTTGCTGTCTGTGATCAATAATTGACGTTTGATGTATAGAAGAAAGATGTTGACATTCAGAATCGGCTATTTTCGGTTGTTGTGAATAACAAGAATTTTTAGAGGTCAAAGATTGTTGTGCGTTTTGATCTATATGTTCTTGGTTATTGTCGATAACTTGTACTGATTCATTGAATTTTTCTTGAGATTTGTGATTATTGGAATCACTAGATATTAACAACAAATTGTGTGTTACCGGTGATTTATTGTCCTGGACAGATGCAGTTTCGGCAATAACATCAGATGAATTTATTGTTTGAGTACTGTTTGAAGAAACTCTTTCTACTAATTCAGAGTGTAACTTATCATTTTGTTGTTTGGTAACATCAGATGCTACGAATTCAGGCGCATCGAAAAAAAATGTTTCTTTTTGATCTCTCTTCTTTTTCTTATGTTTCTTCTTGCTAACGGTGTCTGCGGGTTGTAAAACCAAAGCTGGAACGACTATTGATACACCTGGATTTCCATGAAGAACGACTGGTTCAAGATCAATATCTGGACTAAATGTTGTGTTAGTTGTTGGGATAACTTGTGTTTGTGTGTTTGATGACGGTATACGTTTACGCCTTTGTACAACATGAAATTCACCATCGTCCTGTTCGCTTGACTTGTCTAATACGCGATTATGTATTGAGACGTTTTCATTAAGTTCCGATTGAATATTAACTGTGATCGGAGAAGGTTGTTGTTGTTGTTGTTGTTGTTTATCTATGAAATCAGACATAAGTTGTGTATTTTGACTTGAGCTTTTGTTCTGACATTCATCTTGCGCTTTGTCTGTAGTTTGTGCAGTTTCATTTGATTCTTTTTGTGATTCATCTTTATTTGAATCAATAGGCATCGATGCAAGTTGCTCGGTAATGTGGGATTTATTATTTTGTTCTTGATTAACATCGGATGGTACAAATTCAGGCGCATCGAAGAAAATCGTTTCCTTGTCATCTTTCTTCTTTTTCTTATGTTTTTTCTTGTTAACCGTGTCTGTAGTTTGTGAAATGATCGGACCTGTGGCTATGGGTACACCTGGGTGTCCACGAAGAATGACTGGTTCCAAATCAATATCTGGACTAAGTATTGTGTTCGTTGATTGTTCATTGTGTGTATGTGTTGTTGATGAAGATACACGTTTGCGTCGTTGTACAACATGAAATCTATCATCATTCGGCTCCTGTGCGTTGTCGAAATCAGACTGAATATGAACTGTGGTCGGAGAACGTTCCTGTTGCGTATTTATGAAATTGAATTGTTTATATAATCGAGTCAATTTTGTTTCGGCATCAACAATTGTATAATAACTTGAGTACCAAGGGTAATCGTCATACATAGTTGGGAATTTTTGGTCTGACGATTTGTCGCCGGTTTTATCTTGTTTTTGCTGATCACGAGTTGATGTTGACTGTATGGAAGAAAAACAATCGTACCCAGGATCGACTATCATCGATTGATTTTCACAGGAAGAACATTTTGGGATCAAAGACTGTTCTATGTTTCGATTCGGTTGCCCTTGCGTATTGTCATCAGTTCTTTCCGTGCCAGTCAATGTGTTTTGCAATTTATTATTATCCGAATAATTAGATATCGACAGAGGTTGTTGTCTAATGGAGGACATATGATCAAGACCATCTGTAGGTTCGGTAACAGTACTTGATGAATCATTTACATCAACAATTTTTCTGACAGCTTCATCTTGTTTTTGCTTTTTCTCTATTGGTTGAAGAGGTTCTTTATGTGTCGCGTTTGGCGTGCTCGATAGAAGCGCCGCTGGTAGAAAATCTTTCGCCCGAACGAACAATTCTGTTGTTGATTGCTGATTTTGCTCGTCGCCTATTTTTATTTTTGTTTCTGCCGATGGTGTAATAATCGATTCAGGGGTTGGCATTACTGCGTTGTTAAATTTGAATGCAGATGAAGCTGTTGTGATGTCTTTCTGTTCTATCGATTCTGTATTATGCCGAATATTTTCGATACGATTTTGTATCTGCTCTGTGACATCAGAAATCTTGTCATCCATCGATGTTTTTGTTTGTTGGCTTGAAATAATATTTGATTCTATTTGCGATTGATTCGATGATCGGATAGGTGTCGTGTCGTTTGATAAAATATTTTTTTGACTTATAGATTCATTATTGTGTGATGATTTGAGAACGTTTTGGTCGCTGTTTGTAGCTTTATCAAGTATATTAACGTAGTCCATACGGGCATCGCTGCGTTCATTCAATGGTTGAGTATTTGCTAATATTGATTCATTTTCATTAATAGATAGTGAATTAAGAAGCGGTTGTATTAAAGTATCTACTCGATTTAATAGTGAAGAATATCGAAAATCTAATTGAAGATTTGATGTAACACCTGGAATAATTGATTGATTATCATCGATCACAATGGATTTGTTTTCATTGGAATCCTTTGATTGAAATGTTACATCAACAGATTTCGTTATATCACTAACTGTATTTATAATATCATTAGATACACCGAATACTCGATGATATTCTGTTGATAATAGATTTGTAACGTGTGGAAATGATTTTAAACCAATATGATTATCATTCGATTTTTCTTGATAAACATGTAAAGGTGCATTATTACGTTGTTCTTGTAATTCAAAATAAATTCTTGTTAAATCAGATGTTTCTGTTTTCTTATCTGACTCTTCAATATCAACAGAAGGAAATTCTGATGATATGGGTTCGATATTACGAGTTATGAAATATTCACTTTGATTCCAATCTTGAAAGTCTGTTTTGAATGATGAATCAGCAGTAAAAGATTCTGTTGAAGACGATGATAAATCATGTGTTGAATAACATGAATCAGTTGTAATTAGATCAGCTGTATTCATGTCCGCGTATTGTTGAAGATTATTACATGGGTCTGAAAAACTGTCAGTATTTATATCGTGAAATTTTATTGATTGAGATGACGAAAAAGATTTTGTATCAATATCATTGAATGATTCGTCTTGATGAGTTGATCTTAATAATTCTGATTCATTTGAAATAATATTTCGAATAGAAAATTGAGCATTGTCGACTGGAGAATCTGATAAAACCTCGTTTGATAGAAGTGTTGTCGTGATATTATCGTCAATACTTGTCAGTAGTGTTGATATCAGAGGAGTTTGATTGATGGAATCGTTTGCTGTTTCTTCGATTATTTCTCGAGCGTTATCGATCGATGGAAAGTAAGTAGTTCCAATCTGACGAAGTTTATCAGTACAAACATCTGACGAGTGCTCGATAGTTTCATCTTGCGTAGTATTCATAGTCGATCCTTGTTGATTACTGTCAATAGAAGAGCGAAGGAATGGTTTTTGTGTTTGAGCAAATGTTTCCATTGTATGGTTGATTGATGAAAGACGTTCAGGTTCGTTTTCTTCTTGAGCGACGAAGCTGGTCGATGTCGGACTTTGTTTTCTAAAAAGAATCTTGAAAAAAATAAAACAGAACGACATAAAAGGAAAACTTTACTTGGCAAAATTGTCGGATGAAGATTGAAGATTGAGTGATGTTGCAAGAGTATTAGCATCAATTTCAGTCGAGGATGAGTGTTTGAATTCGTCTTGTTTTGTTTCCATGACAGACGGCGTACTGTTTGAGTTGGAAAGTCTATATTCACGATCTATTTGAGAACGAATGAATGATTGATCACTTATTTGTTCTTTTTCAAATTCGATGGTAACTTCATAGGTTTCCATCGTTGAATCATTACAACTGTCGGCGTCGATGTTTTTGCTTCGAAAATAAAGATAAGTTAAATAAGAATATCCTAGAAGTTTTATTGACATACTTTAGTTGATTTGATGAAATTGCATTCTGAGAATCAATATTTGATATTGATTCGTTGGTTTGGATAATAAAAGATTGTTGATCTTGACCGAAATTACGTTCAATTGTTATTGTTGATTGAGTATCATTTTCAATTGATTGTACTTGCTGTTGAGCTGATGGTTTCTAGAGAGAACATAAAATCGAGTTTGTATTCTGAATAGTTGATCTAATAGATGGAAAAAAAATGTACTTTTTCTAGATTCGACTCCGAGTCTGCCGATTGTAATCTGAATTCTAACATGTTTTCATGATCATCGTTGATTGATGATTGTGCTAGTGAGTTCGTGACGTGGTCATTATGTAAAATATGATGTTCATTTTTTACAAGTAAATATGATTGACGAGTTTTTTCATCGTCGTCTACTCTTTGTGGAATAAGATCCCTTTGATATCGTGGTTTTTGTTTATTTGAATTATGAGATTGTAATGAGATTTGTTCATTGACAGAAAATAATGTCTCGTTACCCATTATCTCGATATTGGAACAATCATTACCTGTAAAAGGAAAAGGAATATTCAGATTTTTTATCTAACCGAGAAATAATTGTAACATGAATAAACAGGGAAAAAACCGATTGATCTTTTTGATTGCTATCATTCTATGTTTTAGTAGAGAAAAAAGTCGAGTTGATTTGCATAAAAAAAAAACATATCATGGCGATTGGCGTGTAATATATACAATGACAGTCTGAATCAATCAATTCAAATGTTGTTCTTGAAGGTTCAAAACGAAAATTCTTCTCAATAATGATTTTTGAGGGATGCCATGCATCGATAAGTTTTTTTTGTTGCAAGGTTAATTATCGCTCGTAGTTTTATAATTATTTCGATATTTAATTAAGCATTTAGCCCTTGAAATACTTTTTTTATTCGCAAAAAATGATGCTATTTAACATTTTCAACGCGATAAACTTTTGATGTTATCAAACATCAAATCTTGACATAATCAACAATGCATTGTGGTTTATTGATTAAAATAGGATTACTACTTTATAATGTTTCCTCGATAGAAATCGCAATCGATACATATATATATATATATATATATAAATATGTGCAAAATGTTAACATTTACCAGTGTTCAATATTGCGCTAATCTTATTCGGATTAGAAAACCTTGGAAGAAAGAAGTACTTGAAAACTCATTTTATATCAATTTTCGCTTATACACTAAGCCTTCTACAATAGAACGACTGTTCTATGATCATGTTCATTCGACATAATTAAATATTACTATGTCATGGGAGTTTCCCTTTCTTTTTTCTTTTTCCTTGAGCCTGTCAGAAATATACCGGAGAAGAAAACCAAGTCGAGCAACTTACTGTGGTTAGGAATAGTTTTAGAATTTTCATTTAAGCCGTTTTTAATTATATTTTCAGCCGCTCGATTAATTGTTGTTATTTCATCATTATCACCGGATAAGTCATTATTTGAATTACTAATTTTATTGGTAGTTTGAATCATTGAATCAATTTCACTTGATAAATTACGCATTTCATCAAGCAATTGTGCGGCTCGTTCATTAATATCAGTCGAATGACTTTCTAACTTTGAACGTTTACGTTTTATACGTCGTTTTTTAATTTTAGAAAAATTTCGAGCTTCAACATACGAATGCTGAACTTCTCTGGTTGATTTAATTTGACCATCTGAATAAATAATTTCATAGGAAATTTCTTCCATTATTGTCGGTTCAGTTTCTTCGAACTCTACATAATCTTCAATGATAAATTCTCCATCATGTTTGATAATCGTTTTTGCGTCATCACCCCAACGCTCAATTAATGTTGGGTAATGATCGATGTTTGTTATGTCAATAATTTCTTCATTGATTATTTCTTCATCGGAATCATCTAAGTAATGAATTTTACGATATGGCGATGACGATAATGATGTACGATAGCGGCTCATTGATGGATATGAGGATTCATATTCACAACAGCGATGACGTGTTGAATTAGAATTTGTCGTGCAAGTTGAACTATTATTCGATAAAGAAATATTTTCATTCTTATTGTTATTATTGAAGGATGAGGAGACACGATTCTCCATTGAATCGTTGACGCTCAAACAGTAGTATGGTTTGGTTGTAAGCGACGTAACTGAATCAGTATTTTTATTTGTTTCCTTTTCTTTTTTTTTTCTTCTTCTCTCTGTCTCTCTTGTTCTCTCTTTGGCGATGCTCTCTTAACATAGTTTTTTCTCTTTTCTCTTCTACCTTTCTTTCGGCCTCCTTGATTTTCGCGATGATCGTCAGAATTTTCTGTCTTCACGGCTGTCCTTTCCTTGGCATTCAATGCTATTTATGTATATTGCTCATCTCGATTGTTGTTCTTAGGGCTAGCAATGATGTCAATATTTGTAACAAAAGTTGTATTAACGGCTTTAGTTGACATGTCAATAGTATTACTGACACGAGGAAAAAGAACCGGCGGTTTGCATTTTTACTGTTGATCCATTTGCATTGGTGATGTTGGAATTTTTTTTCCCAGTAATATTTCAGTTGTTATTTTTTCTTCTTCATTCTCGTCGGATTTCTTTCTTTTTTTTTTTGTTCTTTTTTTTGTTGCATACTCTGCATCCTTACGAGTAGGCGCCTATATCTCACGAAGAGTATGTCCATTAGTATTCATGCGCTGTTTGTTAGCTTTTTAGCGCTAGCATCATCAGCATCACCATCATCTGTTGCATTCTTTCTCATGTGAAATATCATTGAAGCCAAATGCGTAATTTCTATTTTTTTTCCTCTTCTTCCAGACTCACTTCTTTCGTTCTGATAAGCCGCTTTTTTTTCTTCGTCATATTATCAATGATATTACTATTCTTATTATTATTATTATTATAAACACTCATATCCTAGCGGCATAATATAGCCATTAGTCGCCAAACGAAAGAAAATTTTTCCCTTGAATTTTAAAATCTATTGATTTTTGATGTGATAATAATGTCAAATGTTTACTTTACTGCATAAAAGACAACAAAGAACGAAGCTAATTCGAAAATTGCTTTAGTTGTTTGTCATTCTTACTCAGAGGTTCTTTTTTTGTGTGACAGAGATATTCTCATGAATTATTGAAATTTACTTTGTCGTTTTCTTCATTGAAAGGTTTCAATCAGAGAAGACGAAAAAAAAATACAACGAACATTGACACCCACAAAAAAATGCTTTCGAATAGAATGAGAAAGCAAAAAGGTGCATAAATTCTAGTTAATATAAAGGAATATTAGTCAGTGGCTGATGCGCAAACTTCATCATTACACTTGACTTTAATTATATCAATAAAGTTGATAAACATGATGTATCCAATAGTTATTCAACAAATAAAATATGTCTATGTATCAAGTTAGTCAGTCGTGGGAGCAGCAGTTGATAAACTCGACACGATCGTAGGCGTGGATGGCTCTTGATTTGTAACAGCTTCATAATATGATTCATCAACTGCAGAATTTTTCGAAGCATCATTCACGTCAATGTCATTTGCGGTTATTGGTGATATTAGTTTCTGTTCATTATCATTTGTAATTTTCGATGGAGAAGCTTTTTGCTCATTGGATACATCTAAATATTAGACAAAGAAAAAATATTTATATACATAATTGTTTCCCGTATGCACAACAGAAAAAAACGTAGGCATCGAAAAATATCGTTATTACCAATTAATAATAAATAAAATACTTTGAATTTTTATTTATAAATAAAAATTGATTACATCATAAGATATGATTTTTTTTAAATAATAAAATACATTTTACATATGATTTTCAATGATTACGTTGAAAAGTAAATAGAAACATAAGTGATAATTGTAATTGACAAGAAGCTACTAGTTACGTGTATATCGTTTGGGTTTTACGCATCGATGCTTTTTTTTCTATACATCATCATTTCTTTTGACACCTCTATCATTCAGTTATAGTATCCAGACGCGAGGATATATACATTTACGAGTCATTTTGAACAAGGACAGCAATTGACTAGTGTCATGCATTTTGATCTCAAGTCCTGTCGAATAAAGTAAATTTGATTGATGGTATAATCGGTTGTAGTAAAAACCATTTATGCCGATAAATAGACTGTTTCATTTATCAATATGAGTTTCTATTTGTCAATAATCTCTTTTACTACATGTTCATACTTTCTAATTATAAAGTACAATACGCTATGAGAAAAATATTGTGACCCTATTCAAGAAATAATATGCATATGCAGTCATATATATATATTTAATACAATGAAACATGATCTTTTCTATGCCTACTGTATAATTGCTAATAAAAAATTGCACGTATTATGCTTCTGTATATTCTCAGCGTGTTAGAAGGATTAATTCGTGACAAATATGTATGCTTGTCAATTGATAGATATGTGGTAGTTGTGTCGGTCGCATTTTTTTTCTTGTTCTCAATAGATTCTATTTCTTATTCGTCGTATAAAAATTCAAGGATTGTTATGATCCATAATAATTTATAATTAAGAGTCAAGGCTAATGCTTTGGATATTTATACAATGCACTTAGAATCCAATCAATGGTGAATATGATGTAAGCAAAACAAGTATCGTCAGATGTCGATAATAGAATAAACAGGCGCATATTTATAAATCATATTGATAGAAGTTTAATACTCCGGCTTTCAATCTTATATTAGCTGGAAAAAGTTATTCGATAAACGTAATGATTACATCAATTTACCGAGAATTTATATATTACCTGATTTTTTGTTGAGCGATGCAGTTATTGTTGGTATTTCATCATTAGCAAAGACATCTTCTGATTCAACAGATTCATTTCGATTCTGTTGTTGTTGTTGGTGTTGGTGTGGATGTCGTTGATAAGAAGAACTTGATTGTCGTCGATTTGTCTCTTGTTGAGAAGATGCATTTGCTGTTGATTCTCGTTTTTGTTGTTGTTCTTCTGGTATTGGTATGGGATCAATCGTTCGTAAAATATCAATCATTATTTTTGTTAATGAATGAATACCAGTGAGATGTGACGGTGGTACTTGTAAAGGTGTTTCAGGACCGGAATGTGAACGTTGTCTATGGTCGTTCATTTGATTTGGAAAAACAAAAGTTCGACTTGAATGTACTCGTTGTCGTTTCGACGGATGTCTATGAGGAAAAACAGTGTCATCTGTTAATGGTGGCATTAAAGGTGAATAGGCCGATCTGGAATGATAAGATGATGCTGAACTTGGCGAATTATTATATTCGTTTTGCCACCAAGAATTAGATGCTGATGGTGATTGATTTGTCGAATTCCATGAAGATCGATTATATGGAAATTGTTGTGGCATAAGTGAAAGTAACGGTCGTATTGTCGAGGTACCAGTTGGTATTGAAGGAAATGATTCCGAATAATAACGTGAACGTAAATGACGATAATGATGATGGTCCAGTTGTGTCGAACGTCGATTTAAATGTCCCGGAGCTAATTCAGAACGATAGGTAGGAGAGAATTCAATAGGTGTAAAATCTGGTGCATCAGGATTTAAATGTATTTCACTCGATGAACTATCATTGCCAATATGTAATAAACGTGTTAATTCACGTGTTGCTTCGCCAAGATCCATTTTATGTGTCACCGTAAATGTACTTTCATCCATATCGCCGAATTCCGATGATGAACCCGATGATGATGAATAACGTGGCTGATGTTTAAGAACACTAACCGATGCACGTTTATCGTCTGTTGATAAAATATCGCCAACAGATACTTCAACTGAAGTTGAAGGTAATCGTTGTGAAACATTGTTTATCGTTGCTGATTTTGGACTATCTGATGATGATATTAATGATGAGGCAGCTGCCGATTTGGCATCAACAGGTTTTGGACGTAGTTTTTCTGGTAGTGGACTTGAAGATGGGTCATGATTTTCGTCACTCATGGTTAAGACGAATGCGTCTTAAGAAACTATTTTTTTAAATATCGAATGAATGTTTGAAACTGGCTTTCTAAAAAGAAAGAGAAAAAAGAAAGGAACAGGGTTAAAAGAGATAAGTAGTAATCATTGTGTAGTGAATTGAAGCAGGTGTGCATGCGGCGCTATACCGTTTCTTTAGTCAATCTATGTATATAAACCTCGCATATATATATATTGTCTATTAATGATGATTAATCGATGCCTTGTTCTCCTTTATATTCCAATGGGTCTATTTAAAGAAGAAAGAAACGAGAAAAAAGCATTCAATTTAACATTAAAAAAATGCGTTGGAAGATGAATCAGCGAAGGTGGATATGATGGTATTTGTTATTGAGACATGGTGAGAAAAAGAAGCAGCTGTGCATATAAATATGTGGTCATTGTCAGGCGTTTTAACTTCGAGCAGAGCACAAATCGATTATAGGAAGCGCCTTGATGGCAATTTTTTAAATATTATTCACAAAAAAGCAAGAACTTTGAAAATGTTCCAGTGTATCATCTTCTTCATGAAACAAAAACGCTTTTGCTTTCTAAGTCATGACTATCGTGAACATCTAATCAAACTAAGATACTAAGCTCGATTAACGTCAGAAAAAGGTCTTAAATAAATAATTAATATAACAGGATACAAAAATCTTTCATCTTTCGTAAATATAGAGATGTAACACAATGTCAGTCAAGATGAGCGAGACTTACAACGAATAATTCTATGTTCAGATGTTTTTTAGTAGTAAAATTTCCACCAAATTATATAGTAGCTCAGTAAGTTGAACTATTTCGAATTCATTTCGGTACTAAGGTGATATTCTATTATATTCTTAATTATTATTTTGTGGAGAACAATTTCATGATGCAGAATGATCCTAAAAAAAAAAAGAAAGCGTAATTATGACTCCATCTGTTCTGTGCTGGCATTATCTTTTTTTTTCGAGACGTCATTCTATCCAAGAAACAAAAAAAGAAAAAGAACAGACCCTATTTTCAGTTTGATAGCCATTCAGAATCTATACGTTAGCGACACGTAGCGCATATACAAGTGCACGTACAAAAAGTATTCGAGATCAATGTCAAGAATATCTTTTTTTCTTCTTCGTGAAACCTCGAAAAAAATGTATTGCGCTTGATTTCATTGTTCATCGTGACCATAAATATTCAAATTAGAATAATTATATTATTCAAAAGAGAAAAAAAGGAAGTTAGTTTATGGAGTATTTTTTTGCGCTGTAAAAATGACGCAAACAAGTAAATATCCTATTCGTTTGGTTCTTTTTTTCTCTGTGAACAGCATGTTTTCACGAAGAGAAAAAAGCAAAAGAAAGTATTTACCTGAATAAGATTTGATCATACATAATGTTGAAATGAATGTTCACCGTTGTATTCCATTAGGGAAATTTGTTGCTGCTGAAAATATACTTTCTTTTTATGTCTCATAAAGCATTTCGAGTTATTATTTTGTTGTCGTTTATGACTATCACTACTGATGGAATGTTCTTGTTAGAGCTTGTGGTTCTACTGTCGACAACAAGAAATGTGAGTTTCTCATTTCTATTTTCCGTTTTATCGACGTCGGCGGCCACAATAGTAGCGGTAGGAATGGTAGGGGAAACAGGATCGACAATAATGGTAGAAGAGCTTTCTAAAAAAAATACTAGTGGTTAGATTCCGTTTTTTTTTCTTTGCTCGTTTTTTTTCTCGTTCTGTGGTGCGTGTTCTGAACGGCAATCCTAGATGTGCATTCTCTTGCGCATGCAACTCATCCGTCGTCAACATCCATTGTTATTGCTGCTAGTTCTGCTATTTTTCTAGGCAACCAACTGACGATGAATGTCGCTCTATACAATGAGTAGGAGTAAAAATGCGAAAAATAAATAAAGCGCTGTTGTTATTTGTTTACCGGAAGTGTCAGTAGTAAAATAAACGTTTATTTTCATGTGAACGAAAAAGAATCTTTTTCAGTGAATTGTAAAATTTTTAACAAATATGAAATGAAAATTTAGAAACTCCACCGGAGTAACGCTTTCCTGTAGTTTTAAAGGTTAACTTCTAAAAAGTATGATAAATATTATATTATTGTTGAGTGTTCTGGAATTGGTATCGGTCGTTTGTTCAATAAATATTTTAATCGGAAAATTAGTATTGTTAGTTTATTTTTTTGAAGAGAAAAACAGATGGATTTATTTTCTTCGCTCATTTTTTAAATGAAAATTGTACATGTTTGTTTCCATATATTTATAATTGGATTAACCTAAAACAACAAAAATTTTGTTCTCAATATAACCTAGATAAATTCATTGTAGTCGACGTTTTTAAGCTGAGTAATTCCTACGAGAGATTAATATCTCAAAGATGGTACCTTTACCCTGCATAATCATCTTGCTATTTAAGAGTATTTCTACTTTCGGTAAATATTTTTTAAATAACATTCTATAGTTTCACTGACTCTCTGGATCAACTGCAAAATAAATGAGAATATTTCTATTGGTACATATCCATCGGTTAGGTCTCGTTTCGTCGAAAGCTTAATTGATTTTCTTGTTTCGTCGAAAATGTTTTTTTCTTCTAGTCTTGTTTCGTCGAAAAAATGAATCCTAATTAATTGATGGAAAATAGAATATATCAATTGATAAGATGCTTTCCCCTACTAATCAAAAGTAGTGCTTGATCAGGTGAAGATAATCTTATTGAAAAAATTTATTTTGTAGAAAGTTTATACACATAAATAACAAACTAATAAGAGAATATGAATATAAAAAAAGACAAATCAATATTTTTTTATTCCAATTAATTGCGAAACTTTTGTAAGATATTCATCTAATGTTAATGTTTTTTGTTTGAAACGTTCTTCTAAATTTTGTAATCTTGCATTTCGATTAACAAATCATTTTTTCCGTGGAGGTAATGCACCAATTTTTAAATGGCGTGATAATATTGCTGAATTGTAAGCATGATCATTTTGATTTTAGCTCATATTATTACAATTTCATCTTTTCGATGAAACAAGAACAGTCATATTTTCATTTTCGACGAAACGAGAATACACCCTACATATTATATTGGACAAAAAATTGATTGAGTTACTGCTCTTAATAACTATGAGAAAATATTGCATATATATATATATAGAAACCGAAGAAGACGAGCTATAGTGCTGTCATTATGGCTCTTAAAAGCACACGGCCTATTTCAAGATGAGCAATGTTCATTTGAACATCATCTATCGTAAAACAGCCATAATACTTCAGAGAAAATTTTCTCTTAAAAGCTCAAGTGAGTAGTATGTAGCTTGTCTCTTGAATTTTTCATCCCGATGAATAAAATTCGATTAGAATATTATACAAAACATATTTATTGTCGCTTGGCTATGACCTGAAAAATCTCCTATCCATAGACAGTACAGATATTGATCACAAACTATTCATGACAAAACGTTTTCGAATTACCGGACTACTTTTTAAAATAAAATTTGGTTCTGTATTGAAGCTTGAAGTGTTTCTTGCGAGTAGAATAAATACTGATTCAAACGCATAAGTCGTTCTTTTCGAGTTCAGTTACATTGATGCAAATGGTACTACGCCATGTGAGTCAGCTTGAATGGAACAGATTTTATTATCTATTTCAAATATCCAGAGGACCTTAATCGAGAAAATGCGACAGATTGATTCTTTTTCTGTTCGGAATGATGCCATTGGCGGTGTGTAAATAATGAAATCAATAGATTTTAGCTCTATGATGGGAAACATAAACTTTCATTACTGAAATTTATTATCAAGCTGATGAATGCATTTATTTTATTTTATTTGACTTTAGACAAGGGTCATTCGTAAATTATTTGCTACATGAAAAGAAAAACTAACGAATAAATCTCAATAGATTCAAAATTTTATATTTAACAGTCTTATTTTTATTATCTAATGCTTGATTTTGCTGTCCAATATTTGACGAGTGATTATGTTTTATTGTACGTTTTTTATTGGTGATTGGTTTAACACCCAAATGATTCGATGATTGCTTGGGATCATGAGTATTACTTTTGTTCTGTAACAAAGATCGATTAATCGATTCTTGTGTTATATATGGAAGTTCATCGACTGCTTTTTGCGTTCGACCGTTTGATAAGAGAGACATATGTAATAATTTTTGAGTAGAATTTCGATAAGATAGGTTGTTTGAGGTCGTCTTTTTTGATGTAGGATGCGTTATAGTGGACGAGCTCTCGTCTCGCAATGGAATGGGTTCAGCAATAGAATGTTTTAGAGGTTGAACCGTGTTAAAACTGCCATCCGATGTTGAAAAATATTTTGTTTTTGTATTTAATATTGCCAATTTTTTATTTGATGATAACGGTTCTAGAGCCGCTAATTTGTCTACACGATCTTTTGGCCAAGAATCTTCAAGACTATTAGGTGAACTCGAACGTGACGATACTGTAGTCAGAGAAATACTTGAATTATCACTAAATGATGGTTGATGCACATGATAATCTTGTTGAGATAATAGTAATTGTTTTGGTGATGCATGATGTTCAAGTCGTCTTGATCGTTTATATTGAGGTGTGTTTAATGGTAAAGCATTGTTTAGTATTGATTCGCTTGTTAAACCTGCTGAAATTCATAAATTAGCATTTGAATATACTCATGAAAATCGAAGAGAAATTATATTCACACATTGGCAATAGGGAAATCATACAGCTGTGTTGACTGGAAATAGCTGTTAGCTATAAAAGTTTGTTAAATGGTGAAAGAAAATGGATACGACCATAAAATTAAATTAAGAAAAGACATCCTTAAGAAATTGGTTTTAGCTTTTCCTTCCTTTATTTTTGTTATGTCAATATGTCCGATTTAAAAAGTTTTTTTGAACCGATCAATGATAGACAGTGTTGTAAGCAAAAGTGCACAATGATTTTTAGTCCTATTGAGATTCAACTTATTCATAGAGATTTTAAATTTTACGAAACCTTATATTTTCACATTGAATGACGTATTCTAGATGAAAATAATAGTATGCCGATTAAAGATCTGATAGCTTAGGAAAGTCTCAATAGAAACTCGAATCTTTTTGCAGACTTTTATTAGAGCTGATAGAGAAAAAAAGTCGGTGAAATCAGAAGAGTAGATATGATTCGATTCCACCGTAATTTCATTTGCTGGACATCGGAATGCTAAATTCGCAGAGACGTTTAAGATATGAGAAAAAGAAACTTGCAAAGATTCTCGATTATTCTGCCAAGTGTATTTGAATGTTATACTAAAGAAAAATAAATAAAATACCATTTTTAGTATTGATTTTTCGATTATTAATAGTACTAAATTGTTTATCATCTAATTGCGCATTTGCTAAATGAGATGACGAATTCAATGTATCATTAGTAAAAACAAAAGAATATGTTGCATTTTCAAAAATCGGTACGAAAACACATTTATAATGTTGATTAGTATCCTTGGGCGAAATCTTGTTGTTAGTAGTAACAATTATATTTAGCGACGAACCTTTATCAGTGGTCGAGTATGTTATTTGTAAATTTTGGCCATTGGAATGTTGGATAATCGGTGTTGTACTTAGTGCATTAGCAACAATAGTTGGCGTGCCACCGCTCTTGGAGCCATTCAAAGTCGTCGGAGCTGTGACGTTATGATGAATGCTACTGGTATTCATCACTGTTGTAAAATTGAATACAATTGATACAACTGTACCACCAAATAGCTGTTTATAACTTATTGTACGATTGAGAAATGCGTTAAGTCGTGTTACATTTTGATAACGCGTAAAACCAAGTACAAAATCACCTACAATACTTCCATTACGAAAACGAGTTAGTGTGCATGAAGCATAAAAGACTGCATATTTTGTTTTTAGATTAATGAGTGTTGCGCTGATCTGAAATAGAGAGAGAGAGAGAGAGAGAGAGAGAGAGGATCGAACTAATGCGATTGTATTAATAGAGTTCGTAAGAAGAAATGCAAAAATGCAGTTGGCTGAAATAGATAATTGAGAAAACTATGTAATCATTTTTTCTCGTGTTGACCTTGCTGCAAGCTTTCTAAGATGTATGATTATTCGACTGTAATAACGCATGCAATGAGACGATTATAGAGAGATTTTTTTCTACGTTCTTGAAATATAAATTGACAAGAGTATTATCAAGCGTGGAGAGTGTCATAGACAAGACGAATGAGCATTGCATCCGATCATGTTGCATTTATCATCGCTGATCATAATCCTAACTACATCGAGAAATTTTAAAAAAAGATATATGATGAACAGTTATATTATAGTTCTATTTGGGTGTTTCATAAAGATTTAACTATTATAAAAATACGAGCATTTAGTAAAAGACATGTTAATTATCTGCCTATGGAAAATAAATTTTGAAAAATATTTGAACTTACTAATGAACAAAATTCTTGTTGATAATTTTTACTTAATGTTGATGATATTGACGCAAGTACAGGATTGAAATCAGCAGCAACGAAAACAGAACCTGAATAATAATCTGTAATTGTTTCATCATGTTTTCGAACTATAAAAAGACAACAGCTTTTTTTTTGCTGAATAAGTTCTTGAAATGTTACCTAATACAACAGTAACAACAACTGAAATAACGATAGTTATTAGAATAGGAACGATTGCGGCACAAAATAGCATATGACGATGTGATCTACAAAATATTTTTGAACTCTTAGTTCGCATATTATTGTTATGGTTTGTAGATGCTGATTGATAATTGGTTCTGAGTACGACTTGCTTTTCTCCCTCTGGTCGTTCAATCACTGAAACTGTTTGTTGATGGTATTCAAGAGACAGCGGAGATGCCATTGGAATATTTCGAGTAGCAATACGTTTCCATTCTTCTATTGAGATATTTTTAAAAAAATATATAAAATTTTATTTCAAAACAAAATAATTGCCTGGATTTTGTAAACCTGGCATTTCATTTAATTCAATATCAGGAAGTGTTATGTCAAGTATGGCATCGTTAAACGATTGAACTTCCTGTCGAACTGTAAGTGGATTTCTCTAATTATTAAAAACAGAAATTATACATTTTTTTTTATAGAAAATTAAATTTTTTTACTCGATGAAGTTTATCTCTTGGCATTGATTGTTGTTCTTGATCAATTGAATTAGCAATAGTTTATTTTCTTACGATATATTAGGCCTTCGATCAATATATCGATGACTTAGAACACTTTAATAAGAAAATACAATTGATCGAAGAAATTCGAAAAAAATTCGGTTGTCAAAGAAGAGTAGTCATATTCTTTGGAAAAAAAACGCCTTTCTGCGTTAACAATATATTTAGTCAATATTCATGGCTGTCTTTTATCAATGAATAATATTGTTGGGGCTCGACACGTGTGTTTAGTCATCCGTGTACAGATAAATGATACTAATATTATGCGCTTCTCGCTTCACATTAGTTCTTTTTACCTTTGTATACATTTGTCAATAGGAATAGAAAAAACGAATGAAACAGAATAGTAACTGACAGCATTTACGATGAAAAATGCTAGATTCATAAATATTGTTGACTGTTTATCCTTCTTGCGATTGACATCATCACCCATGCATTCGCCGACGTGAGCTGTTTTAAAATCGACGTGCCCAGCATACGCCTATAGAGCAAATAATATCTGTTTTTGTTTTTCCTACAGTAATTACATGCAGGAAAGGTGAAGATGTATACGGAGAAAACAATTTTTTTGTCAATTATATAACGTAGAGGTGAACACGAATCTATGATGGATTTTCTGTTTACTTATAAATGACTGCAAGATCGACTTTCAATCACAGTAATATCAATGTAGATTATACATTAGAATTATAAGGTTTTGATGAAAAACCTATATACCGAGATAACGGTATAGACTTAGTCATCAATTAAATTCACATCTTGTGTAAACAAGGATGACACAGATGTTACTGTTATTGAAATGAGATTCGAATTTTTTTAGATCTTCACTTAGCCCGAATTTTTCAATACTGAATATTCGCAACAAAATAATGACCGGATGCAATATGTTGCTTTTCAACCAACTCGAATCGTAAATTTTAAAAATCGTTTCCAATGTTTCTGTAATACGATTTGATATATCTTCATCAACTCTTTTTAGCATTCAAAATCAGAAGTGAAAAGATTACTGGTGCACACTCTCGACCATTACAAACAAAAATGGTGAAGTGTCATGCTTTTCATAAAACGTTTTCATGTAGAAAATTATCTGCCGAAGCTTTTCCTTTTTAGCAATCAAATTATGCAATTCATGCACAGTTTGTTTGATTCACTTTGCAACAAACAATTGCTCAGCCCCTTTTATCGTAATAAATGAAGTATACATTTATCCTACGTGACGTTTTGCTCTATTTTTTGTTGATACCCTTCAGATATGAGCACTATTGATGCATGGCGTTGTTAATCAAGTAAACCTTGGCTTTTTTTTCATATTGGGTACATAGAATTGTTTGCCGCAACGAGTCGCTTAAAGTCAAAGTAACCAACTGGCGCATTTCAGTTTTTACGAACATGAAACGATTTACTTCAAATTTTCATCAGAATTCAAGGCAATCGACGTTTTTTTTTTAGTAAACCGACTCAGCAGCGTCTACCATGCAGAATTTTTAGTCGTTATAAGATTTAAATAAATATCAATTAGAATTTCTCGTTCCGAATATGAAGAGATTTCAATTTTATTTTAATAAACAATATACATTTTTCGTATTCATATTTAAACTATAAAATGTACAAGATTATTCAGTTAGTCTCGAGACGCGATTATTTACGAAAAGAACGTTCTGGTGTACCGAACGTAGATAATGATCGTTTTGGTGTTGGTGATTGAATTTGACCATAACCAGATGATTTAACATTTTTCAAAAGAATTCTTGTTGTTGTTACCGATTGACTTCGAGGTGGTGTGTTAACGTTTCTCTTGGCAACTGTTGAAATACTACGTTGAACAATAGTTGATTGAATTTGCTTTTTATTACGCAAAGGTGTTGCAACTTCTTCATAAGCAGATTTATAGCTCCCATTCATTGAACGATTATTAACGTTGGCTGATGACGATCGACGTGACGTACGTTCTTCCGATGAAACCTAGAGAAGAATAAATTCATAGTTATTTGTTTCCCAAAATGAATTTCTCTTACAATTGATTTAAGATTTCGAAGTTCATTTTTACATTCAATCATTTCGTGTATAAGGTCTCTCATTTCCACTAAATAGTATGAAGATAGTATTGAGAAAAACGTATATTATTCAACTAACTTTGGTCAACATCAACTTCTTTGACATAGAGTGGACCTCGTTTATTATCATTTATTTCAATTGCATCATCAATTGAAGCTCCCGATTCAACGATATAGAATTCCTTTGTGATACAAAAAAAAAGTAAAATTAAAAGATAACGATATAATCCATTGATTTACTTTGCATGGTAATGATAGTGGTAGTTTTTCGCTGCGAATACTGAATACAAAAAATAGCTTATTCTATTATTCATTTAGGAAGAACTTAACATACGTTTTGGCATATTTTTCATCATTAAGATATTGAAATAATGAAAGTGGTCCATAAGTATATTGTCCGTCAGCAACGGCATAAACACGTTTATAGGTCGGATCAGAATTATTTTGATGTTCTATAGAAGAAATTTTGTTTAGAGAAAACAAGAAACTGTTTGAATATTTTACCCAAAATAGCAAATGGAAAATCAAATGGTACGATAATATTAGTGGAATCCATGATTATGACAATGAAAGAAAGAGAACAGGACAAAAATTGACAAAAGAGGATAACAAAGACTTTTATTGAAACATAGAACCCGCAAGTTTTTTTGTTACATGAAAAAGGAATTATATTCTATTGTATCCAATTTTTTATCTTAATATTAGAAAGTAGTTTTTATTGTGAATTTCTAATATTTATAGTTTAACATACATGATTTCATCAATATAGATGACGCTAATGTTCATGCTTCGGTTGATATAATATACGTACAAGAGGATGACACGGAGAAGATTTTTCTTTGAAAAAATTAAGTTACTGAGATGAGACGCTCAAGGCCAGTTGAGATTTTAAAATCTCTTGATACACAAAAGACCTTGAGGATATGCTTTTCCTATAGACACGACGAAGGTGACTGCTATTATGAAACGAGTATTATTAGATTTCTCAAAGAAAAGTTTTGTTATTTTCACAGAATTAAATACTTTAAATAAAGACATCCGCTTATCATTTTTACATGTGAAATCGCTGCTCGATTTTTCCAAGATACAGCTTTAGCCGTTGGGTGTATTTTTCATGGCTTATATAAAAATATTCAATAAGTAGTGGATCATTGTAAAGTGCAAAACGGAATGCATCTGGAATGGGATCATAAAACTCAATTGAAACAATATAGCATTTATATATAGGAATAAATTAATAGCTCTGACTCATTCTGCAATTAATCAAAACTCATTAGAATATAATTCATAGATGTTTATGTTGCTAATTTATTTAATTGATAGATTATATATGATTACTAACTATCTGTTTATAACTTGCTTTGTAATGAATAGAAATCTAAGTCATAAGTGTTGACATTTATGTAAATTATGATAGGACTCTGTATTTTCTCTGAATGTTGATAGTTAAATCCATTTTGAAGGAGAGTAATCTTGCCGATAAAATCAGTTTTGTTAGTTACCTTGGCAAAGGTAAAAACATTTGTTTTCAAAATATAGTATTCCATTTATAATCCATAATAATTATTGACTCCAACATGTATAATGCGAAGGAATCTGAATAATAGTATGAACTTACAAAAAACAAATTGGCTTTAAAATTTTGAAAATCATATTTATTTCCATATAAGACATGAGATTCGTTACAATGAATAAATTTATTTATAAATACAAGCAAAAATACTCTGGTATAAGTAAGTATAGTTTTTTTCTTGATGCTTATTTCGTTGTTTGCATAGCATAATTAATACGTGTTTATGTCAATATGGAATGTCAGAATAAATTTGATTAAGATTCTTCTTCAATAGCTTTTAATTCTCGTCGACGTTTTTCTTCGTCTACAAAAACATTAGAGTTATTTGTATTTTCAAAATAAAATAAAATAAAAATTCTCTCTTCTACTAACCTGCTTCTCTTATCCATCGTTCACGATTTTCTTTAAGATATTCAATCCATGGTCGTCGAACGGTTGTTGGTCGAGGGATAGGCGTTGTCATAGACGATGGTTTTCTCTCACGTCTGTTTCTTGATGAAAAAGTAAATAAATTACAAAGATTTCTTAATTTCATTACCCATTTTCTAATTGATCATCACGATGACGATTGGATGCATTCGATGACTTTGGCGATAGTGACGGTGACGAACATGAAACAGCACTTTTAGGTGGTATCGACGGTGATGGAAGTTCAGAATCAGGCGCAGCAAAGGATTTAAGAATTTTTTCAAGCATATCACCCATAACAACAAATGAAGGTTCAACGATGTATTGAATAAAACCTAAATTTTAATTTAAAATAAATCTTTTTTTGATTTATTTGTCTATTCATACCAATTTGAGATTCAGCAACAAGTGTATTATCTCGATCACATAACGGCGAACAAGGTAGACCGAGTTCTTTTTCTTTTTCGCCTTGTTTAAAATATTCTTCCATCAGTAATTCCGTCCATGCATGATGCATAGTCCATGGTTTGCCTGGATGACTAATATCCGCACTATGCAGTATAAGTGCTAATGCTTTCGATTTTTCAATACTGAAATGAAAGAAAAATTAAGTTCAAGAAAAAAGAAAAACCTTCAACGAGATGAACCTACTTTTCGGGCATACTTAGAAGACTTTTCATGGTTTTTAATTGTGTAAAATGTGAACTCATATCGGTGGCAAGAACCATTTCAATAACCAAATGTCGGAAATTTCTAGAAAATTAATTGTTTCGTTTTAACAATTCATTTTTCTAAATAAGATTTACTTACTTGAATTCATCGGAGGAAAATTCCGATAAAATATTATAATCATCTATTCGCATTAATCGAAACGCAGCGCTTACGTGATGATTTTCAAGTACTGCGCGATCATTATATATTAATGCGGTATCCGATCTAATTGAAAACACAAAAAACGAAACCATGAATAATAGAAAATAAATGTGGAAACTTCGGATTTCATCCGAAAGTTATGTGTACTGCAAAAAGTGCATGGGATATATGAGTCATTCTAGAATGTCTGAACACCAAAATTATCATGAGAAACTAGGCAATTTGATTTCTGGATGCAGTTTTTGTGCATTTTGAGACGTTTTTCAGGCGATGTCTCATCAGAAAGCTACGGTTTAGCTCAAAACTAATATCAGATTCGGAATCAGCGTTAAAAGCTGAGTCGATTTATATATGTTGTGAATAATTCTGAGAAAGATTTATTTTTTGAAAAAAATTCCCTGTACTCCTCCTCAGGGATGGCCTGGTCAAAAATGACAATTTTTTCGATAACTCAGCCATTTCTTGACGGACTCTTCTCATCTTCGAACTCGACCGAGATATTCATGAGATTGAACTGTGTGGAAAATTTCATCACGGTCTGACTCTCCTTTCGCAAGTGATCGTGCCTACGGCCGGACGGACACACTGACCGATTCTAGGCTGCACTCACTTTTTGAGTACACAAAAAGTAACGTGGAGACATTTTAAAATACTTCGATATTAGATACTATTCGATTGTGTTGATAAGTAAATGAATCAGGCACACTATTTTTCTCTTCGTACATTAAAAAAAATGAAGATCGATAACGACTTTCCGCTTCGATTCTCAAGAATGAAGAAGATTACTTTCAATGAAAACACAGAGTATCTCTTGACATTTTTACCTGTGTAATTTTACAAGGGAAAACTTTTCTGTGCCTATTAACAGCATAGTATGCTTGAATTATATGCATCAATAATTTCCTGACATTTGATCAATCCCAACCTCGGAAAAGTTTTTCCTTTAGGCGATATTAAAATTGTACCATAAACTGAACAGAAATAACCATATCAAATTATTAGCATACAAGAGGGCATCATTTCAATTTTGGAGAACTGATGAACTATAACTAACATCATTCAATTAAATGAATTCATATTTTGAGAAGCTTATGTAGAAACTGTCAAATAGCTGAGAAAAACCAATGCAACATTTCGTCATGGGTCTATGTCAAATTCAGTGAAACAATAACAAAAAAGTGTCATTCATACGAATTGTCTTCTTGACAGGTACTCTATGATGGCAACACGAATGATTGAACTTTTTACAATCAATCTCAAACATGAAAATAGTTATTCCCCATTGCCGATCTGTCTGTCCTTGTCTCTTCTCATCATTTTAATTATCACATGAAATAATGCATGTCATAATTTGCAGGTTACTGTCAAAACTCTACCGGCTCATTTTATCTGCCACTGCCTATCAACAATCATTTTCATGAAAGATGTCTCTCAACTAGTCTGCTTTCTTTGAATATAATGAAAATTAAAATAAAACTAACTTAAACGAGTCTCTCATTATTATCTCTATCCAAATGATTGTCACCAACAGGAAATATTTTTCTTTTACCTTGATTGTATATGAAAATTATTCGATGTTCCAGTATGTTCAAAATCATGTATAATAGCCGCAATAAACATCGCAAATAATTCATGATCGTTAAGCCAATTCTAGATGAAATTCAAGCGATATTAAATATAATTGAACGTAGTTAACGCAGCATAAGAACTACGGTCATGCTAAGCACAGGCATGAACACACAAATAGAAACTTGTTTTATTTACAAAAGCTACAAAGCAAATTAGACAAATAAACTCCGTTAACCTCTACCATGAGACCAGAATTATATATGATTTGATATGTTGTTTGTAGAACATCGGCTGCATGAATTAAATTATGATATGGATTTCGATGTTTACTATAGCCACTTTCCATTTGTTCGAGAAAATTTTGTAGCGCATTTATAGAGATCTAAAAACAAATCATGATCGTCATTATTATTATTATTTATTTTTCAGAAACATGATCTACGATCAAGGTCAAAGTTGTACATCTAACGTAAACCTCGTATCGGTGACGTCTTGCTTTCATAAATAAACTATTTTCTTATCGGAAGATTAAGAGAAAGAAGCATGGTGAAAAAATGTATGTCAAAAAAACATCTCTGTTATTAGTAAGAATAGCAGAGCGCTGTTTATTTAACAAGACAGGAATTACATGCTAGCAGGACTTTTTGTTTTAAGAATAAAAAACAAAGCACATATCTTACATGAAGTTTATTTGGTAAATTATATCTTTGCATAAGTTCAAAGCCAACGTAACGTAAACATTGACCATTTGTAAACTCATTCACAGAGAAGACATCAAAAGTCCATTCATTAATCGTCTAGAAAGCAAGATTTTTAGTTAAGAAAAATTCTTCAGTATTGATTAAAACCATATTTAAAGCATACAGAACGAAAATACCAGTGCGAAACAACAACAACATGGGATCACTTTAACTACTGAAGTATTTAACGGATATGAACAACTTACTTGTTGCATAGTATCAAGATAAAAAGCCAACGTAGTACGTCGAAAGAGCCTAAAGGATTTCTCGTTTTCTAATTCATACGACATAACACTAGTTAGGCAACTTTTTTTTTTTTTATCAAGAACAGAAATATTTATGTGAATATGCTAATATTAAGTGCAAGACAAAATTTAATGCAATATCAAATAAAATTAAAAACAGAGCGACATAATATCTAATATTCTAGGACTAAGTAGACTCAATTGGAGATAAAATACCTTAAATTTAATGTCGATAGATAGACGTCTTAGATACCTAGAAAATATATACATAATAACAGGTGAATGGCACACGTGAAAAATATCAGTATGCAAGTATAGAATCACGCATGCATATAATCAAACAAAATTATGTGTGTGCGTTTGTCATTCTCATTATCGTACCTTTAATTTACCATATAGAAACCAATTTTTAACAACCCTGATACAGGATAATCCGAAGAGAAAGAAAAAACAGTAGATGTAATCTATATTACGAGTTAAACAAACAAATGTATAACAATAGCTCTTTCCGCATATAGCTAATACGAATGGGTGGAAAAAAGATAGAAAAGAAAAATATCGCAAACATCACCCTCACTGTTACATCCACACTTTCAGCCCTCAATTTTGTTTTCGATATTTTTCCATCGTACCGCTAATACAAGGTCTCTTCAAAAGTGGTATTGTGTTCAAGTAGGCCAATATGTTTTTGTATGAGAATTTTTTCTATTAGATTATTTAGGATCATTGTATTCGAGAGAATCTTGATAGTTTTCAAAGTAAAATCTGAAGTCATTGACTGGATTATATATATATATATATTTGTTTCTTTTTATATGGAAAATTTTGAGTGAGAAAAGATTTTCCATAATGTTTGCTGTCATTTTTGTTGGAGATAGATTTTTCTATTGTAGATGCAAAGGATACTTTTGATAGACGAAGGACAAACAGAAGAAAAATAAATCAATTATAGCTTATATAAATATATGATAATCGACCAAATTTTCTTCGACTCTTTTCTTTTATATTAGAAGCAAGAATGGAATGTATACATTACGAACCTATCAACCATGATACCCGCTCTTATAGCTTGTGCGACGCTTTTAAACTTTGGTTTGTCGGATGGTCGTCGTTTAATAGTTGACATTGATCGTGTAAATGTCATCGCTAGCCAGTCTCGCACTTCGTTTGGTACCGAATCAGGCTCAATTTCTGATAATGCGCCATCGTCTTCTTCCATGAGTCGTCTAGAATGTAGAATAGAAATATTATTTCAATCTTCTTAGTTATTTTCTTGAATGGTATATAAAACAAGAGAAGAAAAGAGGAAAACTCTGCGAAAGTAGAAATTGATCGCTCTCCATTCGATTGCTAACATGTCAATTATCGGCAATACTCTTTTCTTTCTACGCCAACATCGATATAAAACCAATGATAGAGGGTGCCAAAAGTGTTATTGTTTGCCTTGCGGGAAAAACAGAAAAATGTATGCAAGAATGATTGAATCTATAAAAATTTGTTTATATAAAGTCTTGAGAATGAGAAGACGACGACGACGAAGAAAAAAAGGATGCTCTAATATTTTTCAAAACTTACTTTTTCTTCTCTAATAAGAAAAAAAGAGATTTCTATTCATGCGATTTACCTTGCTTCATCTTGATGAACAGCTTCAAGGACATTCGCTGCATAATCTAAATTTCGGACAAGATCTTCTTTACGTACAATAATATTACAATGAAGAGCAGCAATAATTGTTCGTAATCTAAAATAAAATTGTTAGTGTAATTCTTTGTCAATAAAAGAAAAAATTTCTTACCTATCACTGCCAATTTGTAGTGCATCAAATGAATCCGGCTTCGGTAGACTGGAAAGAACACCCAATCCAGATATACTATGTTCGATAAGATCAAATGGACTATTGGCCGGGCCACGTTCATGATTATCATCTATGCCACGGCGATCACCGCTTGACTTTGATTTGTTGGAAAAGATCGTTGATAGATTTTCTGATAAAGACATCAATCAAGTTCCTTTTCCTTTTGTCTTTATATAAAAGTCAACTATGTCGAACTCAACAATATACCCAAATGGATATGAATTCAAGTGGGCTTTTTGCCTTTATATGTGTACTAAATCCGACTTAGTTTTACAGCCAACTGATGAAGCTCGAGATAAGTAAACAAATGACATATAGAATATATATATTGTATTTTTCCATTCGATGTCTTCAGCAGAAAAAGAGATAGAGAAAGATATAGTATTTCTAAGGTTCTACATGCATATATATAGTAGCATAACATCGGGACTCTGTCTATTGTCATAAATGCCACCAGGCGAAAAATTATACTGCACTGTTGACAGACAAATAGTAATGAATATTCATTACATCTATCGAACAACTGAATTTGCTTTTGTTGAAAAGACTTACAATTTTTGGAATCAAATATATTTTTAAGAAAGACAAAAGACTAACCACGATCATTGTGTATGACAGTTGTTGCCGTTGATGCTTTAGCAGATCGTGATGCATGATGATGTGATTTTGTTTTCGATGCGGTCGATACTAAAAATAAAAAAATAAAAAATAAAGATTAAAATAAAATTCTTTAGAAACGAATCACACCATCGATCATTTCTTCATCTAATTTGACAAAAATCTGACCAAATTTATTTCGATAGAATTGTACCCGATCGGAATATCTATCGAATTGTGACATGATAGTTTCGGTAGAACAACAAGTCCGTGTATCTAATGCGCGACGATAAAATATTTTGAATATACTAACAAGTCGTTTTGTTTTACTGCCGGGAAGAAGATTGCACGGAAATAGGTTCAAAACAGGGGCCTTCAAAAAAATGTACGGAAAAGGTTTTCAGTAATCTATTTTTTCCGGCTTGTTAAATGATGATAAATAATTTTGTGAAACACGATCTGAAAGGAGTGTTGAAGTATATAGGGTAAAAATTTAGACCCATCCCCCCCACAGACCGTTACAGAGAGATTAATTTCTCTGTAACGGTCTCTGGTGATCTCTAGCGACTTCATACATCATGATACAGACCGTGACAGAAACGCTCCACAAACCATGACCGAAAGGCTCCATATATAATTACAAACAGTGGCAGAAAACCTGCAAAGACTCACAGACCGTGATAGACGGATTCCAGCAAAGAAGCTCCATCGTATTTCACATTTTAATCTCACGTGAATTGCGCTAACAGCTTTTTTAATTAATAAATAGATGTATCGTATTCTCTTCCTTCTACTATCAACTTTTGCGGAAGTTGAATATGTCCGTTTGTGTAATCATGATCGTCGTTGCTTCTTCAGATAAAAATGGAAAAAAACCAACAAGCACGAGAAGACACTCATCATTCTTCTTTTTCTTTTTGATGCCTTCGAAATGAGTGTTATAAATCAGCGATTTCCGATGATTTGATTTACTATTTATTAAATTACTATTTATTCTGTGATTTGCTTTCACAAGCAAATATTCATATTAAAACATGATCGACTAGACTGACTTCGCACACGGACATGTTCGAATGAGAGTATTATTAAAAACGTTTAAAGTCTATTCTTTTTGTTTTTGATGAAATTTTCATATTCCAAAAATGCATCAAAAAAGATAATGACGATAGTAATAAATATCTATGGTTATTCTATGGTTATTCTAGCTAGCTATGTTTTTCTTTTTCATATGCGTTCTTTGATTATTTCATGTCACGTAGATTATTATTTCTTATAGAATTTAAAATAGATTCCGTCCTGCTCATATATTTTCTAATATAATTAATAGTAGATCAAGCTTATGCTGGAAGGTCTTTTTTTTTTTTATATAAATATCTGGTGGAAACAAATGAATTTCAAAACAATATTCCAAAGATTAAACCCGTCAAAACAGTTCTCGTATTACCATTCAAAGATGCTGCTTTTCTTCTCTCGCTCTCCTTTTGGCTCAGATAGACTTTTAGCGCTTGGGATATCTTTTAATTTGCATTTTATGACAAAGAGAAACATTAATCGTTGCCGTAGACGAAAAAAAGAACTCTCATTTCGCTCTATTAAATGTATATTGAATGGATTAAATTTAAGAAAATGTATTTTATTTCATGTGGAAAAAAATAATTATCATCTTCGTACCATTTTTTGTAATAAACAAAGGATAGATACGTGTTCGTGTTAATAAGAGAGTCCTTGAAAAAGAAAATCTTTCATTCTTACTCATTTTCTCCTATGCTTTCTAATTCTTCTCGTTTAAATATTGCTGTTTGAAAAAAGTCCATTACAATTGAAACTGATGACAATTTATTAAGATTATAAGAAGTTTGACATCGGACTGTGAGTTTTTCTTGTCATCTCGCTTTTTGATAAATATCAATGATGCTGATATATCAATACCTTTGATTGTTTTAGATGGTACATTTGTTAATGAAGTGCCAATAATAATTAATGACGAGCCAGAAGTCAATCGAATTTTTCGACCAGGCATTTTCCCTAATATACATTAATTGTGCACATATATATCTATGGAAAACAGATGTGTGAATCTTCTATGCATGAGAAATAAAGTACAGATTATACAAAGAATCGTCGTGTCTGTAAGAAAAGGACTCACATTTCAGCGACGATCAGCACTAAATAAACAAGTGGGAGGATGAGAAGGTGACGTAGCAGCACAGCATTCTAAGAATATTATCTTTTTTTCTGTTGCACGACGACAATGAGGACGTTCAAACAAGATTTGCCCAGTAATAGTTATGATCATGCGAAAAGGATTTTTCCGAAGAAAGTGAGAGAGAAAGAAAGAAGCAGAATAAGAAAAGATTTATTTTTGTGCTCATCAACATTCTTCTTATAACACTGGTAGTAACGATGACTATCGTAAATGTTCGTCAGCTATTACTACCGTCTTCTTCTTCCTTTTTCACCTCAGATATGGAAAAACCATCGCAATTATAAGAGGAAAAATTAACGAGGAAAAAAATGTGACAGACTAGTGAAAAAGACAGTGTATTAACATGAATGAGCAGTAAGACATTTCAGTCGATCCAAAAATAGATAGATATAATGACCGACAGCGCATAGCTACTGCAAAAAGTAAAGAAACCTTAGCATGCATAGGCTTCTTTATATTTCTTTGGAAAGATAAGATAATTTTATAGTGTTATAACTAGTTCATGAGCGTGTTATACAGCAAAATCAAAATACTAATTCAATCTATCAGAAAATCTTCGACTTAAAAAAGTATCAAAGAAAAATCAGATGTTGTTTACTCTTGAGTTTTAATCCAATATATAATTAATAAAGTTTCTTATATTTATTCAACTTATTTTCTTTATACAAATTTCAAAAATAAGAACTAGCACACAAAGAGAAAAAAAGCATGTCGTGTAACAACAAAAATTGATAGAAAAAAGAAAAAGGAAACTACACAAACTTCACATTTACTAAAGATAGAACAGCACCAATATACACACCATCGGTGATATATAATATCTATATATATTTTTAATTTGTTTTGTAAGCGTATTGTTCAATGGACGGTATAGAGAGAGATTTAAAAAAAAAAGAAAGAACAACTCAATTGAAAAGTTAAGATTCAGTAGTTGTTTTTGAATTTGAATAAGTACGTCGACAATTTTTTGCTGCTTCTTTTGTTAATGACTGTTCATATTTAAATAATTCAGCTAGTGTTACGTTATTCGGTACATAATTCTTCTTTTCCATGTACGGTGAAAGACGAGAAGCAGCCATGTTTGCTCGTGCCAATCGTATGGATGTTTCACTAAATTAAATATTAGTTATTAATCAAACAAACATCTTTTGTTTCATGTTTGATGTTTTTGTCAGGATGATTTTTACTCTATTAGTAAATTATTTTGATTCTGTCTTTTTTTCCGTTTTGTTATTTTCAATTTACATCAAATAAAACCAAATCATGCTAGCGAGCATCATGCAAATAAGATAGGTTATCACCAATTTTACCTGATTTTCACATAGACAGAAAAAAATTATGAGCTAAAATTGGAGAAAATTAATTATTTATGTACGATTGAATCAATGCGGATGAATGCATTGAAATTCTTCCAATAAATTCAAATATTATTTTATTAAATTTTACACTTGCAAGGCCCTATACTATTAGACTTATTTTTTTTCTCATGTAAACATTTACTTGAATAAATTCATTAATCAATGAATATTTAATAAACAACAAACTTTACTCAACAAGTACCATTTGAAGACTATCATCATCATCTTCTTCTTCTTCGAGGAAGTCGAATTGCTCTATTCATGTTCTACAACCGAACGAGACTAACAAAGCCAGCTAGTTTGACTTTTGTTAATCAAAGTACATTTTGAATTTGCATAATGAAAGGTGCCGCCGGATGCCAGTAAAAACTCCCACCCGTTTGATCTCAACGGCTAGCAAGTGACATTATTCGGAGTGCATGTCTGACATGGGATTTTCTTAGATCGATTGTGCTTCAAAAGAAAAAGATAACAGCTAATCCCATCAGAACTAGATATAACTTGTAAAACACAAGTATATCAGAAAAGAAGAAAACATTCTTCATCCTGTCCGATATTTTCTTTTGAACGAAATTTCATAGAGTAGTATCAGTTAACTCAAGGTCAGAATGGCCGAATAAATTAAAAGTAGTTTAATATTAGAAGCCAATGAATTTTTTTCTTCACTCTCTAAAATTCATTTGAACCAAATGGTAATTTTACAAGAACAAAGAAAACTCTTGAACCGCTTTTGATAGTGACAGAAGAAAGAAAGAAAGAAAGAAAGAAAGAAAGAAATCCTATTAGAATTTTCATTACCTAGATAATAAACTTTCTCTTGCACGCTCGAATTGTGATGCTGATTCTGTATGTAATTGTTGTGAATCTTTAACGAGTTTGTCGGTTTCATCTAAAATAGCTTGTTGACTTTTACTTAAGCCTTCCATCGTGCTTAAATTTCCATTATTCAATCGCGTTGAATAATCATATTGATTATTATTTGTCGATATAGGCATTTGATTTGTTGTTGTATGATAAATAGTTCGTATTGGTTCATGATTTTGATTTTGATTTTCTTGATGATTAGAAAAGTGTGTTTGATGATTGGTTAGTTTTAACGGAGTTGATGTTAAAAATGAAATATTAAGTAAATGTGGATGATCTGCAATTGTATCTTGAATTGGCGTAAGAGTTAAATTATCCGCACTTGTACTTAAAAATGAATTCAATCGTTTATTATTGTGTATTAAACGTGGTGCGAAGTCAAATGTTGCAAAATGATTTGTTGAACGAGTTTCAATAGAAGATCTTCTTAGTTCTAATGCGCTAATTTTCATATCTAGTTGCTTTTTCGAATCTTCTAAACGTTCCCGATAGACAGCTAAATGTTGACGTGTTAGTTCTGCCATATCTTCTTCGTATTGATGCATTTTTAATTTAACAGTTTCATTATCAATTGAGGCCGAATCGTATGAAAGCGAACGAAGAAGTGCGTCTAAAAAAGATTAGATTATTAAAATTCATATAAAGAAAAAATTAACCCTTCCGCTTTTTGAATAAATCTCACAGGTCTTTTGATAAATTCTATTCTTAGATAAATCTATGAGAATACAAGAGCATATTCTTTTTTTTTTTATAAGAGTGATTATTAAAAATTAAAATGAAAGAACTGTTTTAGTAGGTCAGTTTTTTGAATAATATTACGGTAAGAAATCCCGACGTGTTTTTAATACCTCGAAGTGTACTTATAGAAAATAGAATAGAAGTCATTCTGACAGATTGATGAAGATTTGGCAAGGTTCTGAACGATTCTACACCAAAATTTTACTTGTCGATCTTTAATCTGACGCTTTTTCTTCTTCTGACAATTCATAATTTCATTTCAACAAGTAGAACGTTAGCATGCTGAAGTACTCAACTAAAGAAATGACATAAGAAGTGGAGCACGATAATTTCAACAGCGAATGCTATATATCAATCGAGGCTATAGAGATAAAAAAAAATAATCAACGAGCAAATACAGTTAAAGTCAATGACTAAACAACCAAAGGCAAATTTATCTGAAATATATCTAACGCTCAAACAAAACTAAGTAAGCACATGCGCACAGGTATAAGTATTTGCATTGCTGTTTCAAACAGTGAATAGTGATCGATTGAAACATGACTACAACACATGAACAGTGAATCCTATTAACAGATACAGGTTTAGTAACGACGTATTGTCAGGGAATATTGCGTGCTGTGCTTATAGATCTTGTCAAGTTGGTTTGACACGCCAGAAAAAAGAAAAGAAAAGACTTAGTCTTTAGAGAAATATTTATATTATGTGTTAGTCATGGAATACTAAAATCCGAGAAACATTATCTTTCCTATTCCGAATGGCTGCCAAATTTCAATTAGAATATTTGATTAAGACTCGCCGAGCACGGTTCGATTGGATCCGACGTGCTTTAAGTATACTGACTGTAGTGGATCAGTTTGAGAGTTTTTCTATTTCTAGGATAAAGATATATATATATATATAAATCAATTACCTGTTTCTCCGATAATATAATTTAATTTAGCTTCTGTTAATTCTACCCAAATATTCGATCGACTCCAATTTAATGAAAGTAAATCGAGTATATGTGCTCGTTCACGACGTAATTGTAAAATTTCTTGTTCAATTTCAGTTGTTGTTGCTTTTAAATTTGAGTTCATTAATGTTGTATTTTCAAATAGAATGTGATTATTATTTGGTGCCATTTGTCGAAGTAGTGGACGTCGTGTTACTTCAGATATATCTTCACTGTCCGATGATGAACTTTTTATATCGACTTGTAAAGCTAAATTTGATGTTCGACGATGATTATCATCAACAAGAATACCAGAATCGGCACTGCGTTCAAGTGTTGTTGGTTGTAATAGCATTGTTCGATAATTTAAATTATCGTTTGTTTGTATTCTATCTTGTGTTTGTAGAAAACCGGGTATTTCATAGGATGATACTTGTGTGAAGGTTGTTTTAGCTTCGAAACAACATTGTAAACCTTGATCAGTTGTTAGTGGCGGACTATATTGACATGATCGATCAACTGTTTGACGAACTGTGATTGGCGATGTACCTGTTGTTTGATATTGTCTTTCTGAATGTGTGAGAATTGGCGATAGGTCAGCATCAAGAGTAGATTTTTGTTGTTTATTTGAATCGATCGGTTTGCGTTCAATATAATGTATTGATGGAGTATTTGTTTGAATTGTACTTGTTGATAATGATGGTGGAATATATTTTATGGGCTTAAATGGACTACGCCAGGGTATACTACTACCACTGATGACAGCATGATCGTGCCAAGAATCGATGACTTCAATTTTATTATCTTTCAAATGATGAGAAGTTTGAATAAGATATTCTTCATATTGATTAGTAACAGTATACGAAGGTGAATCAGATGTAGATAGAGAGTTTGATTTTTCGGATTGGGATTTTGCAGAATTCCTTGAATAAACAGAACCCTGAGTGATAACTATTGATTCACAGATAGAATTTAACATTGTCGATGGACCATCGATATCAATAGACACCATATCCGACTAGAAGAAAAACAGTTAAGATTATTTCTATTGCTGAATTATCCTTTGCTTTAGTGTTGACGGATCGTAGAAGATCGTACGAAACTTTTTGATAATTAGTAAACTTGCAATCAATGAATAGATCTTATTCATATTCAAATTATTACGTGTACTGAATTTTCGATTCTGGTAGAGTTAGCGAACTTCACTCGAGAATCGTTTATAGAGAATGTCTAGGCTGAAACCGTACAAGAGAGTATTGTCTCAGTGGAAAAATAAACAAAAGATCTAAAATGTGAGATTTCTTTTGTAAGTAATCTTTTGAAAAGTTTAAATCAACATAGTTGTTTTCTTCTCGAGTATACTCAGTGATTCCTTTGCTGGTCCTGCTATCGCAGTGAGCTAGGTCGTATGACGAAGCTGTGGATTCGAACATTTATCTATTCCAAGTTGTAAAATAAAATCTCTACCAATTATAACACAAACCTCATCGAAATGTTTTGGATTCGTTCCAATGGTTGGCACTTGAATAGTTTCAGCTATACGTTGAAAACTTGCATCTTCTTGTAAATTATTACTACCGTTTGTATGTAATACTGAACTAAAAGTTGGATTTAAATATCGTCGTTGCCCATGAAATGAACGATCTTGTGGATCACGTTGTATAGTATCTGGTGCAGCTTCGATTCGTTTTGTTAGTATAACACGTTGATCAGCGCCTTGCCGATCGATATAACCAATTTTAAAACCTTTACCTTGTTTAACAATTTCTAAATCCGATACTTTATCAATACATTGTGTTTGATAACGTTTCGATAGATTGACAGCAGGCTTAGTCATTAATAGAGCTTGTCTTAGATCTATGCTTACGGGTTCTTCTATAACAAGTTGTTTCTTTGATATTTTCGTGATACAACGTGGTTTACGGATTTCATTGACTATAGATATTAAATTTTCAATATTAAATTGTGAATTGTTTTCTTCATGGTCAATGAGATCAGGACTTGATTTAGTTTCTCGTTCGTCCATTGAAATCCTACTCGTTGAATCTAATTGTTCTAAACGTTGAACAAGTTCATTTAGATCAAGATAGCTATTAGGTTGTTGTTCCATTGTAATATAATCTTGTTCAATGTTTTCTTGATTTATAACTGTGTCAAGTTTTTGAATAAAAATAGTTGAATCAATATTCTCTTTGTTATTTGCATCGATCGATGAAATTGGTTCAATTTGGTCTATCATATAAGTTTGTTGATGTTCTGCTGGTTCGATTGCAATGATCGATGTGATATTATTCGAGTCTTGAGTAAGAGATGCGCATTGTTCTTCATTTTTATAGCCAAGAAAAAGATCATCATAAAATATGGGCTCATCAATACAACGTTCCCAGGCATCGTTATCAATGCTTGAAAAATTCAAAGATTTAAATTGCTAAAATAATACAAAATACAATAGCGATCGTAGGTCTTTGTTTTGTTAATTTGAGGTATCAAAACACAAATTAGTGTTCACACACTCGTATCACATAAATACAATTAAGAGATTCTGGATCTTAGAAATTTTAGGCTGTGAGATATAGGCACATTCAAGACCATTATCAATCGTATAGACACTGACAACAGGAATCCTTAGAAAATTTTCAGTGATTTTAACAATCAATCGTAGAGATTCAATTTCAGGGCTTTTTTCGTAACGGTAACTGATACGTACCGCCTTGGTAGTTGTTTTACGTTGTAGAAGAATGACAGGGTAATTATTCTTGACAAAATGAGGCATCTTCGACCTCTCGTCGACATGCTGAAACTGAAGTACGTGAGTTCAAAAAATCTTTCAGTGTTTTTTTTTCTTTAGAAATTCTTGATAAAATGTCATACAAAAAAAAACCTGGAGATACTTTATTCTATTAAATTCCTATGCGTCTATTTGACGTCCTGGAAAATGAAAAATCTGACTGACATTTTTTTATTCTGTTAAATTTCCAATGCAACGAGCTTTCTCTATTCAAATCAGTATTAAAATTCTCTTTTTTTTCAAAAGTTACTTGAATTATCTACTACCCAAAATACTTGATCGGAAAAAGAAAGTTGTAGGCAATCACGAAGATTTTTGAGACCTTCCCTTTCCAAATCGACTGTCTTGGTCAATATGACACCGTTAAATCATCTGAATATTTATTCTAGGAGTCGCCGATGATATTTACAAACGCATAGGTAATCCGTTCTAGCTTTCTGTCATTGATATTTACATTAGATAAATTACTTCATTTTTCTAATAGCTAACCTGAATTTGTTCGGGTGATAATGGTTGACTATGTATGGATGAAAGTGGTCTCGATTGTGGCGAAGAAAATTCCGATCCAATAACGCCATGATCATCATCACTAGCATGAAATTGACAATTATCGTCGGAATTGTCAACATTTAATTCTTTATAGAGCGGACGTTCACGCTCAAATATGTCATCACTATCGACACTTGATGCATATTGACTTGCTCTTGAACTTGGAATTGTTGATAGTGAATGTGGACGAAATAACGACAATTGTTCATATAAATTATGTATTTGTATAATAGGTGGCATATCTTCTTCTTCGTCTTCTGTATCTTCGTATGTTACCGATAAACTTACAGCTTTGTCTTCCATTTCGGTTACTTGTTCTAAATCATATTCATCATGATAGACTTGATTTGAAAAATTAAAAACATAACTGAGTGGTTCTTTCGAACTTGGCGAATGTACAGAATCTTCATGGGATATTTGTTCGTGTTCTAATGACGGAATACTTTCAACATCGGATTGTATTGATATTGATATTAAACGATCAGCAAATGGTTCGGATATATCCGCACCTTGTAGAAGACCAAGATTCCCGGAAGTATTCATCGATGAAAATGATTGTCTTACTGACGATGTTGTTACCTCGAATGATTTTGATTTGATTTTTGTTATGGGTTTTTGATTGCTTTGATTGCTTATGGAAAAAATATCATTATGACTTCGAGATTTTTCTATTAATGTATGAGATACATTTGTATTCGAATTTGATAGACCAATAATATGTCGTAATTTATATTCATTTAAATCATTATCATCTTTATCACTGAATGCAACATTCAGTAATGATTGCCAAATTTGTTCTAATGTTTCATGTGTAATATTTAAGTGTATATAAGCATCAAGTGTTGAAAGCGAATATGAACGTTCACGAATGAATGCTCTTGGCGGTTTAGAAGTTAAATTAGGAGATGAATGACATGATTGAAGTGTCTGAGGTGAAAAATAAAATTCATCTTCATCATCACCTATTATTTGACTTTGATGAACAATACGAACATGATTGGTATTGTCTGTTTCAACAGGTTTTTCAATGATTTTTGAAGGTAACTTTTCTTTAAACCATTCACAACGATACTGTTCAGTTAGAAGAATCGTAGCTGCACTGCCAAATGCTTTATAATACATTCCTAGAAAAATAAAATCATAGATAAGTTAGGATTATGGCATTATAGAGTAGTGAAAATCCATCGTTTGACGAAAGATCATATGCAGCGGATTGTAGGTTAATACAATTTTCGGTTGTCTATTCCGGTCTCTTTTAAAATATTGACATGATGAAGTCAAGTGTTGACGAAACGCTTACTACTCTGAAAACTATCACACAAAGACAGGCGTAAGTTTAAATCTAAGAAACTAAAAAGACGTTCCTTGATTCATTTGTGCTGTTCAATGAGTTCGTCGTGTTAGTTTGTATGAATAAATTTTTTCTAATTTTGAAAAAAAGACACTTCCTGACTAAACAAATTTCTACAATCGGTTTCCGGAACGGTGCGTTTAGACATGATGATCCTGTGTTCTATTTTAGGAATGATGTTTCCGGATAAAAAAAAGTTCCTACTTTCTTTCTTAAATGAAGGCCAGTTTCTACGAATTAATTACTATCCAAGAAATTTTCCAATCCCTAGTTGCTGCTTAGAATTTAAACGAACTCAAGGAATTATAATACGATACGATGCATAGATACTATATTATGATCTGTAGAAGAAAAAAAATTCATTCAAAACGAGCATGTTGTTATCGTCTTGAGAATTCAATGATTGTTTTTAATGAAACCAAGAATAGATATTACCAATCAAGGTAGTTTCCAGAGAAATTCTTTTATAACAATCATTCTCTCGAGATAATCACTAGGTATTTTTGTCGTTACTTCACGATGAGACATATCAAAATCTTAGTCTCTTCTTATGATTCTACTAATCAATAAATCTTCTCTATGATAAATCGTGACTATGAAGGTTTACTTTTCTAATTGTATATTGATATTGGTTATCAACGATTTCTTGATAAAAGAAAAACAATATTTAAAAAAGGATTTCTCTTTTTTTTTAAGTCGATCAAGTTACAGGGAATTTAACCTTTTACACACTTTTATCAAAATTTACGTAGTCTATTTTTATTAGAAAGTATATCGTCACGAGTGTGTATATACGACAGAAAATATGACTAGACAAATAATCAGCGCATGCCCAATGCAGAAAAATTTTGTTGATTTATTTCTTAATTAATGATTTAAATTCAAAGAAGAAAAAAATCATTCTTTTTCTTCTTACCAGTTTGTTTTTCTTTTGGTATTAATTGTTCCGATGAACTTGTTGATATGGTTCGTTCAACACTTTTTTCACGTTCATTAAATTTGATTTCGTCATTAATCGAAATCATCTCATCGCTTTTTTGCATAGTTTCACATGTAAAATCAGTATTTAGATTCACCTCGATTATGTCATCATCAGATACTAAAATAAAACGAAAACATATGGCTATACACAATAAAACATTGTTAAGAATAATGGTAATAGTAATAAAAACCGATAAAAAAAAAGAAGAACGACAAAACGAAGAAAAATTTGTCGTTTTTTCTTCTTCTTTTATTCTAACTAAATAAAAATCATCATATCAATGTGCATTAGCACGTACAAATACCTTTTGTTGTATTCACTCGTGTCTACGTGTGTCATACGCGTGTTTTGCATCTAATTTTTAATATGCTTATGTACCTTTAAAGTTCATTTTCGACGTGTTCGTCTTTCTTTAAACATGTACATATGTATATATACTTCATTAGATGCCTATTGTGTACATATATAGGGGAGAAAGCGAAAGAGATGAGCTTTTGGAAGGGCGAGAGCACATCGAAGGATTAGTTAATAACCCAATCAGCACAGATAGAATGGGAGTAAAACGAACGGATGGACATTGTACATATGTCTAATGATATAGTGGAGACAGAGAACGAAAGAAATTCAAGTATAATTGAACTCAGAAATAGTTGCTCGTGACTAAGAGCATATTTTTGTTGGTCTCATCGTCTGTTTCGTCGAAAACTTACGTAACAGTTTATTCGACCTCTGATCGATATGATAAAATTTAAAATGATCGAAAAATTGATATGTCTTACGCTTCAAGAAAAAGGAAATTAAATTCACCTTTATCTTGAGATGTTATTAATAGTGAAGTATCCTGTTGCTCATTATCTTCGAATATAATTAATTCGTTTGATTGTGTACGATCCAAATTATCATCTGATAGGCCAAGTGCCGAGTCTTTCGAATAAAATGTTGATGTTAAAAATTGATTTGTCTTTGTTAAATCATCGATCGATGATGCTGCTGTATCGATATGGTGATCCGATTGATTCAATGAATCATGGCTATTGGAAGAAGATTGAAATTTATCTTGAAATAAATATGATGCTGCATCATTTCTATCTGCTGCTGCTGCTGTTGTTATTGTTTGTTGAGGAATGTTATTATCGTGATCAAATTCAATATAATTTTGCTCGTCATCGGCTTGCATTCTTCTGTCGTTCATTACCTCTAGAAACGAAAGAAACACATCTACTCTGAACAACTCTATGTGTATACATTTGTAAGTATTCTTTCAACGCGCTCTAGCCGTCTTCATTTAATAGACTATTGTCTAAGTAGTTCATATCTTCGTCAAACAATACGGGGCAAAGTTGAAAGAGAATTGTGTGCTTGATTTTTGATTGAAAACAACAATCCACTTTTTTTTGCTACTTTATTAAAGCGTTTGGATTGATGACTTACTTCGTTGAAATATGTGACCTCATTCATGATTGAACAGTTCAAGATAAAAAAGAAAGAAACGACAGGAAAAAAGACATCGTCGATATAACTTTTTTTTCACTTTTTCTCTAACCTTGTGCTATTCAAGACCAGCGACACACACATATATATATATATATACATCGCTCGCGTTTTCTATATTACTAAAATAATAAAAACTTACCTTGATCAACGTTTTCAATCGATGATGTTATTGATGATAATAATGATTTTGATCGTTCATTGACGAAAAGAATTTCATTTTGTTCACATGTTATTGAAGGATTGATCTTTTCATAATTACTATTGATAATATATGTGTCAAAATCAACCTTTTCACAATTTAAACTTGAACTTGACATGTCTATTTAAAGAAATGAAGAGAAAAAAATGAGAAAATCGGAGACTCAATGTGCCTATTGTTTATTCATTGAGCTATCATTGTCATTAAAGCTGATTGTTCGTTCTCCTGCTTTCTAACCTTGATTTAAGCAGTTGTGGCCTCGGATATGCATACATATATATATCTATATATACATGTTTACATTTTTTCTTATTCATTCGAAAGAAAAAAAAAACAAACAAAGAAAGAACGAGAAGTATGATTAATTTTACCGACACATCGAAGGACTTGCTCGTGTCAAAGACATAAAATAGATTCGAACGATAGTTACTAGTGTTGTATAAATACACTACTAGTGTGTGTAGAGTTGTCGTTTTCTTTTTGCTCTCTTTCTCTTTCACGTATGAAGGTAACGTCTTATATATCTCTTTGGCGGGGAGAAGTGGAAAACGAAATTTTATGGTAATCGAGGTCTTTGCATGTTTTTCAACCTTAATATTTCGTACGTATACATAGTCAGTCTATCATAAGACATAGGTAACAGCAAATAGATCAATCTGTTAGCTAAACTAATTCAAACATTAATAATATGCAATCATCGTCTTAAGATCAGGGCTAAGAGTTGATTCTCAGGAAAGTGTAAAAGGTTAGAAATATATAGACACGAGAATTATGTTGCTACTAGCACCCAATAGCGACTAGGATTGAAATTTGATTTAGTTCGAGGCTATATGAAGAGTATGAAAATATTAATTATCGCAATCCGAAAAAAAAATGTCACATCAAACATTATAACGAATGTGCTAACGCGAAACATTTTTTGACCTCAGTATATTAAAAATAAAACATATTTACCATTGAGACTATATTCATCATCTTGTTCTTCATTTCGCGATAGTATTTCTACTTGTTGACTGTTCGCATTTGCATCGGTTGACATAATTTGTAAATTGTGAGTATCGAGAACAGTAATAATATGCGATGATGACGATGTATTTGCTGTGCCGAGAGAAGCATGTATCGATCCAACTGATGATGAACGACTCGATGAGATGGATGGTGGTGGATTTGTACTTGTATCCGAAAGAAAACTTGTAAAGGCACGGTCAATCCACTCACCAAACGATGGTAATTTGAATTCGAATACGAACGGAATCGGAAACTGCGGATTGGGTGATGATGATGCTGGAATTGTTGGAGGTTCTTCTGATGCCATCATTAATTTGTTGGAATTGTCTGTTTTATCGTGATGATGATGATGATGATCATCATCTTCTTCGTCTGTCACTATTTCAAGTTCATAACCACAATATGATGAATTTTGATTGTTTAAATCACTTTTAGCTGAAAAATATATCTCCTGCTCCGTTTTATTCATTGATATTGAATATTCGCTTGGTTCTACAAGAGATTGATTTAATGACGAGGCTAATTTCAGTTGATTTCTTTCAATTAATGAATCATCCGATAGATTAAAAGCATCATGTTGATCTGTTATTGGTTCCGATAATTGTTCATCGATAGTTAATGTTGTATTTGGTTGATAAGTTTTTTGTTCACTTGCTATATCAACACCAGAATCGATTGTTATCTGTGAATATTCAGTTGATAATATTCTTGGACGAAATGTTGAATTTGTTTGATTTTCATTTTGTTCATTAATTGATGATGATAAACGTGTATTTAATTTTTCACGATAATCTTCTGCTGTCATTAAGGATCGATCAATGTCTTCGAAATAACGAGAATTAAGTTCATCGACATCTTCATCGGTACTTGCATATGATATTTGTTTTGGTTTATGAATAGAAACAGGTTTCGATGAAGGTGTTGATGATGAATCGGTTATTTTATCATTAGACATTATAGATAATGATGTATTGTTTATGCCAGGATGGGATGTAGAATATTCAAGTACGATTGAATCTATTTGTTCAGAATTAGGGTTCATTGAAAAATTTTCTAATGCTAAATAAACAGAACAGAAGAAAAAAAATATAATAAAGCGAATAGTGGTTAAATTTTTTTTGTATGTGATTCGGTTTTGTTTATAAAAACAATTTAACCATGCTGACGTTTTTGTAGGAAACTGAAGTGTCAATAAATGTTCATGTTTACTTACTCATCGTTTTCATATACATAGTCTTTAGTCTTATTTATTCGCTGCGTGCTTACTGTTCATCAATATATCTTCTGCTTCTTCTACGTAGTTTTATAATTGCTAAAAAAAAAGAGTAATTTACACCCTCTATCGGAAAAACCTATTTCTCAGATAGAAGATTGCCGATTTTACATAGCATCCAAGTTAGAAGTAACAAAACAACAGGAAAGTGAAGTACTTGTGAAAGGCGGATAATATTTTGACATAGTTGAGTGTGTTCTAATTATCGAAGAAAAATCTATTGTGTCGTATTAGTTTAAGAGACGATATCTAATGGCTAGAGGATTGGCACTAGTTTGAACATATAATAGATTCGTTCTTGTTTTAGATACTTATCGCGCTCGAAAGCTCTTTATGGTGACGATAAATAAGAACTCTTAGAGCGTACCAAATTCCGGACATTCGTTTGTATACGTAAATTATATCTAATATCTGGTATTAATATGATTAAAAAGATCTTCGAATTAATCGTACAGAAAAATACTTTTAGATTACAAGAAAATTAAAGACTCTTAAAGTGTAAACAGGACTGATTTGTGACGAAAGAATCTGAGATTTATTGTTGAATAGAATTTATTGTTATACTGATGATATTTTTAGGAACAACTAGAATTGACATACGTAAAAACGATAATCTTTCAACATTTATTTAACTAGTATATTCTTTTAGTCATCATAAATTTTGCATACTGTTTAAGAGAACCTCAATTTCTTCAATTTACTAACGAAAATATTGTGTAGTGAATTTTCTAGTCGATACTTAAATTAAAATAAATAAGACCATTTTTCGGTCTTCGAAAAAAACTTACATTGGACCTTGAATCACCAGTGGCTTCTGATAATATTATGAGACTTAATTTTCTAAGACTTACGATCGATTCTATGACTGAATTTCACACAAGTCTCGAAAATATACAGAAAGATATTTTTCTACGTCTTCCTTCATTAACAGAAATCAGTATCAAGTATTGACTTTATCGTTAAATACAGAATTAAATCGTGAGTATAACTATAAAATTCATTTCTTTGATGGTTTCGTTTCTACTATATCGACAAAAACCTTCACTCGTTGGTTAATCAAATCATAGTTTTCAAAATTTGTTCAAATTTATTGTCTTTTCGATTTCAATTTTGATTTTTGATGTTTTTTTTTCATTTCACTCTTTTCGAATTTGAAGCTTCTATAAATATATCGAAACCTGTTTCGAATTTGAAATACTTATAAAAACGTCTCAGTCTATGTAATTTTAATACAATACCTTCTTGATTCTGATTGGTTAAATTTGTAATATTTTGTTGATCATAAATCAATGGTGCCGATCGATCTTTTTGTTCACCAGATGACCCACTATCTGTATAATTATCTGTTTTGTATTCTTTTTTATTAATGTTTCTTAAACGTCGATTTTTATATAATTGATTATCACTGTACCATTTGATTTTCGAATAGTGAAGTTTGACTCCATTCTTTTGAATATTCCATTCTAGATTGTTATTTTGATTTAATAGCGAAGATTGAGAACGTTTCGTTGTTGTTATAGATATAATATTTCCATGGGAATCTTGAGAATTCGTCGCTTGTTGTATTAATGGAGATGATAAAAGTAAATTAGATGCTGATCCAGTTAAATTTTGACATGATGATGTTATAATAGAATCAGGTAACGATTCTAAATTTTGCCAATAATCCAATTGACCACGTTGTAAAGTTATATTTCGTGATGATACAGGTGCAGGATGTTTTCTATAATCGTTGGTCGGAGGAATTTGTTCAACAGAATACTGTGGATAGAAATTTTTCTCTTCATTGTGGATTGTTTTATTGGTGTTTTTCCAAACATAAGGTACGGTTTTTGTTAAACCAAATGAATTCTTTGGCTCGGTTTGATTTGTTACTTGAATGAGATAAATCGATGATGAGGACTGTGATGAAATGGGCGAAGACATCAGATTCGATTGATCGTTCGAGGCTACAGTTGAACGTGTACGAGGATGAGAATGCTGTTTCGATGAATTTTTTTCTAAACTGTTTGGCGATGCTGACGATAGAAGAACCTGAGCAGTTGGAGATTGACGCTGTGTTGATGAATGAAATTTTTTCCTTATTTGAACAAGTGATTGAGAAGAAGAAGATAAACTACTCGATGAAGATAAATCGTTAGATGTTGATTTTGATTTTGATGGACGACCTATTTTAATAATAACGAGTTTTGAATTCGATTTTTTACTCAAAAGTTACCATCGGAATTCTTCATTACTAAAGTCAAAGAATGACTTGGCGTCGAATCGTAAGTTTACTATGTAGTAATCTACATTGGACCTTGAAAGCGTGTATTCAAAGCTCGAGAATTCTATGTCAAAAGTAGTATTTGCCCGTCGACAGATATCAGACCATTGAGTTTGTCACTACTTAGCATTACTACATGACACTGAGTAACCGAAAGACAAGGGTACTTGTAGAGGGGCCCGAAGTCATTTTTTATGAAATAGTATACAGAGACTTGCACTGTTCTTCCCTATAGCAATCCTCGATAAAGTTTGTTACTCTATGATCGAAGGTCTTATGTCAATGACTTGTTGTTCTACTTATTGATTGCATTTCAACAGGATATATACACTCAGCACACATAGAATAAAGAACACTCTGTGAGTACCAAGAAAACTTGTGTTTTTTTTTTCAATTTCGATCTCGTGAAAAATATATCCCCATAGACTTCTTTTTAAGCAAAACTCAAGTACATGTAAGACAAAGTAGAACACCGGTACCCGTCTGTTTACCACGTCAGTCAATCCGCTAAAAACGAGACTAATGATGATGATGTTGAAGATAATCCAAATGTACTTAAGCAGTTTATTTGCCTGACTTACAGTAGACAATATTATTTTTCTCAGTCTGATTGAACAAAAATAAAAGACGACAAGTACGAGTTTTAATACAGGTCTACCACACTAGTTTTATATTATAGATGATAGCAAAACCTAGCGAATTCTAAAGAATTGTTCATAGAAATTTAGCTCACTGAATTTTCGGCTTTAATCATAGAAAATAAAAACGGGTTATTCTGACATGTATGTAAAAGTGTAGTTTGCTTATTCAGAGACAAGAAAAAATTCATGATATTCATCTCTTGATAATTATGAAATGCTTAATAATAAGAAGATTAAAATGTCATCTAAAATCCTCTTAGATAATGTTGATTTGACAACAACATCGAAATCTGCATTGTTCTATATTTACAATAGAATTCATCATCGATTTGATTATGTTATTGTTCGGATCATTATCAACTACACTTGTACAATAGCCTGTCATCTCTTATTCTTTAACGATCGACAGGTGGAGGCAACTGAATACCTATTGACTAATCAACATGATGCTCGCTTTTCACATAATATTAAAAATAATTGTTTTTTTTCTCGATCGTAAGAATGTCATTGACGAGAGAGAGAGAGAGAGAGAGAGAGAGAGAGAGAGAGAAAGAAAGATTGACTAAAAAGTATTGGAAATCTAAAAGAATGCTTCTCAAGTTTAATATAGTTTATATTCAATATTATGTTTTATTAATGTACATAATTGTTTACTCGAGGACATCGATGACTTATATTCTGATGCTACTACTTTTGTCTAAAGGCAAGAAATAATTCTATGAGCGTCGCTAGAAAATAATCTATTTGAATTTTTTCTATTATGCACGAAGAGAATTCATCAACAATCTACTTACCACGAACGACAAGTAGTGTTTTATTAACACACGTACCAATTGAAGGAAACATTAGGTATCAGTGTTGTTGTTTTTTTCTTAAATTCTACTGATCGAACCAGTCTGAAACCTAATTACTCTGCTAGCTGTATCGAATCAAAGAAAATGAGTATCGTTTTTTTGATATGTAATACATAATGTTAAGTTTAATCGTTTATTATCGACGCCGCCCCCTAAGTAACAACATTAGAAGAAAGAGAGAACAATTTGATCGATGTTCATTGTATATGTTTCTTTCTCTTTCTTTTAGTCGTCAAGAGAAATAGGCTTATGATCATAAACACGCACATGCGACTACTAATTATGCATAGAGTAGTCTTCTATCTTTCATGACCATGACTAGTTGATAGATGATGACTAGAGAAAAAATAACAAATTAGCTCCATTATATTTTTCAGGCTAACTTTCAATGAATCACTCGAATTCTCCGATGAATTTCAATACGACCCCATTGATCATCCTGAATCGCGTCAACCGCAGAAAAGAAAAGTAATCAATGACCCAAGAATTAGTTATATTAGGTATAATCAATTGTGCTTGTACCACCTTACTAGACATAATACAAAAAGAATGTCTATCAGCGACATCATTTTATCAGAATCAAAATTTTTCTGTTGTTTCATAAATAGATGTATTATTTGATTCAATACGTAATTTTCAGATGCAATCAAAAATGTGCAGCGCATACAAATGATCATTAGTAAAACTATTAGTGTGCATGTTACAAAATAACTTTTGTAATCAATCTATGAACATGCAAACGATATTTTATCGACTAAGACGATCTGATGCGTGCTTAAATAATAGAAAAATCGTCTCAATTTAAATTAACTTTTTTTCTTTAATGGACATCCGTCATGTGTATGTCCTTCTCGAGCATGTTGATAAACAGAATTTGTTTGACCGGAAATGGTGATCAATAGAAAAAAAGAAAAAGAACTATCGAGTTTCTTGGCCGGATACTTTTTTTTTTGCATTTTCACTATTTTACGAGCATCGAACGTCCAAATATGATGAAACATACACAATAGAATATACTACCTTCCGTTTAAACATAAAACTAATTATAAATAACTTAGTATTGTACATTTATAAAGAATTCACTAAGTTCAATAATAGTCGTTGCTTATTTAAAAACGCTTTTTTCTCTTCACATTCTTTAATTACTAGTACGATAGTATTGTACAAGAATAGACTAAATACAAAATAACTCGACATTGTTTCTCTGTAGCTAATATACCCTTTCGCATGAACAATCAATCATACTAAATTCAATAAAGTTTATAGGAATTTTTGTTTTTTTCAATTTTCGTCGTGTCATATTGATAAGAATACAGTGTTTATTTTTAGTTGCCTTTGGAGATGATTAATAATAACACAAGAGAAATGATATGAAAACATCGATAGTTGAAAAGAAAGAATGTTATCTCGATTTTTTACTATTGAAAAAAAGGAAGAAGAAGAAATTTGAGTGGATATCTTCATAAAGTATGTAAGCCTTTACTTAATCGCCGACTAAGTATATACCTATTGTTCTTAATCCCTTGCTGTCATTATAGAAGGGAAAAAAGCGTGAAACTAGAAGAATCAATGTCAAAATTGAAGTTTTTTCATACCGTCCTTATGTCGATGTCGTCGCTGTCGTTTATCTGAGATTGAGATAGTATGTGCATATTTCTTCTTCTTATTCCTAAGTGACACTTGTTCTTCCGGATTATTCAAGTGATGGCTTGTTTTCATATTTATGTTCGTGTTCGATGATGTATTTTCATCGGCCGATGTGATTTGATCAGTATCGTTGTTTAAACTAAAACAGAATAGAAATTTTTACAATAATGAACAATGAATGTAACACCTGTTCTATTATTAATAACAAATGTGTTCTCTCCTATCAGCTATCTCTTATGATTCAATCGAAAGCGAAACGTAAATTACTTTTTTGGTATGAACAATGGATTCTTACGAACATTATTCTTATAGCAAATATAGAAATTATTGCATTACAAAAACCTAAAAAATGTGAAGTAAAGTTTTTTTTCTTTGTTTAGTGTAAGCATGTTACTTCTTTATTCAGTTGTGTGAAAAAAAGAAGAATTTTCAAGTGTCGAAAGAAACATTAACCTTGAAATGATGCAAAGTAGAAATAGAAACGACTTTCAAATAAAAAAAAAAAACGCAGAAGTCTGTCTTCTCGTTACACACATAGTAAATAAAATGTAAAATTATCAAGTGCGTTTCATTAAGAGAGAAAAAGAAGTTCGTCTAAGCGAGGTTCATCTCTTGTGCTTTTGTTCGGTGAACAAGAAATCATTGCGAAAGACAAATCGACAAAAAAATAATAAACGATCTTGCATGATTTCACAGACAAATCATACATTGTAATATAAGATCAGTGTATTGTGTCTTTTATTGTACTAGCAGAAAAATGATCTTTCGAATGTACCAATAAACGATGTATGGAACCAAACGAGTATCGAGATTACGAAAGAAAACTTTCTTTCGGACAAAAAAATGAATATTCTATGATGAAGGACGATCAAAAATATCTATCGAAGAGAATGATTAGGTTAGATGCGAATAATAGTCAAAATTAAAATCGATAAAAACAAAAAGTGACCGAGAAGAAAGCTGACTGGACGAAGCACCGATGTGACTGCAAAGTGTCTTAAACTTTTAATACAAACTTCCTAATTACAGAGTAATCGACATGCTATTGAATGCACCATCGAAACCGTTCATGATTTGTTGTACTGAATTTTTCGTTGTGCCGTAACTTGTGAAAAAATGTCGAAAAAAACAATCATGACGGCAAGTGACTTCAACAAAATGTCTAAACTAACGCTAAGTCCATTACATTTCTAGCAATAGTTCGAATACAGGAAGACTAGAGAAAAAGTGCTTGATTAGTTTTTCTTTCATTGAAAACAAAAATGAAAACATCAAACAGTAACCATTTTCAATATAAATACATTGAAGAAAACCTTCTACAAGACGAGACATAACAAACAAAAAGTATGAAACCTTGAAAAAAAGCCAGCGTTAAACATTGCCTGAAACATTCTGAAATACGCTCAAATAGATTTGTTTGTGTTAGTTAGTTTTTCTTTTCTTTTCAATAGAAGGTAAATTCGTTGACTGGAAAGACTATTAGTCAAAATAATACTCAAGCTTTTCGCCTGTCGTATTATTGAAACACTAAGATATACACACACGACTTTGTTTCTTTTAGGAATAGACGTTTTCTTTATTCTGAAGCTTCTTACAAAACATATTGGCATAAAAACAATTTGTGAGAATTTGAAAACAGACAAAAACTCAATTGAAGAAAACAGCAATTTTTCAAGGATGTTGAACATGCAAGCATTTCGAATGCTTCAATACTTTTAAAAGAAGATTAAATTAATATTTTCGAGCAATCTAATTTCTCTAAGATGAACACTAATGGGGCTGTTCAAAACGTGTTCATTAAAGGAGATGTTCATCTTAGAGAGGTGTCACATTAAATGAAATTTATATAGGTATACAGTACATGGTTAGTATATACGAATGATAACTACACACCTTTTATATTAATATCTTTTACGAATTTCTCGGGCTTGTGCTTGCATGAGTGGATCTGAGATAGGAATGTTCTTACTACGCTGAATGACGAACCATTCGTAAACTTTTTGATCGAGTTGTTGATTAAATTCATCTCGAAAGGTGCGTTTCTTTGTTGAGTTTTCATTTTGTTCGTAACTTTCGATGTATTCTGCCTTACGTTTAATAACATTTGACACACTGCCGGTCGAGATCTTGTAATTCTCAACAAGTGTACACTAAGAAGTGTTGTTTTCATTTTCACGAATTAATTGCATTTTTTTCAGACAAGGTTAGCGTGCGTTTTGTCGTCATTTTACAATTGCAAGAGAAATGTGCGGTATTCTCTCATACAAAAGTGACTAGCTCATCGCGGACTATTCATTTTCATTTTTCTGTTTGTGTCATACATACGACAAAGCTTGCTATGACGAATCAACCGTCCAAATTTGATTTATCATTGCTTTACTATGGTATGTGCAATCTATTTTTTCATCTACTTATTTCATACACGAAAGCGTAATTGTTCAGTGTGTGTTCAATGTTCAGAGTTGGGAGGTGTTCATCTTGCGGAGGTCTGTTTACACCAAAAATTGATTGGGGGTCGGAAACATCCGCTCATTATAGAGAGGTGTTCATTAATAGAGGTTTCACTGTATGTTCAAGGCTTGAAGAAAATCGATTTTTTTTTGTCTCATTATTGACACTCTCAATTTCAAGGTGTTCACAATCGTCCGGGTGCATTGAACAAAACAAACCGGGGGAAAATACGAGATAAAGGAAATTCAAATAGTAACCGACATAAAAGTTTGTGGCAAATAAAACTCAACTGCGTAAAATTACGCCAGAAAAGATAAATATCTTGCGTTGTTGGTATATTTATATTTAAATAATAATCGTTATCTTGTTGCGTGTGATTAAAAATGAAACCTTTATAAATAGAACCATTTTTATGTTTTCCTTAGATAAACTCATTTATAAATATGAAAATCTTTTCATGTCTTACCTATCTATTTCATATAAATCATCGACGGATCTATTTGGCGATGGTATTATAGGATGATAGGCTATTGTTAATCGTGGAATTTTTGTTTTGTTATTTGATGAGTCAATTTTGAGAATTGATGAACTATTGTTTAGAGGTATTGAAATTCTGACAGGTATTTTCGATGGAGATTCCGTTCGTTTACTCGATTGTAATAGTGGAGAATGTCCAGTTGAATTTAATTGAACTATCGATGATGAAGATGATGATGAGCTTTGTATCACTGTTATAGATGAATCGTGTGAAATGGCACGTCGTTTCGTTTGATTAATAACACGTTGTCGTCTTGGTGTTTTTGCGCGTTCGTGTTGATGACGAAAATTTGGACACGACGGTTCATGTTGACGAATAGAACTAGATGATGTATTATGAAAATATTTTACTGATTGACATTTACATAATGCACAACGCGGACAAATAAGTACTGGAATTGGACTATGACCTTGTAACAAGGGATCCCGCCAATCGCGAAGTGTTTCAGCAAAAACTAAATGTTCATTTGAAGGCGTCGAACGAATATTAAACAAACCGTCGTTAGGATTTTTAAATGATTCAGCCATTAGTTAATTTTATTGGTCTAATTAGAGACAAGTATACACAGTCTAAAATAGTAGTCATATATGCATAACGTCATAGACTATGTATTGTTCATGTAGGTAGGTATATTATATGAGTATAAAGAATAAAATGAAAAGCAATTGATTTCTTAACAAAGAAAGAGAACACAAAAAAAATACGTCGAATTGTTATCTACCTCTCGTATACATGACTTCAGGGTTGATTTGAACTTTTCAACTCCAATTTTTATTTCATCAATAGTGTAATTATAAGAGCAGCCTTTCTTTCATTCATTCTTTTCTACTACTCTTCAAATATCTGATCATTGTTCAAGTACTATACGCATTGTTAAACATAATGAAGCTCTCAGTTACGTGCATCGTCATTTTTCTTTTAGATCGCAATCATGCGTAATAATCTTTCTTTCCGAATGGAAATAGTTTCCTGCTTGATTCAGCGCACATAAATTCTCATTCAAACAACAGAAGAGGAAAACGCATTGAACACAAATCAATATATCATGATTTTAAACGCAATTAATTGACGGGGAAAAAATCTTACCCCAAACAGATAATGTCTCGAAAGACATTGGAGTTCTCACATAGTGAGACTTGACATTGCTCTACTGTCTGTCAATGTACACTATTTAACTTAAGCCACAAGAGAGAGAGAGAGATAAAAAGAAAATTGCACGCAAATGCACACACACACACACAGCAGGAGAGATCAATTAAAATGAAAGGTGGGCATTGTTTAGAAACGATTATTAATCATAATTTTCTGTCTCAGAATTTACGATTAATTAGTCTAGCCTACCTTTTAACTTCCTTCAATTTTTATTGCTGAACGCCTTCAAAATCAGAATGTAAATCAACATGATTGATAGAATTAATGTGTGTGCCAATTAAACAAAACTCATTTATCATGTCAATGACATATATTATGACGAGAGAAAAAGAATAGGAATTCGATGTGGATAGTATTATAGTGTTGTTTCCTTCGGTCAATATTTTCAATCAGTGTAAAATATTCTAAATGTATTCTTACTTGCTAATGAAATGACTTCGTTAAGTTTCTGTGTCGTTGTCTTTCTATCGTGAAGATTTAAAGAAAACAAAACATATCAATAATTCTTCTGTTTTTTCTAACTAATACACTTTTCGGTTTTCAACATCATCCCCGTTTCTTTGATTTCTCACCTGAAAAGAAAATTGATTGACGACAGTAAGAGTAAGGCAAATTCTATCGAATTCAATTTCTCTCCTACTCATATACTAGCTCTCATGCGTCAAGTGTTCGTAGAAAACAATAAGTGGGTAGTGACGTGATTAGCTTGAGTAAAGACAAGAGTCTGATGTACAGTGAAAACGAAGAAGACATCGTTGTCGACGACTACAAGAGAAGAAGAACAAAGGACTCGATGTGATTCTTACGTCATTAATTGTTTACATTTCTCAAGTTTATATTCTTTTTCATGTATCTTCTACAATAAATGATTTATTAAATTTGTACAATTATGATTATTATCATCTTACTCAGCAGTAATATTTCGAATTTTATTTTATACAAAACAAAACAAGAAATCTCGTGTTCGATAGACAAAAGAATAAAACGCGCAGCGCCAAAATATAAACAGCACAAACATGATTCGAGGAATTTAATGGTTAATCAATAGAAAGTTTTTTTTTCTGTCCGTAAGCGCAAGTAGTACACACCTTCGTTGGCAGGAAAAAAACGATGAATACGAGAAGGACTGGAAATAAGTAGCAGGAAAAAGAAAAAAAAAAGTTTTTTTCCCCTTCTTGTTTCTATTGCAATAGGACTACCTGATTAAGGCTGATTTCATGACGTATGCAGTCATCCATAGGCTGTCTAAAGTAAACATATTGAAGTGCTAATTAGTATTAATATATGATGTCTTAAGGTTTAGTTGAGTAGAAATAATGCAGATTTTTCTTTTCAGGTACTTAAATTTGCGGTTACGCTATTGAAGAAAAAGAGAAGTGTACATGCACAGTGAAAAAGCTCAAGTGTCTGTTGTTTTTTTTATGGTGATAAAAATATTTTATATTTAATTATGTTATTATTTAGTGTTACGCATGAAAGTTGGAAGAGAATAGAGAGAGAAATCAAGAAACCATATCACATACTTTTACTTTGCTTGCTTTTTCAACACTAAGACATAGACTTCCGATCGATCTATGTCTAACATGGATCATGCATAATTGTGCAAATGTAAGATTTGTACTACTACGACTATTATTATTATTATTATTATTATTATTACAACACAATATAGAAAAAAATGCCGTCGCCGCTTTGCGTGATGATAGTCCACTCTGTTGATGTGTATAGAAGTCTTTATTGCTTCGTTCGCTCTTTGCGATATGTACGCATATGTGTATACATCCATCAATGAAAATGTACATAAAAAAGTTGAATAGAAATACCGGTAAACTAATAACATAGACACACTTTGCAAACAGATGCTCAAAATTTACCTTGAGATAATAGTGCAGTAGTCAAATTAAAATTACGCGGATCTAAAAAATGTTCTATTTGAACTTAGACTTTTAATATATATATATATATATATATGACAGATGGGAGACATCCACTGTAGAGTGTTTATTCATTTTATTGTAGTGATGAAAAAATAGTGATATGGAAGAGTTTTATAGCTATACCGTTTAAACAATAAAATAAAAATTACGATTCGTCCACAGATATAAAATCAGTGTCTCATACGACATATCTGATTATATCGGAAGTTAATGTTCGCATTATAAAATTTATTTTCTCGAATTTTCTCTGTCTTACAGCTGACACGAAAGTATACTATCCCCGATAGATAAAAAAATGTGTCAAAGTTCTAGCTGAGTGATAGTCCGTTTATGAATTTCATTAGAATCCCTAAGGTTCTATCATCAAGGGAACTCAAATTGGTTACATATTGAAATCAACGCCTCTTTGAAACTTGTTTGCCCTCATTTTATATCAGCATTTTACTGGAATTGGTGTAAAACAATTAAGTTTTTACAAGGTTGCTGTCATGATATTCAAGTTTGATGATTTTACTGTAAAAATATCTGAACAAGGACGAAATTCTAGTTTCGCTTTAAAATATTATTTAGAATTAAAACCACAGGGAGAAGAATTGCATTCTTTTTCAAAGTCTTAATTATATGTCTAGAAGGAAAAAGCCATTCACTGTGTCATTCAAAGTTTTTTGAAACAGTTTATTTATAGTATCAACAAGCGAAACGACATATTTCCAATAGTCACAACGTTCAGATCAATTCATTTTTTTGTTAAAATTAGTTTGTTCTAGTAAAATGCCTGGAATAATATTGATAAAAATTTTTGATGATTGATTAAGGATATTAAAATTGTGACATGCAAGTCACCAAAGAAGAATGTGAAGTTAGTCTTTTTTTAAACATTTCAATGAAGCAACTAATCGAAAAGTCATCTGGATCATTTGATGTGAATTCCTGCAAATTTTCAAGTGCTAAAATGCACGAGGAGTTTTTACGTCGATGGATGATATGAAAAGATTATTTATTTCGTTTCATACTATTCAATAGTGAATTGCTCGTTGAACTAGACTACTTGTTATATTTTATGAAACGTGATCTAAAAGACTATTCAAGTATGAGGATAAACGTTTTCTTTCTTAGGACCATAACAGACGTTGTTGATTTAAGATAATCGAACTTGTATTAATAATATCTCGTTATGACGATAAAGCAACAGAAACAAAAATATAGAACCAATAAAACAATGCTCGAATAATAAGAAACAATAGTAACAACTCATTGCATATTTCCTGGAAAAATGCATCGACCCCTAAATCGGATTTACAGCTTCGTATTTCCTTCACCCTAATCAGAGATGGGCAAGTCAGCGTTTTTTTGACTCAAGTCAAGTCAAGTCATGACTAGTTCAAAATATTTTCAAGTCAAGTCAAGTCAAGTCTGATTTAGAGTCCTGCAGGTTAAGACTTTTTTGTACCCTAACCCTGCCCTATAGTAAAACTTCGTACCCTTGTCCTACCCTGCCCTACGACGTTCTTACCCTAGCCCTACCCTGCCCTATAGCTTCGTAACCTTGCCCTACCCTGCCCTACGGGCTCTGTACCCTTACCCTACCCTATCACAGAGATTTTTCATTTTACACCCTATCATATCATTTGAGTTTCAGGTCCAAGTAAAAGTCAGCATGAAGTTTTTCTTCACTTTGTTTCAATATAATTTATTGATTTTCAACGAGAATCAAATACAAAATTAATAAATTTTTCGAAAGTTGCTTAAAAATAAAATATCATTCACAACATCACCACTTAAATTTTGCCTTCTCTCTTCCAAAACTCGCCCGTTTGTACTAAAAATACGTTCATGTCGAGATGATTTCGAACACATTTTTTATTACATTTACATGCACATTTACTCGACAAATAATCAAAAGTGACTGAACTCGTCAGCTCATGTATAAAATAGTACTAAACAATAGGCCATTGTTTTCCGTTCGTTTTTATTCTATCCATTCGATTTAGATTATGATATCACTCTTTACACTGTTTTTGATCAAAAAGATGTCAAAAATATATATTAAGTTCTACTCTAGAAAAATTTTATTTGTATGAGCTACACCCTACTTATACCCTAAATATTTTGTTTTTGTAACCTTACCCTGCCCTGCCCTACGAGCTTTGTACCCTAGCCCTGCCCTGCCCTACGAGTTTTGTACCCTAGCCCTACCCTGCCCTGCAGGGCAGGGTAGGGTAGGGTAGGACAAGGTTGACCTGCAGGACTCTAGTTTGATTTCAAGTCAAGTCAGTTTGAGCCATAATTCATTCAAAAAGTCATCAGGTGAAGTCATTTTTTGACTTGACTTGCCCATCTTTGATTTATTATTTGTATTTTTCTTCTACATTTCAAATTAGAGTTCAAAAATTCAATTAATAAAAGTTCTCTATACATATAATTTTTGACTTGACTTTAATTTCTCTGTACGACTTGTTGCAAGTCAAGTCAAGTCAAGTCATGACCCATCACTGACTTGAATCAAGTCAAGCCAAGTCAAGTCATGAGCGTTTACAAGTCAAGTCGTAATCCATTCAATAAAATCATCAAGTCATTTTTTGACTTGACTTGCCCATCTCTGACCATAATTATGAGCTTTGTGTGAAGTTATCTTCATCTAGTTTGACGATAAGAGTAAAAAGTTTGTTTTAAATGCTGTGAGAACTTTCTAGGCTTTTTCCTTGAACAAAAGTGCTTAAAATTAATACCATACAGTATCATTAGATTAACTTTGGAAAAGCATCGTTTCATGAAATAGTTTTCAATTTTTTATTAAAATTTTTATACTTTAAAAGTTATAAATTAATTTTTTTTCCGTTTAAGAAAAACTTTCGGTTTAATACAGCCTCCCATCATTTTCTTCTTCTTGCAGCCGAATTTTTTCCTACAAAGCAAATATTATTATTTATGTATTAATTTCATGAAGACAAAAATTACAAAATCAGATTTTGATAAGTGCAAAGCCGAGTTAACTTATGTCCATATGTTGTTAAACGCGCAATTAAATTTTTTCGTGTACCAAATAAATGTCCTTAAAGAAAGGAAAATGAATTTTTTCAAATAGAAATCAACATACCAGCGCCAACAGCAAAAAAATATCGATTTTTCTTTGACTTTTTCAATAAGCTATGCATACGTCGCGATATGTTTTCATCGCGTTGTTCAATATCGTGAAATACTTTAGTTGAATTCTCTAGATTGTCAATGTATTCATCATCAAATTCATTGCAAACATACATTTTTCTTAATGTTTCTGTCTCGTTCATTTCAAAATTGTTCAATGTTTCGTTTTCAAATGTTCCAGTTTTCATTCGATTTTTAATTTTATCCACAATCAACATCCATGTTTTTAAATTTGCAAGCATACCTTTGTGCTACATAATTATGTATACATTTTACTTTAACTAAAAACTTATTCGAAACAGTACCTCACAAAGATATTCAGGCGTCTCTAAACCACCTGTAGTCTTATTCGAACGACGAGCTTCCATGATTAAATACATATCAAGTAGCGCACCTTGAGTACTATAATCAGCTAAATAAAACAATCAAAAAGAGAGACTTCTCTTCTTCATCAACTTTGTATTTACTAACTGGATCGTTCGACGCGGGGTGTTCGATTTGCTATGCATCGAAGAAAATCATACCAATAGGTATCATCCGTTGGGTTGAATTCTCCATAAAAATGTGTACTAGAAATAAATGCTTGTCGAATCTCTTTCGATATATAAGGCCATATATGTTCATGGGAAACATGTATCGTGCCAAAGATATACGATGGAGGCGATCTTTCGATACGCCAAAGGTAAGTACATGAACATGTCTTATACTATATAAAGATATGTAAAGTCCTTGGCATAAGACGAGATTTTGTTTTTGAAAAAACTAACCGACATCGTGATGAAGAAAACAAGATGCAAGATTTTGTTTAGCATGATTCCAAATGCCTCTGTCGAACATCGTTTTCATCATGCTTATCTTTAAATGTCGACACATATTTTATTTCAAATGATTAGCGAAATAGTTTGTTTTTNACATGAACATGTCTTATACTATATAAAGATATGTAAAGTCCTTGGCATAAGACGAGATTTTGTTTTTGAAAAAACTAACCGACATCGTGATGAAGAAAACAAGATGCAAGATTTTGTTTAGCATGATTCCAAATGCCTCTGTCGAACATCGTTTTCATCATGCTTATCTTTAAATGTCGACACATATTTTATTTCAAATGATTAGCGAAATAGTTTGTTTTTCAATTTTTATTACGTCAAAGTGCAAATTCGATACAACAAGTACTCAGTCAATCTATTTGATTAGTTCTATTACTTGCTATGAGTAACACAAACTTTTAGCATATACACATGTGCATTTATTCCCAATCTACTTTGTACAAACAAACAGCAAAAACATTTCCCATCACCAAAACGTTAAGATCAACTGTTTTTATTAAAAATATTCTTTCAGTGAATTTTCAATGATTCGTAAAGCCAATGCATCATGAATGTCAGATGTATTAGTTGTAATATGCAATGTGAGTCATCAAAAGAGAATATCAAGTTACTTCTTCTTTAATCTCATTAGTAAATGGTCAAGTCCGGAATAGTGCCTTCTTTCTTGCTGACAAAACATTTGATGTGAAATTCTCAAGATTTGGATGTTTTAAAATACGTTAGGAATTTTTAAGCAAATGGTTTATATGATTTATTTTTCAGCAATGGAAAATATACTTCTTTTTGCATACTTTTCCATGATAAATCGTCCTAGATTACTTGTTGTATTTTATGAACCATGATCGAACTCGACAGAAAAGTCGAGTGAAATGATTGTGAAACAATAGAAACAAAAATATAGAACAAATAAAACAATATTTCAGCAATTAGATTCGCATTTTGTTTCCTACAGATAACTATGAGTCTTGTATCAAATGACCGTCATCAAGATTGACGATAAGAATAAAGGATTTATTAAAAATATACTGAGAATTTTTCTTTTATACTTCGCATCAGAACTTCGCAAAGTCATCGGTTGAAGAATTATTTTATGCCGCCAATGTAAAATCTTCAAGTACTTCGTTTGGCCAAATTCTAGAATGTATTTCGTAGATTTCAATGGATAAATCAAACAGTCGCGATTTCCATTTGTAATTCTTGGCATATTTTGAAAGTTGTCATTCACAAGAAGAATGTTGCTTTACGAAGATATCGGATTTCTAATAAATAATTGCCTTCCGTGAAAATTGAGTGTATTTGGGAATTCAATATCTCAACAGAATGTAGGAACATTCTTTTCCTGATCAAACTTTCAAAATATTCCAAGGACTATGACAACTATTTCTCGTTATAAATCGAAAACTCCGGCCTCCTTTCAAATAACAATGTCTCTAAATGATGATTTTATTGTTTATACTTCACAAGTTTTAAGTGAACATTTTTTTTCCTTTAGGAGCGAGTTTCTTTTTAATACAACCGTCCACCATTTTCTTTTTCGTGCAACCGAATTTCTTCCTACAAAAGATATATTATTTTTCTACTCGAAATTTCATCAGAGCAAAAACAAAACCTAAACTTACAAAATCACTTTTTCATAAGTACAAATTCGCGTTATCCTATATCCATATTTTTTTAAACGAACAATTAAATGTTTACGGTTACCGACCACATGCCCTGAAACAAAGGAAAATGAATTTCATTTAATAGAGAACCAACATACCAGCGCCAACAGCAAAAAAATATCGACGCTTCTTCGACTTTTTCAATAAGCTGTGAATACGTCGCGACATGTTTTCATCGCGCACGTCAATATCATCAAATTCTTCAGTATTATTCCATAACTGTTCCATATATGCATCGTCGAGCTCACTACACATATAGGTTTTTAGCAATTCTTCTGGCTGATCCATTTTAGGTTCGCCAAGTGTTCCATTCTTTAATCGGCTTTTAATCCTATCCACAATCAATGTCCAGATTGTTGAATTGGCAAAGTTGAATAGTTTCTAGATATGATGATCATCTTTAACTTTAGATTAAAAAAAAACTATTCGTAATAGTACCTCACATTGATATTCAGGCGTCTCTAAACCACCTGTAGTCTTATTCGAACGGCGAGCTTCCATCATTAAATGAATATCAACTACTTTACCTGGAGTAGTAACATTGGCTAAATAACACAAAGAAAAACAAGAAGAATTACTTCTTTCATCTCTTCATCATCTATTAACTTGATCGTTCGACACGGCGTGTTCGATTTACTACGCATCGAAGAAAATCATCCCAATAATTCATATTAATCAAGTCGGCCTCTGCATAAACATGTGTACTAGAAATAAATGCTTGCCGAATCTCTTTCGATATATAAGGCCATACATGTTCCTGGGAAACATGTATCGTGCCAAAGATATACGATGGAGGCGATCTTTCGATACGCCAAAGGTAAGAACATGAACATGTCTTATACTATATAAAGATATGTAAAGTCCTTGGCATAAGACGAGATTTTGTTTTTGAAAAAACTAACCGACATCGTGATGAAGAAAACAAGATGCAAGATTTTGTTTAGCATGATTCCAAATGCCTCTGTCGAACATCGTTTTCATCATGCTTATCTTTAAATGTCGACACATATTTTATTTCAAATGATTAGCGAAATAGTTTGTTTTTCAATTTTTATTACGTCACTGTGCAAATTTGATACAACAAGTATTCAGTCAACCCATTAGATTGTTTCTATTTCCTTCTACGAGTAAGACAAATTTTTGGCACATCTGCATTTATTCCTAATCTATCTTGTATAAACAAACAAAAAATCATCATCATCATCGATGATAAAGACTGTTATTATTTTCCTTTGTCAATTATTAGATCCGTCATAGATCAACATATATATATATATATAGTATATACAGACAGATTATCAGTGACAATATCACCCGTGATTAGCGGTTCATTCTTTTTGCTATTCTATATTTTATACGATAGGATTAACCAAATAATAATTATATCTGTACACATACTTTTTCTTCTTCCATCATCAATCTGCATATATAATCAAATGGCATGTTGCTAGAAAGAGAGAGAGAGAGTAATACACACAAGATGCATCTATATCACACAGCGAATTCTATTGATAACTATATGAACAATAATTTCTTCTACATGGCTCACTAGACAAATTATTCTTTCAAACCTTCAAGTAGTAAGTTTAATTTCTTTTATTTTCTATTTTGAGTTAAGATTATATTTATAGAAAGTATCATTCGTTTGTTTTGTTTTTTAATCCATTGAACTAATCAAATAGATGTCTCATGTATATTTGATAGTCATACAAAGTTCATTTAAATAGATCATTGTTGCTTTCGCTCTCTATGCGTAGATATTACAAAGGGATATCGAATGTTGATAAATCCAAACAAAACAATGAAAAGAAAAGAAGTATGCTTTGTCGATAATATTTAACAAACATAGGATCGATAAAAGTGCTTTCTTTCTCATGGCACTTGTCACGCGAAATAAACTTTTGCATTTTTTTTTATAAACTCCTCCTGTCTATTTGAACTAGATCGAATTTCTTCCGAAAAAAAAGAAAAGAAAAGAAAAATGCATTTTCATTTCATACGAGAAATTTTCAATTGATTTTCCACTGATGCATATACACCTGTTATTTGCCGCTCTATGATTAATCATAAATTGCAAGGATGAATGCTCACACGAGTGGGTGACGTTTTAATTATGATGTACACACGTCGCTGTCTTATCCTAGCAATAATCGGATCAAATATCTTCTTGCTTATATGCTTGAAATCTGATCTGCTACTTCGTTGTCGTCATGAGAAATACGATGTGCATGTAATAGACAAAAAAATAATAGAAGAAAAATATTGTATTAAATAATTAGTAAAGGGTTACGCGAAAAAAATTCAAAGGACCAATTGGAATATATTAAGGATAAAGTTGACAACCAATCACGATGTTAAAGGGTTTGTCTGTTTCTTTTTCTTCCTTAATACTTATCGCTGTTGTCACTTGATTAGTATTGACACATCGAAATTTGGAAGAGGAAAAAAGGACGGGTATGTAAAATAAAAGAGAGAAAGATGGATGATATCGATGGAGTGAATTTGATATGCATGTACTAATTGCAAAAGAAGGTGAGAGGCAATAGAATATCGTGATCGTCATGTAATTTTAATCGAGATGTATATAGTCATATCTACATGTATGCATAATGATTAAAATTGTATTAGTTTTTGTGTTTTCTAATATTGCAAGGAAAACGATATGATTGACAGTTAAATTGTTATTTTAATATATAATATAATATAGTTTTTCCTTTTTCTTTGAACATCAAAAGAATCTAAATATTATCCAGTTATGTCAACAGGATAGTCAGTTGATGGCATATTCAGTTGTTGCTGTTTTTTGTGATGTCCTTTTAAAGCTTTCACATACCGAGAGTCCATTAAGCAGAGCACATACTTTTAATATTTTAAGAGAGGAAAAAAAGCGCAGGTTAAACATAACGTAATCTTAGCACTGAATCGAATCAAGGACATGGTGATGGTGTCCGAGCTGAGGTGTTTTGTGTGCGTGTGTACGAATGCATAATTGAGCGGAAATAATGTTTTCACACCAGCAGGGGCGGAGAGAAGATGGATATTCCTTAATGCTTACTCAAACACAAAAAGAAATGAAGGGATTATATATCGATCAGACATATTGCAATCTAGAAAGTAGAGAATGTTCGCTTACGGGATGAAATAGAATAGGGGTTTCTATCAAGTTGTTTATCGATTACTTATTTGCATAAACAAGTGTTAATTGATTGAGTGTGTCTTCCTTTTACTTTTCTTTTTTTTTCTTATTAATTAATAAGAAACTTTTGTTTGACTAAAGTATCAAAAGCAACTGACTGACGGTGCTTTTTACGACCGTTCATTAGAAGAACAATAAAAGAGATTCAGTCGAATAGAGCCAAAAGAAAACGTATCATGCTGAGTTTTGATATAATTATCAAAGAATAAAGTGTGACCGGATAACATCACTATGCTGATTTTCTCACATTTTCTTTCTTTTTTGGTCTATCCTATCCTACAATTAAATTCATTAGAACTGTTCGTAAAAGGATATTTTAATTCTCTGATCAATCTCCGTCTGTAGTGACTAGATGTAGAAGAACGGTAGGGAAAACGAGTTGATTAGAAATTTGAAACTTGTCGAACATGTGTCTGATTTTTAATTGTTAAATTGACAGATTCGTGTGAGTAACGCGTGAATAACAAAATTGATAATAAATCAAACACATAGACAGACAAGTGGTCGATAATCGTTTCGAACGTATGTCCAGTACACATACATATATTCCATTTGACCTTTTATTCTCAAAAAAAATAAAATAAAATAGTAATCTTCTTCTTCTTATGCTTTTTTTTATAGATGAGACAATAAACTTCGAAATTATTCTAACAACGACGAAATATTAAGCACACAACAGGTGGGAGTTTTTTTTCTTTAGCCTCTCTTTCCGATTCGTTCGTTCGTTTTAAATACAAAAAAGAGAGAGAGAGAGAGAGAGAAAATGATGCTCTCTGTTTCTCTCTCTCTTTTCCTCTTGTCGCTTTGCATACCTGATTAAAAGGCATCACCTTTCTCTTTTCAAGCGTGAGTGTTTGCTTGCTTGCTTGCTTTACCTTACAGAAGAAATAGAGGTAAGATTTCACTCGTATACAAGTAACCAGATCCTAAACAGATAGCGTTTTTCTCTCTCCCGTTTTTTTTTTGAATGTAAAACATAGTCACGTCTAGAATGAAATATGATGTTAGAGCTTTGATTATTTTATGCTTACAGAAAATCATACACGTGCGTGTGTATAATGTTTATACATACGTTTAAAAAGGTAGGGAAACGATTTTAAAAAGAATCGTGTGACTTCAGAGTTTAACATTTTTGTTCTTCATAGAACAGTGACAGAGCTGGTCAATAGGGAACATCGAAATGATAAAATCATTCTAGTTGAGATTACTATTTTGTGTCACCTAGATATGTAGTGATTGGCGTTAATATGGAATATATTGATTTGAAATATGAAAATTTGTTGCTAACTGATCTTTATGAAATTCAAATGTTGGCAGAAAAATCTACCAGCTCTAAAACTGGCCTCCATCTAAAAATACGCTGAAATACAATCCGCACGTCAATATTTAACGAGCTAAATAGTTCTATTAGTTGAACATGAACTTGAGATAGATTCTTTTCAATACATATTTCTCTTGTAGATTTTGAATTATGTTACTAAAATCTCAGTTACGTTCAAAGTAGTGCTTTATAGAACAAGCCGTTTAAATTTTTGTCAGTCTTTATTTTTACTGAACATCGTCATAATATGACTAAGCAATGATTAATCTTTCATCACAAAAAAAAAGAAATAACAATATTGTGAAATCTATCTTCAATGACAAAAAAAAAGAAAATATTTGGCAGAGGCTTCACCTAGTATCACACTCGTCCTCAAGGTCGGATTAATTTCCTTGAGAATACCACGCTCAATTAATCGTCTAGAAGTTTTAAATTATTACTCCGGAAGAGAAAATACTATCTGCACGTATCTATTTTCAGGTATATCCTAATCTTTTCGAATACAAATAATTTTTGTACAGTTGCAAGATAATTGTCGAATTGCTTCGTTCAAATTTGATATTTTACTTTTCTTTCTAGTCAACCATTGATGGCAGGCTATACGTTTTCATCGCAGGGCTATGTCAATATTCCTCCGTATTACAATTCAACATCTAATGGTTATTCAGGCTTGAATATTCCATATTTATCACCTGACAGTAAGATTATTCTGTATAGTTTTGTTATCTAATTAAAATCTACAATTAGGTTATTCAACAAGTGGCATTTCATCAGTTGGCGCATCAACTGGTGCATCACCATATAGTACTCAACCGGTAGGATTCAAAGCAGCAGCACAAAAAAAACTAATTCTTTTGTTAATAGGCTTTTGATCCAGCTTATTATTCATTTCAACCATCGTTTATTTATCCAGACCATCCATCATCAGTCTATCATCCACCCTATAATCTTCATTCATCAAATCAATTAACAACAGCACTAAAACCTCAAGAATATCAATGTGAACTAGTTCCATTATCAAATCTTGGTAAGAACAAAAATCGCTCAATGAAAATAAATAAAATTCTCAACGAAAATATTTCATTCTAGATCATTCAAATCCAAGTACATCGAATTCTCCGTCACCATCGAATAAAACTGATGGCAAAATTTGTTCGACATCGAAATCAAAAACGATTCGAAATCGAAATAAAATTCAGCAATTATCACCAGAATTGGATAATAATATTGAACGAATATTTATATGGGATTTAGATGAAACAATTATTATTTTACATTCATTATTAACTGGAAGTTATGCACAACATTATCAAAAAGTAGATATGAATATTTCTTTTCTTTTCTTTTCTTCTTATTACTCTATTGATTATTTTCAGGATCCTCAAATAGCAATGAATTTTGGTTTACGCATGGAAGAATTGATATTTAAGTTAGCAGATACACATTTATTTTTTAATGATCTTGAAGAATGTGATCAAGTAAATATTGATGATACTTCATCAGATGATAACGGACAAGATTTAAGGTAATTTTTAATTCACCTGATAAATTTGAATCAATCTTTTTCTTCTTCAGTAATTACAATTTTTCAACTGATGGGTTTAATTCATCGTCATCATCATCCAACGTGAGCAATACAGTTCGCGGCGGTGTCGATTGGATGAGAAAATTAGCATTTCGTTATCGACGTATAAAAGATATTTTTAATACCTACAGAATGGATACACAAAGTAAAAGATAAGAATGAAAAAGAATCAATCAAAATTGCAATATCATCTATTTAGGTTTACTTGGTCAACAAAAATATGAAGAATTACTTCAATTACGTTTAGATATTGAATCATTCACTGGATCATGGCTTACATTGGCATCGAAAGCTTTAAATATTATTAAACAAAGGTAATGGCAAATTTTATATTAAAATGACAGAAGCTGTTAGTAATAAGAAAGTAAAGTAGATATCAGAACGAGATCTCATTGACACATGGTTTTTGCTTGCGTATCAACAACATCTGTAATTGTCTCGGATCAATCTCTACTGGGTACAAATTGTTCTACCAAATATATTTCGACACACTTTTTCATATCATCTTCTACAATAAAAGATTTACTAGTCTTTCGTCTTTCTTTTTTTATGAATCTGAGCAAGCTTGTAGAAAGGTTTTCTCATACAATTAGACTGAGCGGACGTGTGAGGAGTATTTTGGTAATAACGCAAGAACATTTTAAATATATTTCCTAATATAAATTTCGAGTATACCTAAACATGAGTATAGGCTTATCAGACGGCCTGTAATATTCTAGTTTTTCTTTTATACTGCTTTCTCTAACCTACTACTACTTCCGTTTTTTAATTAACTCCACATGACCTCTATCAAAGTTTGATTGCACGTCTATTTTTGAATGTAAATTTGATACATGAAATGATATCAAAAGAAATTCAACATGACGCCATTATTAGATCGAATTTATGCCATGACCTCATGAACTTCTTAGTCACAAATTAATTTTCCTTACCTATGTGTTACAAAACATAATTATAGTGACAAGGCTATCGTGCACTAGAAAACCAACTCATTATGAAATTTTAATTTTTAGCTTGACTACAAAAAATCTTGAATGTATTCAATTTTTTTAGAAAAAATTGTATCAATGTACTTGTTACAACATGTCCCTTAGTTCAAGGATTATCGAAAATTCTTTTACATGGTCTTGGTGATCTGTTCGATATAGAAAATGTCTATAGTGCAACAAAAATTGGTAGAGAAAATTGTTTCGAACGTATACATACAAGATTTGGAAGAAAACCAACATATGTTGTTATTGGAGATGGACGTGATGAAGAAATAGCAGCTAAACAAGTAAATTGAGCGATTAGAACTTTTTTTTCTTCTTATACTAATTTTAAATTGGCTGTTTTTCTTTTTTTGTTGTAGCTCAATTGGCCATTTTGGCGTATCAATGAACATCAAAATTTGACAGCTCTAGTTCATGCACTTGACTGGCAATTTCTTTAAAACTTTTCTCGTGTTTATTATTGTCTTGTCTACGGTTTTTCTTCTTTGTAATTACCTTCACACACAGTGATCTTATTGATAATGTGCGCTATAAACTCCATCGCACATATGTCTTTGATCTGCTTATTATTTATAATTATATGAATAATGAGAGGGAAAAACAACAACGAGACATTTATGTGTACAAAATAAGAGTTTCTTTTTGTTTGTTTTTCTTTTTCTGAATGAATATTAAAATCGAGATCATTTTGATAGTTAAATATGGAATTCGAAAGACAATTGTTTGAACGCTATTCTGTTGTCTACAGAGATAGACGATCTGGAATATCACGTGCGAGAGTAAATTAAAATTATTGAGCTCTGAGGAAAAAACAATGATATGGATATTTTTTGTATTTTCTTCTTATCAGTTAATTTACTTTTTTTTTAAAGCAAAATGTAACGGAAATAAACCACATTGACATTTGAAATTCATAAATGTGCCTATTATTCTTCTCATAGGGAATTTTGGAAATTCTCTTTAGATTGTGTTGATAATTTCTCGCGTGGTCCTATCTTGTTGATAGATGAAATCATCCCCCTCCCCCGCCCCAAGATTACTAGTGTGCCGATTCGGCGATGCTACTTTACTAATTAAAAATAGAATTAGACACATCAAATCATTTTTCAACAGTTGAATCTAACATTTTGATTATGCATTTGTTCTATGTTTTCTTCTTAAAAATAAACAAGCTATTGTTAGAAAGCAACATACTTAATTATGTATGCAAGTTTACCAAGTATAACGGCCGTATTCTAGCCTACTCTTGTGAGAACGAGAAAAATTTTGTTTTCTTCGAGCTCAAATCAACAGTTATGATCATGTCATCATCTCTAACATAAAATACTTGAGTCTTTTACAAAACAGAAATTAAACGCAGATGAGTCTTCTGATACGCATCCACAGATATCAATTGATTGGCGTAAAGCTTTGTTGTTTTATGAATTAATAGAAATACAGATTTAGAACAAACTAAAAATAGCTATGTTAATATTGATCCTTGTTTTCCCTATAGAATTAATTGAATTAGAATGTTGATTTATCCAACTCATTATATTTGTTGCACGTTTCTCTATTTACAAGACTTGTACCATTATAAATATTTTACGTTTATTCTTTCATGCAATTTGTTAAACATGTTTTGACAGTTAAAATCTTGTGACAGCTGCTGCATATAGAAGTCGTTCGCTGTGAAAACCCATAAATAGAAAGACTTGAATTCTTTCATCAATAATAGAAATATCGAAATTTTTTCTTTTCATAAACCGTCTGTCTTGCTCTCTGTTAATGATGTACACCGACGACTTCAATTCAATGAGTGTGCTGGCCATGAAGTACGAAGAAAAAAGAATTCAAATGCGAAATTATAAATGAATAAGCAGCTGACAACGCTCCCAACCAATGGAACGAAAGTCACTTTACGAACAAAATCGAATTGCTACAAGTCCGCTACGGTACAAAAAAGGATTCTAGGCCGAAACTAAAGAAATGCACGAACTGGTGCCTGGTACAGTACTTATATAGAGAGAGAGGCTTGCACATCTATTACTCTGTTGAAGGCTTTTGTACTGTACAAATTTTCAAAGAAAAGTATAAAAAGAAAAAAACAATTTTCTCTTCTTCTTAACTATTTTTTCAAGTATGCATCCGAAACAAGTGGCATGCTTTTTGAAAGAAGTAATTCAATTTCTTTTTCTTTTTTTGACGCTTCGTCGTTGATTCTGACAGTGTTTTATCAAGCGATTAAAACAGCAGAAGAAAAAACACAACGACATTCGTAATCGAGAATAAAATTAAAATAACATATCAACAAGTTCAGAAAAAAGGGAATGACTTGAACACCTTTAACATTCACCAATAGAATGAAATGTTCATCAAGTTGATTATGATCTTCAACCATAGAGAAAAGCTATAATTCTACTTAAGTTGCTCTTTTCATTTATAATTATTTCTCTTGGAAAAATCCAAATTTATCAGTGTAAAAAAAAGACTGCTTTTGTTTTTCTTCTGCTGGCTTGTTTTTCAAATTGCGTCGTTATTTTCATCATAAGTCATACAAAGCAAGTATTGGTTACATAGTTCTAGCCACAAGAATGCCAATAGAAACATATGTTGTTATCGGCATTGGAAAATTCCTGTAAAGAATTGGAAGATTTATCTTGCAAAAGAAAAATATTCCATGACACATTGGAATTTTGTAATATTTAGCCAAATTGATGTGAATAAAAAAGAAAAATCATTTGATACTTTTTTATTTATTAATTACAATGAAATCAACCATGAAGTGTATACACGTATATTTACAATTGTATGAAAACTAGCATGTAAACAAAACAAAAAAAACGTGAAAATTAAAAGTAATTTGTACGTGCGGAAAAGAAAAAGAACATCGATATCTACTGTTTTTTGTTCATTAAAATATATCAAATATATAACAATGAAGCAAAATATGAATGAGAAACAATTTTGATCGATAGGAAATGAAGAAAACAATATATATACTAGACAATCAGGAAAATTTATTCATCACCGTCGATTGTGTAGACCATAAATAATTGATCGGGCTTTCTATCAATATCTTTCATTAATGTATTGTCAGGCGATAATATATGAAAACCAAGAAACATAAATGTTTTTACTACCATTGCTCGATCAGGCCGACCCTTATCAAAATATATAATAACATGTTTACAATGCATTGTATCATCAGCAAATTCTAGAAGACTAAGAAATCTATTTGATGAAAAAGAAAAATATAACAATTTGAAATTAAAATAAAATTGTTTTTATTACTTCTCTTTTGATCCTTCAGATAATTCTTCAGGAATTCCTACATAAAGTGAATCTGTATCTAATCTAATAAACCATGAAAGATCATTTTCGTGAGAAAATTCTAATATTTTCTCATATTTTAATTTCAAATTTTCATCATCATAAATCTAAATTAATCAGCAACAAAAGCAAAACTTGTTCGTAAATATCAATAGGAAATAGCAAAACTAACCTTTTGAGACTCCATTGATTTGATGATGAATCCATTGTGGCGCGAGGTTAATACTCGTCGTCCAACGCTGCCGCCCTCTGCGCTTATATTTGATGTTAAATCGACAGCAGCTACAAAAACAATATCGATACAAATAAATAATCGAATCAAATTAATTTTTTTCAAACAAACCGTTGGCCACATCAGGAATACCACTTTATTTCGGCCGCGTTCTGGTAACAAAAATCATTCATCCTATAAAAATAAATAAATATTGAGAATAAATTAGACATTATAAACAAAACACCTACGTTTCATTATTTGATTGATCTTTAATATAGGGCATGGTAACAAGTTATTTGTTTTTCGTAGAAAATAATAAAAAATAAATACTTTTCTCAGTTTAATTATGATAGGAAAAATTGTTTTATTTATTTTTTTTATGGGATATGCTAAATAATAGTTTCGCAAACGAATGAATACGCACTGAGACTAGTGTGTATGTGCAGCGCTTTTTATATGATCTAGAAATAAACAAAGAGAAAGCAAAAGGCAGGAAACGAAAAAAAAACAAGAGAGTAATGCAAACTCCGTCCTCTTTTTCTTTTTCTCTTTTTCCTGTGCGCCGGCGTCGTACTCATTTCTTTACATAAGAAGCAAAAAGCATTCATTTTCTTTTCCTGTATTTTTATCATTCTTCATTAAGTTGAAAATGATCATATGATGTTATTTATATAAATACAATCTTAAAGCATCAAAAACTCGTTGAACTATCGTAAGATATGACAAATTTATATCCGAAAAGAGCAGGAAAAAACGAACAGATTTTTTTATATCTGTTAATGAATAGATTAATCATACAGATAGAAAAAAAGAAGAAGGAATGCGAACAAAAGACTATCTATATACACATAACAAAAAAGAAAAAGGCGAGTCAACATTTCAATAATGTTCGTGCTATAGTTTTCAAGTAACAATATGGAATTTATCCATGCCACTGGACGGCATTGTGGAGAGACAGAAAGAAATAGAAATAAAGAAAACGAGATATAATTAATCCACCGGGGTTTTTTGTAAAAAGATATTTAAAAGAACAGAAAAAAATTAAGAAGAATTATCTCCATTTGAAGTCGAAGATAGGCCAACGCCCGTTTCAACACTTAATGCAAGCGCTTCGAGCCATGGATGTGATACGCAAAAAGCCGGCCTATAATGATGAACAAAAACTAACTCTGAAATGTTTCCATTGTCTGTTTAGAAAATTTTACCTTGAATCAGGATTAATGTCACAACAAGCAATAGCAATGGCAATGAATTGTTTTGGACAATCTTTACTGCAATATTTTTGATTAAATAAATGTACATTTAAACCAAAATCTTGTGTTCGTGGTAAATAGTCAGGATCAGCTTGTACCCGACCGATAATCTAATTAATAGAAGAAGAAAAAAACGCAATAGTCTTCTATATTCATTTTTTTTGTTGCAAATTTTTCTTTTACTTCACAAAGCATGATACCAAATGAAAATATATCTACACGTTCATCGTAGCATTGACCTTTTAACATTTCAGGTGCCATCTAAAAATAGAAGTTCAATTTTATTTCTGCATTTTCAAAATCTCTTACCCAATACGGAGATCCAACAACTGTATATCTAAATAGCATATCATTTTTTTTTGTAACGGAAGAACATCTTCTTGTGTCTTACCGTTGTCGATCTCTTAATATTTGCCGACGAGTTTTAGGTCTAACTACAACAATATTTCCATTTGATGTTATTGTTGTACTTGTACTTCGTTGTTCTCGTCGAAATGATCCCGACGAACCATCGTTCATTGGTGCTGATGCATAATCATCATCTTCAAGATTTATTCTTGATAAACCAAAATCTGCCACAACAACTTGTCCATCAGATTTTACTAAACAATTTGAACTGTTTAAATCACGATGAATTATATTACACGAATGAAGATATTCCTTGAAACAGAAAATAATTAGAATAATAAAAATTAAATTTTCTAATTTTACCATTCCGGCAGCTATATCTTTTGCATAACGTAAACGTTGTAACCATGTTAATGGAATAGATAAGTCATGAATGATATTTTTTAATGTACCACCGGCAATGTAATCTTTAAATGCATTTAAAATTTAAAAAAGTGATTTGTTTTTCTTTGAAAAACTAATTTTCTAATACATACCAACAAGAAAACACATTTGATTATCTTTATCCAGTAAAAGACCCATGAAATTAAGAACATTGGGATGTTTTAAACGTTTGAGAACTTGCACCTGTAAAATTAACAAAAGAAAAGTCTTGTTTACGAAGAAAACCATTGACGTGACAAATGACTTCTAAATCTAGACCATTTGCATTAGATAGAATTGCAAAAGCTATGAGTAACAATAAGAGGACTCAATGTCCTTAGCTAATTTTTGGGATATTTCTGGCATTTTCAATGTAATTATGTCATGTTCTGTATTAGGAAAAGCTAATTTAAAAATAGTCCATTGCTCATCATGTTACTATTTTAAGATGCAGCTGTGGTAATGACTTTTCTTTTCTATCAGTTAAAGAAACCAATAGATTTTATGGTCGATTAGGAAAATAAAAGTTGAATAAATTTTCTCGATTAAGTAAAAATGTAATAAATATTTAACAATAAGCTAGAAAGTAACCTGCTGTCAATAATATATAGCGTTCAAAACTTTTTGATTATTCACACAATTGAATATCTCGCTAATGTGTGAGTCGAGGACGCGGCCTCTCTTTGAAAATCAAATTGATCCTTTCAGACGTGAACATTTCAATAAAACATGATTTATTTTCTTTATTCTTCAATGCACTGATGGATAAATATTTTAATGTGAAAATACTTTGCTAAATTTTCTTGTCTGTTCAAAGAGAAGAAGGTCAACAAACACGTATTACTCAAAAGTTTTCAGTCATAACTTACTTCTTTAACGAAGATTTTCTGAGCTTCTTTATCGAATGTTTTTGTTTCTTTCATAACCATTATCTGACCAGTTTTCCTGAAAGTAACCTTAAAAAGAAGAAAAAAAGACACTTAGAAAACCAACAGTTCTCATTTCATTAAAAACTTACTGTTCGTGCAATACCATAGAAACCTTGTCCAATAATAGGACCAAAGTCTAATTCATTTGCACGGTAAACTTCATGTCGGCGAAGATCGTGTACAGATGATGAACGTGTCATTGTATCCGATTGACGTTGTAAAGATAATAATTGATGATTCTTACTAAATTAAAGGCGACAAAAAAAAACAATAAATCGTCTTTTTTTCTATTTTTAATTTACCTGCAAACACTATTGTTCGGAACCGATTGAGAACGCATTCGGGTATAAGCAGAGGATTGATTTTGATCACAATTACTATTTCGTCGTTTGGTATTCGTTGATGATTCTTCATAAACAGTATCACATTTAATTGCTGGCGATATTCGTGTTTGAATATGACGAAGAAAGCGTGTTGCATCTGTCGCACTGCGACTTCGAGTTAATGTACGTTTTGGATCAGCAATAAAACGTTGAATAAAATGAACAAGCCACCAACGAGTTGGCTAAAAAAACAGGAAAAAAATTAAAAGAAACACTAAATAATAAACTTACATCATTCCCACGATTATGATGGTTGTTTGAACGAGATTTTCGATTATCACCATTGGCTATTTTACTAGAGTAAAAAGTTAAATTAAAACAATTTTCTATGCGTAGTTCAATAATAATATTGATTTAGTAAGTCGTGATAGAATGACGTGTTGTTTTGGAATTTAACCTCATTATACTATTTCAACTATTAATTTCAAGTTAAACTCAAAGATATGATATTTGTAAGCTGCTTCATTGTATATCTCATCTATTTAAGAATACTTACGGACAAATTTCTGCATTTCCATTTCCATTTTCATTTCCACCACCACCACCACCACCTCCTCCTCCTCCATACTCATCATCTGTTCGATTTTCATTTTTATTCAAATGACCATTTTGTTTTATACTTGGTTTGCTCATAGCCATGTGAAAACGATTTATTAAAGGTTTTTGTTCACGATGATTAGTAGACAATAATGAAGTTGGCGGACATGAACCAGGTTCTACAATCATCTATGAAAAAATAAAATTGAACATAAAAAGTTGTGATCATATAAACTTCTCAGACATTTACTTATTGTTTAAATAAATCGATTTAATCGTCGTTTTTATTTAGTTCACGAGGTCATAAAAAAAATGAACTTTTGACATACACATATACACAATCTTAAATAAAAAGAGAGAACGATGGCACATTGTATAATAGAAAAACGACGAGAACATATTTAAGCTCTAAATAAACATTCATGTTAAACGCAAAAAAAATACGAAGGCGGGCCCCGACGCAAGCTTATACACGACTCGAATTTTGTCAATATTCGATGTCGATCGATTAGTTCAAAAATTCATAATATCATGATAATATAATGCATATATCTTTACTTTTGTTTGTTAAATCTCAACTATCCTGTCAGATATACATAGACTCATATATATAAAAGAAGACATCTCACGCATGCGTACATCGATCGACCAAGAGAAGGATATAATATAACAGGTCATATAGTGCAGGAAAAGAAACAGAACAGTTACTATCATCAATTAGTGTTAAAATCGATAAAGCTATTGTTTAGCTCATCACGAAAAAATAAATAAATAAAAAGTTGATGCATCTTTTAAACTCTTTGATAATACGCCAAAATAAAAATAGGCGGAGAAAAACAACGATGTATGAGACAAGACAAAGAATAGATAAGACGAAGATTACTCATTGGAATGAAATTTCTCATGTTTGCGTGACATTCAAATATAAAGATAAAAATAGTAGAAAAAAGAAAAAAACAACTATGAAGTCCTAGGATGCCATTTTGGTTTTTTTCCATCAATACTAAATCTAGTTTTATTTATGGCTTCGAGTTGTGAAGATTAACATTTTTTTCTCGTCGAAAAGTCATCAATCAAAAATACAATAAAAAAATTGTCGACTATCAAACAGATATATTTATTATTACACAAGAAGTTGTTGTTAATTTTTTTCTGTTCTACATTCACGTCTGTTTTTATTGTTGACTTTTTTTCATATCTTGATTTACTCAGCTAGAATAATAATCATAGTATGCGAAATATCAGCGAACACTAATGCTTAACGTAGTTCCATTTCATTTACCTTGATGAGTAATTTAAAACTATTCATGTAACTAAATAAATATTCAAAAAGAAAAAAATCACTAACATCAATCAAATGAAAGAATCCCGAGATTTTCAAGGAACCAACATTTACTTACACGCTCACGAGAAATAAAGGACGTTTGACATCAACCAATCATTGTGAACAAATAGTCATTGAACTAACTGTATATTCACCACTCCCTTACTTTCTATTGGATAAACGGTCCCCTTTTTTTTACAGCTTTTTGGATGGCGTTAGTTACCGTGTTTCATACATGATCTCTGTGCGATTAGTATAGAATGATAATTTAGAATCACAAAATGTATTATTAGCGTGTAATATTATGTAAAAATTATTCCGATGTCTCTCTCTTATTCGTATTATATTAATATTCAATTAGTACGCTTATTTATTTTAAACAATGAATAATAAAATAGAACCAGGGGTGGCGGAGCGTCATTAAGCTAGGTGAGGCTCATAATATTTTTTTTTTCTACCGTGGAATTTTATGAACGCATCAAGCAAAAAATAAGTCTTCTTTTTATTGAACTGCAGTAAAAATAAAAATGGTCAGTATAAAAAAGATGATTGGAAAATACCAAAAAAGACTTTTTTTGCTCCTGCTTTGATGCACAAATAAAAAATAACAATATTCAGTACAAAAGTAAGTGAGGCTGAACCTCATCTTGTGAAATCTAGGTGACGCTCAAGTCTCATGGGTCTCAGTGGCTTCGCCGCCACTGGCTCAGCGTAACAAATCTTGAGAATAGAAAATAACAATTTGCAATCTGAAATCTAGATGAGGCTGAGCCTCATCTGCTGAAATCTAGGTGAGGCTCAAGCCTCACCTGTCTCAATGGCTCCGCCGCCACTGAATAGAACAATCAATTGATATGAAAATCTAACGGATAGAGAGATACCATTAATAAAGCAATACTAGTAATCCTAGTGGTGCAGTATTTTAATTCCATTCAAGGAAGTGAAAATCTTCAGTAGAGCATTTGATATCATTGTTTTCTTCTATCATGGTATAAACGAATCTATAACTAACGTAAGACAGTAGGCAACAGGTGTTTTCCGTATTAGGAATAAACTACAATTCACTAAGACTATCCGCTAAAGTTACTACATTTGCTGTGTTAACAGAACTCAATATCACGGCAATTGATTATTGCCAGAAGTATACTCATCCATATAGTTGAGCGTGTACTGAAGTATAAAAAATTTATTTTCTACCTGTGATACAGAAGAACAAAAATATTTAGCAATTTTAATTGATTATTAATGCTTATTGAATTTCGTTATTTGAAATTAATTAGCTAAGTTATTTTTCTTAAACCCAGTGAAGCCATCTCATGTCTGGGTATTTTAATGAGTCACTGGGTTTTCCTCAGTCGCTCATGTACTATAAAAAAAAGCGACTAGCTATTCTTTAAAAATATTAGTTCTTTTGTTTGTACGATCTTTAAAGCAATATAAAAATGTTGATTATCGAACATTTACTTAAAGTATTGTGGAAATTATGGAGCATTTTTCAACTTTATTTCTTCAAAACACCAAGGTCAAAACAACCAATCCCTCTCAGTGTTAATTATCATTTAACTCGTGCGTGTAACTATCAATGCAAATTCTGTTTCCACACAAATATTACTAATGATCGTCTCCCATTAGACGAAGCAAAACGTGGAATGCATTTATTGAAACAAGCTGGTACGAAAAAAATTAATTTTTCTGGTGGTGAACCATTTTTAATTGAAAATGGACGTTATGTTGGTGAACTAACACGTTATGCCAAAGAAGAATGCCAAATGGCAACAAGTATTGTTTCAAATGGAAGTTTAATAACAGAAAAATGGTTTGAAACATATTCAAAATATTTAGATATACTTGCTATATCATGTGATTCATTCGATGATGAATGTAATCGACAAGCCGGACGAACCAATGGCCGTCGAAATCATTCACAAATCTCTCATGTACGTCGTGTAAGACATTTATGTGAACAATATAATATTATATTTAAAGTGAATTCTGTTATACATGCACTTAATTATCAAGAAAATATGGTAGATGCAATTGAACAACTTAAACCAATACGATGGAAAGTTTTTCAATGTTTACTTATCGATGGCGAAAATATGGGTGGAGAAAATAAACGCGATGCACGAGATTTGATTATAACCAATGAACAGTTTACAGATTTTTGCCAACGTCATCAACATTTAACATGTTTTGTGCCAGAATCAAATTTAGCAATGAGAAATTCATATTTAATACTCGATCAAAATATGCGATTTTTGGATTGCACAAAAGGTCGGAAAGATCCTTCGCCGTCTATACTTGACGTTGGTATTGAGGCAGCCTTAGATCGAAGTGGCTTTGACGAAAACATGTTTTTTGAACGTGGTGGTCAATATCAATGGACAAGAGATACTGCAGATGTAAACGATTGGTGAACTATCTCATACTTAATCTTAGTCACGAATTGATCATATCTAATAAACGAATTTTAAATGTTTTTTCAAAAAAGGATACTCAACTATTCATCGTATTCGACGATGTACTTCATCGAACTGTTTCGAAAGTTTGCTTTTTACAGAATGAAAGAGTGATCATTGATTTCGTTGGTGAAAAATAATATTTTCCATAGGTTTTTTTTGTTTTCATTTTACAATAAAATGATGACTGACAGTTTCAAAGAAAAAAAAACAGAACTTTTATTTGCGTCTGCGTTAGGCAGTCTAGCCGAGTTTCGATTGGCTTGAGTTTATTTACTCAATGGAATAACAAATGTACTAAAACGAAAAAAATAGATTCATAAATTCAAATGATTTCTGCATATCTTACGAAGGAAAATCAGGTACGTTCGAAAGAAAATATTCAAAAATTTCAGCAGTTATTATTTTATCACCACGAAGGTCAACTTCATTAATAACCTGAAATTTTTTTTCAAAAATTTAAAAATAAAAATAGGTCTCCAAAAATAACATACTGCTTCAGCAATTTTTGTTAAATCCCTATCATTGAACTGTTTTCCTGATAAACGTCGAACAATTTCTTTTACATCCTTGACATCAATTGCATTTGAAATTGGTGCGCCATCATCAGCTGTAAATGTAAATGTAAATATTAATTATGTATTCAAAAATGCTCAAATGGATTTCCTACCTGTACTATGTCGTGCACCGATGCCCTCTGACAATAAAATAAAATAGTAGAAAAATAAAACTATGAAATCAATATCTACGGTAAATTTTGAATGCATAAGAAACTTTAACAGATTTTGGTGCATTTTGAGAAAAAACACTCATCATATCAAGAAAATCTTCAACCGATAATGAGCCATCGGGTTGAGAAGAAAATACTTCAACGATTCGTTTACGAAACGGATTTTCCTATATACAGTAAAAATCAAATTTAATATTATCGAGTTTTGTGTTCGTTTTTGAAACTATCGTACTCGAAGTTCAGGTATATCTATAGCATGATTTTTCGATAAACGTAATTCATGAATCTTTGCATTGTGACGATTTCTTTGCGTAAGTTGAATGAATCTTTTTACGACTCTGAAAAATAAGAATGACACAAGAACATTGATTTTAAAAAAAATGAATAGCCTACTCAATAATGCCCTGACGACTAAGAAATGTTAATGTCTATCGGAAAAAATAGAATTTGTTTTTTATAAATATAACGTTCGTTTTATTCTACCTGATAATCGCGTAACTCTTCATCGGTGAAATATGATTGTTTGCCACCCATACTCTTATCAGTTAGGAAATAAATGACAGTCAAAAGCTGAATTTTAAGTATCTACAAACACAAAAAATGGTTGGTTACTTTTGATTCTCTAATCGTAATACATAATGATATCAGTTAATATCAACATAAAGCGACAGTGATTCAAAGTCATTTGTATACAAAAGCTCAGAAGAAATCAAAGACTAGAAACAGTGAGTAATCAGATATGAATAACAATTGTTTTTCATCTGCAGTTTTCGTTAATAATTTCTGTTGCTTAAACAATGTGAAGATAAAAATAGAAGATCTTTATTATTATAAAGAATTCAACGCTTTGAAAATGTAGAATCTCTTTGTCTTAACAACTTAAATTAAAAAGAGGTGCTACCTAGATTCAGCAAATTTATAGAATATTGTTTTATACTGAGATGACAAAGAACACTGGAAAATGCTAGAGAAGATTTAGACAGGTTCATTTCGCTGACCTTTTTTAGTTTATCATGACTGTTGTATTCTACTTTCGATGCAGGTTTTAAATGTAGAATTTTTTTGTACAAATATAGCTTCAATGATACATAGAGTCTTGTTAAAGTTTCAATGCATAAAGAATGATGCTGCTTTTCTTACGAGTTAAATATCAGCAGCATTCGAGTATTTCTGAATAAAAAATATGTGAGATCTGGCGTTTCTCCAAAGATGCAATAGCAGCAGCAAATAACTAGATTAAATTCGAGTGAAATGTGAATGTCATCTAGTTTTTTTACGTGACATCTTCAGCTTTTCTCATAAAATGAAACGGGAAAAACCAAGATTTTAATTTGCCCTAGGGGAGATTAAAATTTCAACTTCCCCCAAGGACTATTCTAAATAGCTCTGCATTTCAATCTCTTCTGTAACACATACACCGTACACCATATCCATACCATTTGGTTATTCGTAAGTCTGCTACATATTTATTGGTATGTTTAATTAAATCTGGCAATGGATTACTTGTTTATAAGCATTCAACCTCTTTCGCTTTGTGCATATGCTTACTTTTCAAATCTTTTTCAATAGCCTGCAAGTTTACTCATCTGAAGAGTGCGAGATGTGGATGTGATTGGCTAAGGGTACCTTTAAATTCATCTCGCAAAGCACACTAACATTCACACCCTTGCGATGAGCTAGATAGATGGTTACATCGCTACTCTTTAGATTATGTTTAGTGAGTTACTGTCCCACCCCATTAGCATCTCTGCCATCGAGAACATTTTCATGTATGTAGTGATCACATAAAGGAAGAGAACGAGAAACATACATAATCAAGTTTAACATTTTCGCGAAGAGACATTCAGAAGCGACGAGTAGAAAAATCAAATGTAGCAGTTAATAAACATTATAACCATGGTTCACATTCTCTCAGCTTTATTTCAACCTGAGGCGAATGTTCTTTGTTTTGAATAACATCAATTATTTTAAATGCTGAATAAGGTAGAATTAATACTTCTTCTTCATATGCAAATAATGATAAACGTTGTATATCGAATGCTGTTCTATTGTTGCGTATTTGGTATATGCATATAGTACTTAATCGATCGTCTTTATCGGTCTTTTTCTCATGAAAGGTTGATGCTACATGCTTTTGTTTTGATGTCGACGAAAATGTTTTAGTTAGAATGCGTGTACCGACCTTGTATTTTGTTACGTCACTAGCAGTAATCATCATGCCACGAAAAACTTCTCCAGTAAATGATAATGTCTCAAATTTCGGATGACGAGCAATTATTCCAATATAATACGCTCGACTAAGGTTCTCTTTGCTAGTTAGATTTTCAAGGTGTAGTTTTGCTAGATCAACATTTAAGGTAGTGTAAAAACCAGTTTCAGCTGTATACGCTGTTAATAAGTAAGCTGGATCTTTTTCATTGATTGCCTTATCAAAATATTCTTTTATTGTATTGATACCGTCTACATCTTGCAAATCTTTTTCAAGATAGTTTTTTCTTATATAAATAATTAGTTTGTGAAACTGAGGATCTTTGCCATATGATTCCAATTTCTTAAAATATTCATGTGCTTGATAATCAGCATCATTAGTTTGAAGAATCCACTCGACGGAGTCACTGACAAAACGTTTTTTATTCATGCGACGATGGATCAGCTGTCTTATTTTATCCGTTTTAGCTTCATCCAACGGAGTAAGATTATATTTATTTATTGTTAAATAGCTAGCACCTTTCTGCAGTAATAGTTCAACAATTTTCTCATGTCCACGATATGCAGCTACGTGGAGTGCAGTAGAGCCATTTGGTTCTATTCGATTAATTTCTTCCACTGTCATAGTTTTTAAATAGTTTTCAACCAAACTGATATTATTTTCTCGGCATGCATCATAGAAAGGGCTGATCTTTGAAGTATCAGATGATGGACCTATCAAAGAGTAGAACTTGTAACAGTAATTTTGGAAAAATAGAACCTTAGCAAATAATTACTATACAATGTTATTTATTCTAAGTTCTATACGTAAGCATTCTCATTTTGAACAATGTTGCTTTCAGATGCTAGACTATCAATCCATTGGACTCTAACAGATTAAGAATCCTGCATCTTGAGGGGTGTGGGTGTCAATGTGAGTTTTGAGTCTACTCGTCAATCACACCCGTATACACACTCACACACATATTCTAAAGAAAACATTTCAGATCATTCTCATGTTATTTTAATCAATTTTCACGAACGAAAACTCTCTTTCAAAGATTTTCTTCAATTACCAAACCTTATTCAAATCCATTTTAAAGATTTTATGAGAGAAAAATAAATTTTGATAGATGAAGCAAAAACTGATTGAAAATGACAGGAGTTTTCAATAAATTATCTAGATTATGCTGTATAATCAGAATGTTTTTGTGAAAATTATTTTTTGAAACAAGAATTCCATTTAACTAAATTCAAACTGCCCATTTCGAAACTAGATTTTTCTATACTTTACACTGAAATGATTCTAATTTGTTTTAAACAGTTTTTAGAAAAACAACAAATAAACTCTGTACATTCGTATGTTATAATTTATCGATTGAGGGACGTCATCTTTGATTTCATTTGAGTTGACAAAATTACGGTTACTATTTGCAAATTCAAATATTTTTTTCCTTGTATTTTCCTTACCTATGGGCATTGGCTTGATAGGTGATGGCGCAGGTTTCGGTGGTGGTTGTACAAGTGGTAATGGTGGAATAGTTTCTTCCACCTGGATAATATGCAGATCACCTTGGTCCAGACAACTGATTACTTTGAACTGGGTTCCGGCCATCAGCAAAACTTCGTTTTCAGCTTCATAGCTCGAATGTCTGTGGATATCTCTACCGGAATGACATTTTATAGCAAACATTGTTCTATGACCAGTCTTTCCCAAAAACGATTCTAGAACACTTACAGATGTTGTGCAATCTGAGAATCCCCACCAGACGATTGTTTCCCCTTCACGGTACNTCGGTGGTGGTTGTACAAGTGGTAATGGTGGAATAGTTTCTTCCAGCTGAATAATGTGAAGATCACCTTGAGTCAGACAACTGATTACTTTGAACTGGGTTCCTGCCATCAGAAGAACTGCATTTTCAGCTTCATAGTTCGAATGTCTGTGGATATCTCTACCGGAATGAGATTTTATAGCAAACATTGTTCTATGACCAGTCTTTCCCAAAAATTGTTCCGATTGTAGAACATTTACAGATGTTGTGCAATCTGAGAATCCCCACCAGACGATTGTTTCCCCTTCACGGTACTGCATACTCAGGTCTAATGGAACGCCTCTGTATACCGTTGTGGATAGTAGTGGAAGACGAAAGAGTGCATTGATAAAAAGTCTCAGAAACAAATGCCATGGCGTGAGGCGTCTTCGACCTTCTGATCTTAATATCCGGTTCAAAACATAATAAAGGCACTCATCTACTGGCTCCCATATCATTGTGTACAGCATAATCGAAGCAGACTCATCTTGTGTCAAGCCATCGGCAGGATTATCACAGTTTTCCTTGGCTACATAAGCTTGCCGCTGAACATCTGGTAGAATGGAAATAAGTGGTTCGACAGCTTCTTCAAGTGAAACAAGTGCCATTTTTTCGCAGCCACGAATGAATGGTATCAATTCAGGCCACATATTAACATCTTTGAAGTATAAGTCACGCTGTACAAATGCTTCCTCTGGTGCTCCATCATCTATTTCAAGAGTGAGAAGTTTTTTCAAGCAACATTAGAGTGATGGATATGTGAAAGAAAGTAATAATCTATGAGTTAATACAATTATTCTAAACATATTTTTTGTCATCCACGCACGCTCATCAATTTTTTCAAACTTGGACATTTTATTGTAATGCGTAATCAGACCAGCGTTTAAAAAGACGCCGTTTTTACGCCATAAAACGATTTTTCATAGAAAACGTCTTTTTAAAGCACTAAAATGTGCGCTTTCAACTTATAACAGCGTCACTTTTTTAAAAACTCCCCTGACTGGGTTCCTCGCGTGATATTAGACAATTTACAAAACCTTTAATATACCTAGTTTTAGTTTCGATATTCACAGGAAGAGTGTCGTTCATGACACTACTATGGCATTTTTATACTTCTATATTAAACTAGTAGCACGATAAAGCTTTATTCAATACAAAATATGCACCGCTTACTTATCTGTCAATTATTCGTTACCTCATTTCGTATCATGTGTTCTACACTTTAAAAAAGAGTTTTCGTACTCTTGGCTGAACCCTTTTTGAGTTCTGAATGGTACTTTTGTTTTAGAGTGTATAAGACTACCAAATCTCGTTTTGAAAGTTCTTTCGTGTGGATATGTATTTTATCTTACTATGAGTGAAAGATAAGACTTTTTGAAAACTTCTACTTCGGGAAGCTCTTCTAATTACAGTATTGTTTCACTAAAACACGTTCCGCATATATGTCACAGACTTTTCTGGAGTTGTGCATTGGTAAGCTCAACTATATTTAGAGGAACAGAGATATAATTATGTGGGCAGATAACCTAGAAGAAAAGTTTGTTAGCGCAGCCTCTTTGAGGCTAAAATGTGAAAGTCACATATACCCCTAAGATTTATTAAAGTAATACAAAACATCTCATGTGAAAAATCTGCCTTTATTTTCAAAATTTATAATTAGGGTATTACCTATTTGCTTATGTCTATAATGGAGGCTTATTTGTTAGCTGGGATGTTCAAAGATGGCAGAGACTGGTTGTTACGGTCTGTAAT